CCCCCAGAAAAAGTTGGCAAGTAAATTGACTTTTTTGGGAGGGTTACTGGGGATGGAAGCCAAGCCTCTACGCCTGCTCTTCCCCTTCCTGAAGGCGGTGGCGGTCTGGAGGCAGTCCCTGATCCCCACCCAGGGCGACGGGCCGCCTGGTGTGTGGACGAACCAACTCTGGGCAGGCAGCTGGACAAGGAAATGATTGAGCGCCCACTGTAAAGCCAGCTGTCTCCCTGCGCCGACAGCCCAAGACTTCCACTTCCAGAATGAGCACTGAGGACCTGGGCTGGGAACACAGCTCAGCGGAAGAGTGCTTGCCTGGAATGCGTTAAGCCCTGGGTTCCATTCTTCAGCACTACATACACAAAACAAGCATGAAGTGGCACTGTGGCTCAAGTGGTAGAGCACTAGCCTAGAGCAAAAGAAACTCAGGACAGCGCCCAGGCCCTGAGTTCAAGCCCCAGGACTGGCAAAAACAAAACAAAAATGAGCACCTGTTCTCCTTACCTTCAAAGGAGCAAAATGAAAAATATTCATTTCATATCACATCTTATAGGTTGCAACGACCCTTAATGTGGGGAAAATTCTCCTTTAGTAGCAAATTTAACAAAACAGAACAAGCAAAACAGGGCTGGTTCTTGGGTGTTTTTTTTGGGGGGGTGGGCAATACTGGGATTTGGACTCAGCAAAACAACACAATGAACTCAAGTTGTCTTTTTTTTTTGGGGGGTCCGGTCGTGGGGCCTGAACTCTGGGCCTGGGCGCTGTCCCTCAGCTCTTCAGCTCAAGGTTAGCGCTCTACCACTTGAGCCACAGCGCCACTTCCAGCTTTTTTCTTTTTTCTTATGTGGTGCTGAGGAATGGAACCCAGGGCATCATGCATGCAAGGCAAGTGCTCTACCACTGAGCCACCTTCCCAGCTCCTCAAGTTGTCTTCTTGTCTTATTTTGTTTTTTCTTTTCTTGTACTGGGGATTGAACCCAGGGTGTCGCCCTTGGTAGGCAAGCGTCTTGCCATTGGGCCTCCTCCCTGCCCAACTTCAGGTTGTCCAGGGCTTGCACAGCAAGGGCAAGCACAGACCAGAACAAAAAAAAAAAGTACTCTTTTGCAACCCTGAGGCTGTTTACAGCAGAGCCCATTAAACAGGCAGGGCAACCGACAAGCCTCGTCATCAATGATCCTCTCCCTCTCCACCTTCCAGCCCCAACGTCCTTAAACATTCGCTATGCCTGTACAGAGCCAATGAATGAAGATTTGCAGCACTGAATGCCCCTCCCTTTTTTTTTTTGTCGGTGGTGGGGCTTGAACACTGGGCCTGGGCGCTGTCCCTGGGCTCTTCAGCTCAAAGTGTGCACTCCACTGCTGGAGCCACAGTGCCATTTCCGGTTTTCTAGTGGTTTATTGGAGATAAGAGTCTCACAGAAGCTGGGCACCAGTGGCTCATGCCTGTAATCCTAGCTGAGATCTGAGGATCGTAGTTCAAAGCCAGCTGGGTCAGGAAAGTCATGAGACTCTTATCTCCAATAAACCACTTGAAAACTGGAAGTGGCCCTGAGGCTCAAGTGGTAGAGCGCTCACCTTGAGCTGAAGAGCACAGGGACAGCGCCCAAGCCCAGAGTTCAAGCCCCATGACCGACCAAAAAAAAAAAGTTTCACAGACTTTCCTGCCGGGGCTGGCTTTGAACCATGATCCTCAGATCTCAGCATCCTGAGTAGCTAGGATTATAGGCATGGGCCACTGGCGCCCAGCCTACCCAAGTCAATTTTTTTGGCCGTTGTTGGGGACTGAACTCAGGGCCTGGGCACTGTCCCTGACCTTCTTTTGCTCAAGGCTAGCACTCTATCACTTGAGCCACAGTACTACTTCTGGCTTGTTCTGTGTATGTGGTACTGAAGAACCAAACCCAGGGCTTCATGCATGCTAGCCATGCACTCTACCACTCTACTCAACCCTTTAATGTATTTTAAAACATGCTTTGGTGTATGTGCCTCAAGTTGTCCAGAAGTAAAAAAGGATTAGAGTATTTTCATTGTACAATGTCTGGCTTTTTCCTTCAGGGAGGATGGAACCATGCTTGGCTGCTACTAATGTAGTCAAGCTGGCCTTGAACTCTGGACTTTCTGCCTCAGCCTCTATTACTCGAGTTTTGGGTGTGCACTTCCATAGCACAAATCTTACTGCTTTTTTCTTTTTTCAGTGGTCCCAAGGTTTGAACTCTGGGCCTGGCACTACCCTATGACTAGTGGGCTCTCTGAGGCTCACTTCCGGTCTCCAAACCTCCAGTGCCATGCAAACACCCTGAGGTCAACATTTCTTACATGGTGGGGTGAGAAAGCACTTCATCTTGCTATCCAGAAAGTTCTGGGGAGGGTGGCACACCCCAGAAGTGTAGCCCCTCGCCCTTCCCAGATGCCTGACCCGCACCTCAGCTATTTCCAGCAAATTGCGCACGATGCCCGGGCTGCCCGTCCAGCCCTCTGAGGATTCAGCTCTCTTTCCCCTTGCCTCCAGCTCTCTCTCCTCTCATCTCCTCTCCTCCCCTCCCATCTCCATTTTTGTAGTGCTGGATCAAGCCCAGGACCTTGCACACACTAGGCAAGTACTCGGGGATTAGTTCTGCCCTGCAGCTATCTGTGACAGAAAGTACAGCAAGTTAAAGCCCGTTTGAGTCAACAGCTCAAATGCCAATTTGTAATCTATTTGTTCAGTTGGGTTGAGGGATTTTGAAAAGATGAACTGTCTACGGCAGTCATGCTCCAGCAAAAGACTCCTGCCAAGTTGGAAAGAAATTAAGAGTGTCTGCAAATCTTACACACCTCCCTCTGTTTGCAATGTAGAATATTTATTTTATGGAGTCGAACGTTATCAATCAGGTAACGTTTTGAGCAATGGAATCATCTCTTTAGTCTGCACTGAAAGTAAATATGTGCCAGAACACAAAAACCAACATTTTAAAGCCAGGCACCAGTGGCTCAGGCCTTGAATCCCAGCCACTCAGAAGCCCAGGCCCAGGCAGAGAAGCCCCCAAGACTTTTATGACCAAATAACCAGCAAAAAGCCAGAGGTGGAGCTTTGGCTCCAATGTTTGAGAAAATAAACAGCAGCTCAGGATGCACCGAGGCACCGAGTTCAGGCCCAGGGCGAGCACCCAGCATTGAAAATGCTTTTCGCGGCTGGGGCGGCGGCTGGGCGTCCGGTGCGGCCCGGCCGGGCCCCCACCCCGGGCCGCGGTGGCCTCCGGCGGACGGGCCTGCTGGGCGGGACCCCGCGCCTGGGCTCTGCCACCTGCGGTTCGGCGGACCGACCCGGCACCGCACGCGCCGGCCACGCGGGCTCCGGCCGGGCTCGGGCGGTCGAGCGCCCGGCGGACGGCGCCGGGCCCGGACCCAGGTGAAGCTCGAACGGAGACCCCCGTGCTGAACGGGCGCCGCCCGCCGCCGCTGCCGCCCCGACGCCTGCCGCCAGTTCACCTGAGGCCGAGGCCGCCGAGCCCGCCCGCCGCCCGCTCACCTGAGGCCGCCGCCGGCCGCCGCTGCCCACGCGAGCCCGAGGCCGCCCGCTGGCCTGAGGCCGCCGCTGCCCACACGAGGCCGCCGCCGGCCGCCCGCTCACCTGAGGCCGCCGCCGGCCGCCGCTGCCCACGCGAGGCCGAGGCCGCCGCCGGCCGCCCGCTCACCTGAGGCCGCCGCTGCCCACGCGAGGCCGAGGCCGCCGCTGGCTCACCCGAGGCCGCGGCCGCCGAGACCGTCACAGTCGCCCGCCGCCGCTGCCCTCCCGAGGCCGCCGCCCGCCGCCCGCCCACCCGAGGCCGCCGCCCGCTCACCCGAGGCCGCGGCCGACTCCACCAGCACCCGGTGGTTCGCGAAGCTCCGCGCGCCGACCCCGCCGCCCGCCGCCGTGCGCCCGAGCCCGGGCCCTGCGGACCGGACGGCGCGAGGCCCGTTAGAAGGTCCGCGCCCGCCCGGCCCGCCGGGCCCCGCCGCCGCCCGCCCGCCCGGCCGCCCGCCCGGCCGCCGCACCGGCGCGGAGCAGGACGCTCGCGGGGACGCGTCTCGCAGCCGCCAGCGCCATCTTGACCGGCCGCGGGGTCGAGGCGGCGGCGGCTCCGGCCGGGGCGGGGCGGCTCCGCCTCCCCTCCGACCCTGCCCCGCCCGCCCGCGGCTCCGGGCCCCGCCCGCCGGCTCCGGGCCCCGGGCCGTTCGTGGGCGCGGACGCGGACCCGGGCACCGCCCTGGCGGAGCGGGCTCCCGGGGACCCGGGCACCCCCGGGCCCGCAGCCCGGGCCTCGCCCGCCCGGCCGGCCGGCACCGCGGTGGAGCCGCGGGGAAGGCAGGCCCAGGAGGACCCGTTGTAAGGCAAGATTTTGACCCAGGGCTACCTGGCGGGGCACCAACGCCCGCAAGGGCTGGCCAGGCCCGAGCGCCGCCCCCACCCAGCCACCAGCCCGGACCGCCACCACCTGAGCCACGCGTCCAGCCCAGCTTTGTTGTTGTCGTGGGGCCTGAACTCTGTCCCTCAGCTCTTCAGCTCAAGGCGAGCGCTCTACCACTTGAGCCAGCACCACTTCGGGCTTTTTCTGCTTATGTGGTGCTGAGGAATCGAACCCAGGGCCTCAGGCATGCAAGGCGAGCGCTCTACCACGGAGCCACCTTCCCAGCCCCCAGCCCAGCTTTTTGCTAATCAAAAACTGGAGTCTTTTGTTCTGCCCAGGCAAGTTTTGAACCACAACCCTCCAGTTCTTGTCCTGAGTAGCTAGGATTACAGGTATGAGCACCAGTGCCCAGCTTCCCATAGCTACTTGTAGCCACGGAGGAGTATCAGAAGATGCTGGGAAGACAGATTCAGGTGCAACAGCATTCCCCTCTCCACGTGCACAAACCCTGCATCTCCCGAGGGCCTCTGGAGATGTCAATTTGGAAATGAAACAAGAATTCAGGTGTTGGTTGTACAGGCACAGAATCATGCCCAATTAAAATGCTCTAGAGAAAGGCAGTGACCAGTACTGTTCGCATTCCAATCCTAGATTTATTCAATACAATTCTTTATTCTACACAACGAAGTACAAACACAACCTTACCTAAAATGCTAGTTACAAAACTCAAATTTTATAGTACTGACTGTACAATAAAAGCCAAAAAACAAAAAACAAAAGAGAGCAATGTACATGTTGCCAAGGCAAACCTGCAAGACCATCAGGAAAGGCAAAGTGGGGCGGGACAGGGTTCTGCGGGCTGCAGAGCAGGCTCAGCTGCTCACCAGCTCAGGAGGGAAGACAGGGGCACCGTGAGGACATGAGAAACAGACCCATTCGTGGCAACTAACACGGGTAGAAGAGGACTCGGGCAGGGCCAGGCCTCACATGAACAGTAGCTTGGTCCCTTTCTCCTGCCAATCACTGCAGGAAGAACAAGGGCATGACCAGGCCGCCAGGCTGGCCCAGTACCCTGGGGCAAGGCTGGAGCACTGCCACCGGGAGGCTTGTCTGTTGGCCCTGCACCGAACACTCTCAGAACAGAGAAGGGGTGAACTCTAGCCAGAACACTACAGGGCACCTTACGAACAGAACAATCCCACAGCACTTTGGCAGCCAGAACTCGCCCACAGAAGAAATGTTTTATCTGCTGCTTCCAAGCCTGCTCCCAGCAAGGGATCCTTTCCCACAGGCCCTCCTTTGGCTAGTGAAGTGACAACTGGGCTAAGTGGGCACAAGGTGCAGGGTGAGCGCCAGGCCCTGCTTATCGGGAGGAGTTGGAGCTGGAGCGGCTCCTGTGGCGCCGGCGGCCAGGAGAGCGTGATCTCCGGCGCACAGGGGACCTGCGTCTCGGAGAGCGGGACCTGTGGGAAGAGAAGCTGTCAGTCAGAATGTCACAAGCAAAAGTCCCAGCAGCAAGCGGTTTGTTTTTTCTTCCTGGAATAAGGTCACATTTTACTTTTCAGCCCCAGGGACAGGACTGCTGGTTGGACGGAACCGTGTCCTTAGCTATTATGAAGGCTCTCATGGTAGCCCTAAGCCCTGGGGAAGAGCTGCTCCCAGTCGTCTGGCATTGACACCTTTGCCCTCGTCCTGTCCCCGACAAACTCCCAGAGCTCCACCTGCCTTTTGCCTACTGCCTCCCCACAGCAGTGGAAGGCAGAAAACGTTGAATTAAAGGTCTCAGAACCATCATAGTCAAACCAACCAGTCTGGTGGGCACATGGACTTACCTCCTCCTCATCCGCGGGGGTGACCTGCGCCACATGGGAGGCGGCGGCAGCATTCTCCTGGGAGGACTGAAGCGCCGAGGGGGTGGCCTAGGCCAAGGGGCCAGAACTGCGGTAGCTGTGATCTCCTGGCCATCAATTTGACCTAGTGAAAAAGGACCCACATCAGGAAGCATGCAATAATCACCCCTTGACCAGCCATGAAGGCAAATCCTGGGCATGCTGTGGTGAACAAGACAGGCTGGGGACAATGATATCCCAAAGCAATCCTACCAACAAGCCACAGCAGGACTGTTTTTGCCAGGGAAAACTAGGGGCACGGATCTCATTCGCTTATGTTCAGACAGCTTCCTAGAAGAACCACCACCCAAACAAAGACCTAAAGGAAGTGCTGGAACCTTCAAGATAGCAGTGGAACAAGCTTGGGGGCAGGATGAAGAATTTCCTTAGGTTTCCAGTACTGAGACAAACCAATATGAATCAAAAGGGAGGGAAAGCCAGGTGCCAGTGGCTCACTCCTGTAATCTTAGCTACTCAGGAAGCTGAGATGTGAAGATAGAGGTTCAAAGCCAGCGCCTACATGAAAGTCTGAGACTTATCCCCAATTAACCACCAGAAAACCAGAAATGGTGAGAGTGAGAGTGCTAGCCTTGAGCAAAAGAACTCAAAGAGGTGGTTCTGGTGTCTTATGTCTATAGTTCTAGCTACTGAGGAGGCTCAGATCTAAGGATCCCAGTTTGAAGCCAGCCCGGACAAGGAAGTCCATGAGACTTTTTTTTTTGGGATCCAGTAGTGGGCCTGAACTCTGGGCCTGGGCGCTGTCCCTCAGCTCTTCAGCTCAAGGCTAGCGCTCTACCACTTGAGCCACAGCGCCACTTCCGGCTTTTTTCTTTTTGCTTATGTGGTGCTGAGGAATCGAACCCAGGGCCTCATGCATGCAAGGCAAGTGCTCTACCACTGAGCCACCTTCCCCGCCCCTCCATGAGACTCTTATCTCCAATAAACTACTCAAAAAAAGTCAAAAGTAGCTCTGTGGATCAAGTGGTAAAGCACTAGCCTTGAGACTCAGGGACCCTGAGTTCAAGTCCTGGGACCAGGAAAAAAAAAGAAAAAAGGAGGGAAAAGGATTTAGAGAATGCTCAAGGTGAGCTAGCTTGGTGGGGTAATGAGGTGGAGTCTGGAAAAAGGCTGGTCTTGACTAGCAGCTGGCCAAATATGTACTCACCTTAACATCTAGCTGGTGCCACGAAATTGCTCATTTGGGCTGGCTTTGGCAGTGGGCTGGTGGCCAACTTGGGCTTAAGTTAAGCTCCCCAGCCGCTCTGTTCTTCACAATTTCCCCCTCTTATTTTCTATTCTTTTCTTTTTAATATTAGTCCCCATATGAATTATTCCTACCATACCCAATTACCTTGTCCCAATCACAATGAGACATCAGAGCTGAAGTCAGCACTCAGTCACCTACATCTGCATGGGTTTTTTTTTTTTGGTCAGTCGTGGGACTTGAACTCTGAGCCTGGGTGCTGTCCCTCAGCTCTTCAGCTCAAGGCGAGTGCTCTACCACTTGAGCCACAGCACCACTTTTGGTTTTCTGTTTCATAAGAATCTCACAGACATGGGGCTGGGAAGGTGGCTCAGTGGTAGAGTGCTTGCTTCCTATGCATCAGGCCCTGCATTTGATTCCTTAGCACCACATAAGCAGAAAAGGTTGGAAGTGGCGCTGTGGCTCGAGTGGTAGAGCACTAGCCTTGAGCTGAAGAGCTGAGGGACAGCGCCCAAGCCAAGTTCAGGCCCCATGACCGGCAAAAAAACAACAACAACAAAAAACTCAAGACGTTCCTGCCCTGGCTGGCTTTGAAGCGCTATCCATAAATCTCAGCCTTCTGAGTAGCTAGGATTACAGGCCTGAGCCACTAGTGCCCAGTTACCTTTGCATTTTTACTTGATAGTCTCACCCAGGCACCTCACTGCTGAGGATCAAAGTACAACCTTCACCCTTTCCTAATTCCTTTCTTCCTGAAGTTAACCCTCTTCAGTGTGCATGTAAATCCATATGCTTGGGTATTTTGCAAGGAAGTTGATAAAAAGATGAAAGAGCTCTTGTGCTTTTTTGGGGTAGAGAAGGGACTGTGTTGGAGGAGCTGATGCTCACAGCTGTGGAGGCTGTCTCTGAAGTCAGGGTTCCTGAGTCTGTGCCTCATTTTTATTTGCTTGTTACATCCTGAAGACTGTGGATCCCCGGAGCATCTGTCCCAAATAGCCTTCCCACAAACATTCATTCATGCTGACACTGACACCCCCCACCTCTTTGTCCAGAGTGCTGGGGACTGAGCTCCGGCCTTGTATTCTTTTGCCCCAGCCATGGTCTCAGTCCTTTTTCAGACTCTAAGTCTGCAGCACCTCTCCCTCTTCCCTCCCACACAAAAATTTCTACATTAAGTCAAATATATTCTCTGTAAGAAAAGCTTCATTTGATTCATTACTGTCAACAGACTGAAATTTCCTAAAATGTTAACACATTCACGTTTTCTGCATTTCAAGAATAAAAACTGGAATCCTGAATAAAATCGGGAATCCTTAAAGAGCTCCAGTGATATTCATGGAGCTTAGCTGGAAATCAGTCCCCCCATAGGCACAGACCCCTGGAGCAGAGGCAGGAGGTGCGGGGTTACTGGAAGGACCACCCACCTCCATCCATGTGCTTCAGCGCCTTCTCGGCCTCGTCTGGATTCTCAAACTCCACATACGCGTAGCCTTTGGACAGGTGAGGGTGCATTCTCTCTACAGGCATGTCAATCATTTTAATTTTCCCATAGGTAGAAAATATCTCCATAATATGATCCTACAGAAAAGAATGGTTATACTAATAAACATTTTTTTTTTCTTTTTGGCCTGTATTGAGGTTTGAACTCATAGCTTCATTCTTGCTTAGCCAGCACGCTACCACTTGAGCCATGACTCCAACCTGGCATTTTGCCGGTTATTTTGGAGATGAAGTCCTGTGGATTTTTCTGTCTGAGCTGGGTTCAAACCTTGATCCTCTGGATTTTAGCCTCCTGAATAACTAGGGTTACAAGCCACTGGCACACAATGTACCCACATATTTCTTAAGAGGCAAAGAGAATTTACCATGCAAACCCCAGTGTAAAAATGTCCTGCTACCTGACAAGAGCTATTGTGTTCTGGCTTAAGCCTCATAGACACATGTGCTGTGTGTTAAAAGGGTCACCCAGTGTGCCTCTTAAATCACGCACCACACCAGTCCTGAGACACACTTGCTAGCACAGTGCACTCACTGCTATGGGTGCTGCATCCCTCACCTTGGTCACGTTCCTGGTGAGCCGCCCGATGTGCACCTTGGTGGGCTTTGGGGAAGGGCTCCGTCTTTTCCGCTCCTTTTCATCCCTTTTAGGTGGTTTGGATCTGACAGAAAACAAAATATCAAAAAGCAACTTCTGTCAAGTAAGAATGTAATGACAGTTTCACTGGGAGTGAAGCGCAGTGCGAGACCCTAGTTTTCATGCTCAGTATTCAAGGCGGTGGGTCACAGTTCGCGGGGTCAGGACTGACTCCTGTTTAGTGGGATATAGCTGCTTGTCTTGCGTAACATCTTTCACAGGGAAGAGTTTACCGTCACTTTACGCACACTATTGTCTCAGATGCCCCTTCGGATCTCCTCTCCTAATAGTCACGGCACATTTGCAGCCCGGCCTGCTGACATACACTCACTTAGAACGGGAGCGCCGTCTGTTGTCGTGCCTGCGCCGAGAAGGGCTGGGGGAGCCAGAGGAGCTGCTGGAACTGGAGCTTCGGGATGTGCTAGAGCTTCCTGAACGGCTGGAGGCAGAGGAAGAGCTGGAGCCGCTGCTGGAGCCTGTGCTGGTGCTAGAACCGGAGCTGGAGGTTGAGCTGGACCGAGACCTGAGGGCAAGGCAGGTGGGTTGGGAAATGCCAGGCAGAAGTTGCTTTTCTCCACACAAGATGAAACTTGCTGTTTAGATACTGCTAGACCACAATGCTTTCTCCCCACTGGGGAGACTGCCTTCCTATGAGAAGATATCACTGTGTGGTGGTGGGAAGGAGGGCTGGCTGTTGGGGCCACACAGAAGCTCTCCCGCAAGGAGGTAAAGGAGAAGCCTGTCAGAGATCTGGACTACCACTTCATTTTCAACTACTGAAGAATGAGCCTGAAACCAGACCAAACACAATTTTGAAGGAAGGTACATTTAAAAGAACAAGAACAGAGTCAGGTACTGGTGTCTTACGCCTGTAATCCTTGCTACTGAGGAATCATATCTGAGGGTCACAGTTCGAAGGCAGCCCAGACAGGAACATCTTTGAGATTCTTACCTCCAATTTACCATTAGAAAACCCAAAGCAGCACTGTAGCTCAAGTGATAGAGCACTAGCCTTGGAAACAAAGCTCAGGACAGTGTCCAGGTCCCAAGTTCAAACTCCATGAAAAACAAAACACCAAGAAGAGACCCCAGAGCTGGGCACCCTAACAGATTGCCTCACCTGGTGCTGCTGCTTCCACTAGAAGCACTGCGTCGCTTCCGAGCCTTATCCCTGCCGCGGTCCTTCTCGCTAGACTCCTTGGTGGCCCCTTTATCTTTAGAGCGATCCTTTGACTTCTCGTCAGAGCGGTCTTTGCGTTTGGTAGGAGAAGGAGCCCTGGATAGCGAGGAAGAACGTGAGGCTGCATGCTCCTGACAGACCCGTGAAACAACACAACTCAAGAGAGGGGTCCAAAAGGGCAAGAGATCCCAAGCAACCACAGAGCAAAATGATCTGCGGCTTGGGACAGAATGCAAAACCATTTTTGGTCTCCCCTTTCTAAGGGTTCCTAGCAGCAAGCACCCCCAAAGTAGCACTAGAAAAATCTTACAGAAGGATTACCTAGTGCTGGACTTTTTATTATTTTCTTTGACTCCTAGCAAGCTCTTCTTTTTCACTCCTGATAAATCCATTCTCCCCTTCTGAGGTGTTCAAAGCAGCAAGGACGGCCTCACTTATCTGAACTCTCACTTCTAACTTGAGTCTGAGAAACGATCCCTAATCGATGGCAATTTACGCCAAAGAGCAGCCTAATAACAAGATAAAAGGGTTTAAATAAAGGATGAACGAATTGGCAAGGCAACAAATCCATCTTGTAAAATTGTGAAGACACAAAAGGTACAGGGGAACACAGTAACCAAGTGTGCACATAGCGAGGGCACGCAGGGACAGAGCCCAGGTGCGGGTTCCTCAGGGAGGACAGGAGCCCAGCCCCCTCCCCTGCAGGTAGGTGTCACCTGTTTGTCTTTCAGAGAAAAGAACACACAAGAATATATGCCTAAGGCATGGGAATGTCAAGATTCTTCAGGTGGTGAGGTTGTGCAACTCTAGATCTCACCCAGAAGTCTGATGACAAGACTTCCACAGTCCTTCCAAAATGTAAAGCACCACAGAGTAGAGAAACACACCTAACAAGTATGGTCTTCTGACAGGGTCAGACCTCTTTGTCTTTTTGCTGTAAATTCCTTTTAGGATACATTAAATGAGGACATGACTAGAGGTAAAAACCACTTTTAGATCGACAGGCAACAGTATCAGAGCATTTAATACCAAAGGTAAATAGAGAAAATATATCAGGATCATGAAAAAGGACAATTTGTTAATCATCTGAACACTGGGCATGTGGAAACCTATAAGCCTGAAATTTAATGATACAAGAAAAATGAACTGCTAAGCTTTATGTTTCTGAAGGATAATTCAGAAACATGACTTGTGAAGTCACGTGAGCACAATTATACAATGTCCATTCCTTCAACCTTTTGTGATTTCAAAAAATCTTGGGGGCAGGGGACACTGGGAATGTGGTTTAGTGGTAGAGTGCTTGTCTAGCATGCATGAAGCCCTGGGTTCGACTCCTCAGTACCACATACACAGAAAAAGCTGGAAGTAGCCCTGTGGCTCAAGTGGCAGAGTGCCAGCCTTGAGCAAAAGCAGCTCCAGGACAGTGCCCAGGCCCCAAGTTCAAGCCCCAGTATTGGTACCCGCCCACCCCCCAAACACACAAATCTTTGGGAAGGTAGACATTGCATCAGGTAAGACACTGCTCATCATCTAAGTGTTTAGCAAAGTGCTAGTACTGAACCAATTGCTTGTTAATGATGACCAACTTTATTAAAACAACTCCTCTGTCCTATTTTCAGGGATGGCTTCCTTCACTATTCCAGTTAGTGAGGTATATCAATTTTCTACAACTTGTCTTCTTTAAGGCAGACAGAGCAAACCACTTTGGGTTTTGCTCACACCCAGGCAGGGGTGCCTCAAAATCTTCTGAGCCAAGAAAGAAGAGCTGCTGACTGGACAAGTTAGTGGAAGAGGTCAGGATATCACCTTCTGTTCCTTTCTAGGGCTGTAAAATCTTTTCAAATTGTTTTGTTTTAAAATAGTAATGTAGCCGGGTGTGGTGGCTCACGCCTGTAATCCTAGCTACTCAGGAGGCTGAGATTTGAGGATCATGGTTCAAAGCCAGCCCTGGCAGGAAAGGCCATGAGACTCTTACCTCCAATAAACCACTCAGAAAACCAGAAGTGGTGCTGTGGCTCAAGTGGTGGGGCACTTGTCTTGAGCTGAAGAGCTGAGGGACAGCGCCCAGGCCCAGAACTCAAGCCCCACAACTTACCAAAAAAAAAAAAAAAAAAGGTCATGTACTATAAACACCCACAAGGGCAGCACTGGCTGTGCTTTGACAATCAGAGCACCTAATTTAGTGGCTGAAAGTGTAGTGTCAGCATGCTTGCATGCAAGGCTTAGCTAGGGACCCAGAGTGTATATCTCAGGAATGAGGCTTCTCATTAAAAGTGTGATGACAATTACAGTTCCCACCTTATAGTTTTCCAATTGAGCACTTAGTAAATGCTAGCTAGACAAGGATGCTTTCCCATGTCTGAAAGCTTTTGATCACATCTACTCATCTTCACAGTCACATGACTTCTAAATGTCCCACAAGGTTCCCCAAACAACCCCTCTAAAAACCCCTTAGAAACATCAATCTAATCAGTGTGGGGCTGGGAAGGTGGCTCAGTGGTAGAGTGCTTGCCTTGCAAGCATTAGGCCCTGGGTTCGATTCCTCAGCACCGCATAAGCCAAAAAAGCCAGAAGTGGCACAAGTGGTAGAGTGCTATCCTTGAGCTGAGGGACAGCACCCAGGCCCAGAGTTCAGGCCCCATTACCCACCAAAAATAAATAAATAAATAAATAAATAAAAATGTGGAGCTGGGGATCGAACCCAGGGCCTCACACAAGCCAGGCAAGTGCTCTGCCACTAAAAACATTTGTTGATAAACCTTTTAAAACGACTACCTTACCAGACAAACACAGCTCTAGAGTAGAGATTACTTAAGACTCTCCCCAATCTGTCCCAATGTATTTTATGAAACAAGCACTACCAGTCGCTCTTAAGCAGTTAAAAAAGTAATAATAAAACCACAGAATAAGTGAATGCTTTGCTGGTTGGGTCGAGGGCTAGAAAGCAAAGGTTGAGATGCTCTGTTCACACAAGTTCAGGTAACAGCTCGGGACCTTGGTTACCTCCCCCATCCTCCGGAAAGGTGCGCGTCCAACAGCCAGAGAGAGGAGAGAACAATTAGTTAAATCTCGAGCAGATGGCGTTTCAGTGCAAATCTTCCGAGCACCCTCCCCATGTTAAAAGTACTTTTCAGACGCGGTGCACGCGAAATGGCAAGGGCCGAGAAAAGCCTACTCCATGTCTCTCTGCGATCACCCCCTTCCCCACTTTTTCCCTTTTGAGCTCACTGTGTTTGGGCCACACTGCCTGGGCCCGATCCCCGGAGCTTAGCGCCAAGCACGGCTCGGTAAACGTCCTCGAGTTCGCGTTTGGATTACCCACTCTGGGGGGGGGGGGGGGCGAGTCCGGGCCTTCCAGGCGGCCCCACAAAGCGACTCCGTACCCACCCGCTCGCCCCCGGCCCTCGCTCGTGCGCGCACTACTCTCCAAGAGGGTCCCCGCCGAGGAGAAACCAGGTCTCCCGCCCAGCCGGGAACCCCGAGGACAGAGGCCGCGCTCCGAGCCGCCCCAAGGGCCACAGACCTCGCTGGGCCGCCCCGAGGCGGACGCAGCCGGGTCGTCCTTCCGTCCGCGGCGGCACCGACCACTTCCGGGCCGCGGCCTCGACACCTCCCACTCCACCCTCCCCGGGCCCCATTCTTTCTCTTCGGGGCCCGCGGTGCGCCGCCAGCCTGCCAGCACACCACGGGGCCGCACACCGAGCCGGCCCCACGATCCGCCCCACCGGGCCTGGCACGGGTCCCCCGACGCTCGGATGCGGTCGGATTCCTCCCCTCCACTTACATCTTCCCGCCGCTACCACCTCCTCCCGCTCTCCTCCGTCGCTGAGGCCGGCGCGGCTCTGACGTCAGAGTTCAGGAGCGGGAAGGCGCCGCCGTCCGGCGCGCCGTGATGACGCCAACGGCGGCAGCCAATGGGCGGGAGCGACGGAGCGCCAGCGCACCGAGGTCGTCTGCGGTTCGTGGTGCGCGCGCCGACTCCGTTCGTGGGCGGGGTGGGGGCGGGGCCCCCCGAAGAAGCGGCCTCGCGTCCCCCGGAGCGCGGCGCCCGTCCCGGAGCTGGCCGAGTGGCGCGCCCGGCCTGCCGCCCTGCCCCGGCCCCCGGCCCCGGCCCCGGCCCCGCAGGTCGTGGCCCCGCACCTTCTCGGCACGGGTGCGGGCGTGGAGCCTGGCTGGGGCGGCGAAGGGAGCCGCCGCCGGGGTTGGGGCCGGGGCTGTGGGTGCGGTCTCCGTTTGTCGGCAGGGCGCGGCCGGCCGGGGGAAGCGCACGGTGCCACCGGACCGGCATCGGCTCGCCGGAGGCGGGGAAGGCAGCGCCGTGCCCGGCTCTCGGGAGCGGGTCTGCGGGGTGCAGCTCGGCGGTGGCGACACCCAGAGGACGTGGCCGCCGCCGCGCGCGGGGCCTCCGCCCCTGCGGAGTCTGGAAGGGCCCGGGAGCGGCTCGCTCACGGGGTCTCCAGCAAAGACCAGGTGAAGGCGTGGAGACCGGGCAGGAAGCGCCGGGGAACCGGCACCAGCGCCGGGAGGTGCCCTGCACTGCCTCCCCTCGCCAACCTCTGTGCCTGGCAGGCGTGCCTTTGGATGTGATTTCTTGGGGAAGGGACGTGTGAGGAAAATGGAGGAGAACGGAAAAAGGAATAGGTCAGACTCCATGGTCAACGGGCCAGGGACTGCTTACTGTAGCCAGCAAGGGGCACAGACCTTCCCGGGGTTTGGAGGTTGTGGGAGGGACTGGATTTGGACCTGGGTTTGTGTGGAGCATCACAAGGAAGCAGAAAATTAAAAGTGGGCTCTGGTCTCTTGCGAGGCCAGGGCAGTGTCTTTGCCAGGCCCAGAGTGGAATGCTCAGGCTGGGGTGAGGGGGACTTTGGGCTGAGCCCAGGCGGGAACAAGCCTGTCTGCGGGCCAGCAGGTGAGGGCGCCACCGGTGCTTTGCTTGAGCTGGGAGAATAAGGCAGGAGTCATTCCTACATGTTATATATATATATAGTCGGTCATGGGACTTGAACTGTGGGCTTGGGCTCTTCAGCTCAAGTCGAGCACTCTACTGCTTGAGCTACAGCACCACTTTCGGTTTTCTAGTGGTTTATTGAAGATAGTCTCATGGACTTTCCTGCCTGCACTGGCTTTGAACTGTGATCCTCAGATCTCAGCCTCCTGAGTAGCTAGGATTACAGGCATGAGCCACTGGCGCCCGGCTATATTCCATATAAAACCATTGGGCCGGGAGGGGAGAGACCAGTCCTTCACATCGGAGGTGCACTCCTTGACTGCCATGGCCCCCACGGGTTCAAGACATCAAGGTTTTTGAAAAAAGATCCAAGCCAGTGTTTTGTAGAAACAAATCAATAATTTAGAGGAGTACATGTTGCAAGGCAGGGACAGGAAAGAGACCAGGATGCCGATAGATGATCCCAAACGGATGGAGGGAGTGAAAGGTTCAAGTAACTGAGGACAAACAGTTGAAAGCACTAGCCTACTTCCAGAGGCCTGTCCTGCTGAGACCCCCGTTGGTTCCTGGGCCGGTCATGATAATGTGGCCAGGCATGAGTTAGCTGAGTGGATAAAGAGGCCCGCCCTGTTGTAGGGGAGGGGCCCTGGAGGCTCTGGTGGTATTGAGGTGGCTTTGGTGGTCAAGCAGACTGTACATGGAGTTCTCTGAGGAGGTAGTGGCTGGTGACTAGAGACACTCCAGAAGGCCCCAAATCAAGAGCCTGTGTCCAGGGCAGCACTTGTGCCCTGAGTGGAAGAGTGTGCTCTGGTCCCCCCTCCTCCCCCACCCCCTCCCAAGAGGAGGGTGAGAACAAAACCCGCTGGGCTGTCGCCCCTCCCTGGTTTTTAGTTTAACATGCATATAAGCTTTTTAACACATTATATATTAAAGCCAAAGCATGGTTTATTTAGACACTGATCACGTTTGTTTCTAAATATTAGTGAATTTTGTAATCAAACGAGCTATTAGCTGTTGAGCTTTCAAACAGCGCATCCTGGCTCCTAACCATTTTGAAGATCAGCAGAAATGTTGGGGGGGGGTGGGGGGGGTTGGGTAAGATGATACACGCAGTCTCAGACGCAAAACCCTGAGGCCAGCCTGGGCTATCTAGCGAGACCTAGCCTCAAACTCACAAAACATGTTGGCTCTTTTGCCGAATGGGGCGTCAGTGGCTAACCAGTGCCTTGGAATGATACAGGGCATTCTCTGGGGCCTGCCCCAATTTTTTTTCCTTTCCTGGGGCTTAGGGTCACTTGGTGCTGCTGTAGTGTTGAGAGCCTGCCATGTAAGGCAGACCATCCTTCTGGGCCTGATGGTCTCTGAGCTACACCTTTAAAGCTTGTTGGCCTAGGACACTGCCAAGGTGGGCTATAAAGGAGATGGAGATCAGGTTAGCTTTGGATCGTTATCACTCTTGTAAGCCATGCCAAATAAACATCTACCCATCATGAAAACCGAGCTCTGGGCTAAGGCCAGGTGGAAGATGGAATTAACTTGGGAGCAGGGGAGAACCAAGCGAAGATGTGTGCTGAGAGTCTAGTCACCAAGGCCAAGTACCTGCCTGAGGAAAGGTGTGGCTGAGGGGTTTCTGGCTAGGCTCCTTTTGAGGGCCAGAATAGGTTTGAAAGGGTTACTGGGTAGCTGGTGACCGAGGCTTGCTGGGGGAGTTACTCGTGGGAGGTGCCTGCAGCTGTGGGCTTGCATCAGGAGGGGCAGCTGACCTGCAGAGGCTCCTCCGCCAGGGGCCTCTGGGCTCTTGCACAGTACTGGCCTCCCTCTGCAGATGCGTGAACTCAGGGCTCAGCACTCATCTGTATCTCAAAGCCACGTGTCCTTTCCCATCATGAAGATGACATCATCTCCCATCTCACAGGACGGTGGTGAAGGCCAGATGCAGTCATGAGCTGATACACTGGGTGGCCCGGGGTGAAGCTGCCGTATGGAGCAGTAAAGCTGGCCTGGTGTACACTGCAGCTTGCTAGCATTGGATGCTAAAAACTGGGGTGTGGGCAGGGCCCCAGGAACAGGTCCTGAGAACCCCGAGCATTAAGGAAGGTAGTGTTAGGATCCATCACGACCATCCCAGGGGACCACATGGAGGCAGGCAGGCACAGGAGGATTATTATAAGGTTTATTGGGGGGCATATCTCCCCTGGGAGAGGAAGCGCGTAACATCTGGTCCTGTCCAGGTGGTTAGCTCTGGGACAGCCTGCCTGCCTCTGCGTGGTCCCCTGGGATGGCCGTGATAGAGCCTCACAGGTAGGGCTCCCATTCTCTGGGTCTGACCCCAAGATTTACTCCCTCACTCGACTGCCCAGAGTCTAGGTCATGTTAGGTGAGGAGAACACGTGATCCATCGTGTCACCTGCTGAGGTCATGCCGGCATACAGGGGAGGGGAAGCTGTTGGGCACAGCACACACTACCCGTGTAGCTGAGTATGTTCTGAGTGATGCCGGACCCAGAAGTGAACGTCATTATCTGGGTGTGCCCTCCTCTCCCAGTCCCTGCTTCCAGTCAGCTCCTGACCTTGAGGAAGGGCCATCACTGGGACAGCAGGAGAGGGAGTGGACGTTGGAGTGACAAAGCCCTGCACTGTGCTCTCTGGGTTCTATGCATTGTTGAGAAATAAACGACCTTGAAGCTGTGTGTGTGTGATGTGGGGTTTTTGTACATGAAGCAAGGTGGTGGTGGATGTGGGCTGTGCTTGGTCTGCTCCTTCTGGGTGGAGTGAGGGCAGCCCTCTCCTGTAGACCTGTGCCGCAGTGCAGGTTCCGCCTCAGGCTGCCCACCGCAGGCTTCCCCCTCCTCTGTGGAGCCCTCCTCTTCAATTTTTGTGGAACTACATGGCTGGACTATGTGGGACTAGACAAAGCACACAGGCTGTTCCACAGACCTTGTCTGTCCACAGGCGCTGGACCTGGGGCTGATTAGAATTTGGAGTGGAGTGTGAGCCGGGGTCCCTGGGGAAGGATGGGCAGCTGTGTAGGCACGGCGTCCCCAGTGCCACCTGGACGCTGCTAGTCTGGAGAGGAATGGACAGAAAGGATGCAGTCTCTACCCCCTTCTCTGGTCACTGCCATTGCTTTAAAAAAGCCATTGAGAGCTGGGCGTCGGTGGCTCACGCCTGTAATCTAGGTACTCAGGAGGCTGAGATCTGAGGATCTCGGTTCAAAGCTAGCCCGGGCAGGAAAGTTTGTGAGACTCTTCTCTCTGGAAGTGGTGCTGTGGCTCAAGTGGTAGAGCGCTAGCCTTGAGCTGAGAGCTGAGGGACAGCGCCCAGGCCCAGAGTTCAAGCCCTATGACCCACCAAAAAAACAACAAAAAGTCCATTGGCTCCGCCTTCAAAGTCACTCTAGCACCTAGGGCCAGACCTCAAGGTGACCCAGGGGAGTATAAAGACTTCCTGCTGCTCCGGCCTAGGCTCCTACAGATGCTGAGACTCTTCTAGATTTTCCCCTTAGCTTCTGGCTGGCAGCTCTGGCCTGCCCGTGGGAGCATGGCCAGTTCGCACACACTGGGGAAGGCTGCTCTCAGAGTCTGTTCTGTGCTGTGACCTTTCCTCACACTTTTTTTAAATATCAAAATAGAAGAGTGGCAGATCCCAAAATCACACGGACTGAAATCAACTTCAGGTACCCCTGTGGCAGGGCTTTAGGGCAATTTCAATGTGCAGCTAGACAACATCACAGTCTCCTGCCTCTGCTCTGACCATAGACCCAGAGTGGCAGGCCTGTGGACCAGTCATGGGACCAGGTGAGGCTGCCTCCCCAGATTGGTTTTCTTGAGTAGTGTTTGGGCCACAACTCCTGTTATTTTTTTTTTTTTTTAATAAAATGGAGTTAAATGCTAATAGTTTGAAGAATTTTAAGAGTAAGAGTGCTGCAGGAAACTGCAGCCTTCCTATTGGAAAGATTAAAAAAATTGGGGCTGGGCATGTGGCTTAGTGGTAGAGTGCTTGCCTTGCATGCATGAAGCCCTGGGTTCCATTCCTCAGCACCACATACACAGAAAAAGCCAAAAGTGGTAGGATGCTAGCCTTGAGCAAAAGAAGCTCAGGGACAGTCCAGGCCCTGAGTTCAAGCCCCAGGACTGGCAAAAAAAAGGTTTTGTGTGTGTATGTGTGTCGGAAGTTCTCCCAACTGAGCCAAAGTGATTAAAAACAAGATTTTCTATTAACTTTTTTTTTTTTTTTGCTAGTCCTGGGGCTTGAATTCTGGGCCTGGGCGCTGTCCCTCTGCTCTTCAGCTCAAGGCTAGTGCTCTACCACTTGAGCCACAGCGCCACTTCCAGTTTTCTAGTGGTTTATTAAAGATAAGAGTCTCATGGTCGCCGGGCGCTGGTGGCTCACGCCTGTAATCCTAGCTACTCAGGAGGCTGAGATCTGAGGATCGCGGTTCAAAGCCAGCCCGGGCAGGAAAGACCGTGAGACTCCTATCTCCAATAAACCACCAGAAAACCGGAAGTGGCGCTGTAGCTCAAGTGGTAGAGCGCTCGCCTTGAGCTGAAGAGCTGAGGGACAGCGCCCAGGCCCAGAGTTCAAGCCCCACGACCGACAAAAAAAAAAAAAAAAAAAAGAGTCTCATGGTCTTTCCTGCCCAGGCTGGCTTTGAACCGCGATCCTCAGATCTCAGCCTCCTAAGAAGCTAGGATTACAGGCGTGAGCCACCAGTGCCTGGCTCCCTGAGCTGCTTTTGCTCAAGGCTAGTGCTCTACCACTTGAGCCACCGTACCACTTCTGGCTTTTTCTGTTTATGTGATACTGAGGAATTGAACCCAGGACCTCATGCATGCTAGCCACATTCCCAGCCCCTCTATAATTCTTTTTTTTTTTTTGGGGGGTCCAGTCACGGGGCCTGAACTCTGGGCCTGGGTGCTGTCCTTCAGCTCTTCAGCTCAAGGATAGAGCTCTACCACTTGAGTCACAGCACCACTTCTGGCTTTTTTTCTTTTTGCTTATGGGGTGCTGAGGAATTGAACCCAGGACCCAGGGCCTCATGAATGCAAAGCAAGCACTCTATCACTGAGCCACCTTCCCAGCCCCTCCCTCTATAATTCTTAAGGAATGTAAAATGCAGATATTTCAAATCACAGTTTCAGAAAACCATAAATAGTATGTAAGTAAGAAGAGGGGCTGAAGAACGTTCTGGAAATGCCGCAGCTAGAGACCTCCTGCCCACTCAGGTCTACAGGTCCTACTCCAACCAAGCCATGCTGTTTTCTGGTTGCTGACAGGGCTGTCTTTGGGCACTAGACCTTTTTCATTTGTCCTACGGGCCTTGACTGTAACTTCACGGCAGTAAATCCTGTGGCTTTTCTCCCTATTGAGAAAAGCAAATTCTTGCTTTTGTTTGAAATTTGATATAAGAGACTTGTGTTGGATTGTGGGAGTGGTTGGGTCCCAAGACACGCTCCCCTTCCCCCCCACCCCCCCTCCATTGCATGTGTGACTCGAACTGTCTGGTCGTGTTCCCTCAACCTTTATTTTCTGGTTAGAGTCACCATATGTCTATAAGTCTGCAGGAGACAGCTGCTGAGCCCTCTGGGCCCTGGCTGTCCAGTGACAAGTGACCTCCTGAAGGTGCAAAGTTGGGAAGAAAGGCCTGTGCTCTGCGTCTAGCCACTGCCTCTTCCTGTGCTGGCTGCTTCTGGACGATGTCTCGGGATGACCTCTGGCCTGGGGTCAGCTCCGCCTGGTGTAGCTGAACATCAGTCCAAGGAAGTGCTTCTGGGGCTGCACTGAAAACTAAGCACTGAGTCACGCTGACTTCTTCCCATCATGGATAGTAATCGTAACTTTTCTGTCCATTCACAGAGCCTGAAAGGCCTGACTTCCTTTTTCTCTCCCCAGGAGAGTAGTGTCAGGTGGACACATGGACAGGGTGCCGAGTCCTCCAGGTCGATGCAGACCTACCAGGGGCAGCTCTTCACCCAGAACCACAGCCAGCAGTACACACTGCCGCTCAGGCTCCGGGTCTGGGAGTGTGAGTTCCTGAGTTCCTGAGCGTTTGCCTTCAGGGGTGGAAATCCACATGCTGTTCCTATATCAGGACACTGACACACTCGGTCCATTCTGTGCATGATTCTTTTCCACCTCAAATTTTTTTTTTCATGTCCATCATAGAAAAGAGTGATTAAAAAGAAAAGAGAAACTCGGAGGGAGAGGATGCACAGAGTGCACTGGCTCATCCTGCCCTGCCAGGTGCCCTGTAGGCAGCAGGAGGCTCCTCATCGCCCCTCCTCCACAGTCGGGGGCTGCAGGTGGGCAAAGCTCAGGAAGACCTGCTCCAGAGAGATCTGGCTTACTGAGTAGTCATCCACTCCGTACTTTTCCTTGGCTTTCTCCAGGATACCAAAAACCTTGGGAAAAAGAAAAGCTACTGGTAAACCAGAACGCAGAGCTTGGCTTCTTGGCGAGGTGAGCAAGCCCTTTGCAGTGAGAGGCATATAGCCCCGAGGTGTCGCCAGTGCCCAGCCCTGCCTCAGGATGAAAAAAGTTGGCCTCACAAGCTCAGCTGTGCTCTTGGCGAGAGGCTGCCTCTGGCACCAGGACAGCAGGCATGGGCCAGGCTGCCTCTGGGCCCTGCTCCCAGCTTAAAGTACGTGCCCCCTCCCTAGGCCAGTTTCCCTTTTTGTAATGAGTTCTTCCCATCTCAAATGTTTACATGTAAACCCACAAAACTCACAGATGTTAGGATATTAGAGGAGCAACAGGAATCAATTCACCCTGAAAAGCGCCTGTAAAAGCCCATAAAAGGGGGAAAGCCCAGGAGATCTTCCCCTAGTCCCTATTAGCAAACACACAGGAGTCCAGGGCTTGCACTCACCTTTGCCCAGCTGAGGTCTTGGCCCGGTAGGTGGTAATGGACCATACCCTGGTGCTCATCTTCCAGGACGCTGCCTGCACCAAAGAGACCAGGTGTGAGTGATGGCTGGGCTGGAGGAACAGGGAGGACAGCCTGGGGGACAGGACCGTGGTCCTCATGTCAGGGCCAGGCGTGTGGGATGGACTCTGGACAGCAGTTGGCAGGTCCAGACAGGGCCCAGGGCCACCCAAGAGCACTGCCAGGCACCCACACACACCTGGGAAGGTCAGGTCCACGAACGCCTTGAACTCCTCCAGAGCCTCCTGCTGCCCTTCGCTGTGGACCTTGGCCTGCAGGGAGTAGCCGCTGCCAAACTTGCTCTTGAGGTGCTGCGGGCTGCCCAGACACTTGAACTGGCCCTGCACCATGATGGCCAGCCGGGTGCACAGCGCCTCACACTCCTCCATGCTGGGGGGAGGGACACAAGTGTGACTCGGGGCTGGGGGAGGCTGACCTCCACCCGGGTGTGAGGGCCTGTGCTGACGGGATGGTGACTCAGACCAGCCCATTCCTGATTCCCATGCTCAGCGCAGCCCCTGTGCAGGGCCTGGGGGATATCCTGGCTGAGTCTGTGCCCATGGCCAACAGGTCTTCTGCTCCCGACCTCTTCCCAGCCACCTGTCCTGGCTCTCCATGGACGCAGAGACCCAGGATCTACCTGTGGGAGGTGATGACAATGGCCTTGCCAGACTCCCGGGCCCGGGCCACTGTGTCCCACAGCAAGCGTCTGGCCACGGGGTCCATGCCAGTGGACGGCTCATCCAGGAAGATGACTGCAGGCTCTCCAATGAGGGCGATGCCTGTGCTCAGCTTTCGCTTGTTGCCACCGCTGACGGAAGGAGGGTGGGAAGCAAGGCTGATAGTTAGCATAGGCTCGCTGGTCCCAGCAGACCCCCATCATGGTTACTTCAGAGGCCCCATGTACAAGAAAGGAGTTTGGTGGGCCTAGAAAGCATACTGCCCGTAGCTGTGCTTATGGGAGAGCTGTGCTGAGTGGTGGGCCCATGCCGCGTGACACAGGAACACCATCTGTCCGCACAGGGGCCTGACAGAGCCCCTGCTGTCACTCCGCGCTGGCCTCGGCTCTAGGTAGCAGGGACCCTCAGCGAGTCCTCTGACCTGAGGAAGCCCATGTCATGTTTCCAAATCCTCGCTGATTTGGAGTTAAGGAGAGAGCCCAGCCACTGACTGACACTGCTTTATGCCAAGGGAGGCCCTCAGTCCTCTCCTCAAGGGGGAAGGGCTGGACAGGGGTCGCACCTGTATGTCCTGACCAGTTTGTTAGCATGTGGCTCCAGGAGCAAGCCCCGCAGTGTGTTCTCCACACAGGGGCCGATGAGGCGCTCAGGAATGCCCCGGAGCCGTGCATACATGACCAGCATCTCCCGGCCAGTCATGTGGTCCAGCAGGGCATCAAACTGGGGGCAGTAGCCCATCCGCTGCCGCACCTAGGTTACAACACAGCCCGGGTGAGGCGGGGTGGAGAGGACGAGAGAAAAGTCTCCTCCTTCCAGGGGACCGGAGACCACCTGCTGCTATGTGCCGCTGCTAAGCTCAGCCCTCGTCTCTTCCAGCAAGTCAGCCAAGGAGACAGTGCCCGCCATGGCTGAAGCTTTCTGAACTGTGCCCCAGTGGAGAACCAGGACAAATCTGGCTGGTTCAGGAAACCTTCTCGAGGGGTCAGACAGGGCCCAGAATGTTCCAACCTGGAACTTTTTCCACGACAGCTGGCCACAGGGCTGGGGGCCTAAGAATGACTTCATTATTAAACAAGTTTCCACCACCAAAGCCACTGCAGCTGATGACCGGCCACCGCGCATCTGCTCTGAGCTAGGACGCTGGCAGGACTTGCACTGGCTGCCACCGTGGCTGGTACTGGAGCAAGTGCCCCCGTCCACAAAGCCAGGATGCAGTGTGGCTGAAGCAGGTGCCCGCCGCCCCGTGGACCTCAGCAGCCCATGAGGCATCTGTGCTCGGGTTCAGTGGCTTTGGAGACCATAGTCCTTTTCTTTATCCTCCTTGGAGTTCTAGAACCAGCTTTTAATGGGTTTGGGGCAATTCTTGGCCAGTACCTTTTTGGCTATAAATGTAAATCTGGCACTTTTCGCCTGTGCCTGTCTCCAGATCTTGTATTTTTCTCTCTCTACACATATTTCCAATTGCATTCTTTCCTTACCATAGTGAACATTGATGTGCCTGGCTATTGCAAATCTACTCTGTGGCTTCATCCCTCTTGGGGCCTCCGTATGTGGATTCTGGTTACGTTGGCCCCCTTGGTTTGGCTGGTTGCAGGCTGTGCTCTGTTCATAGGCTGGGGGACCTGAGAGCTCTAGGTGAGCCCTTCCCCAGAAAGCCTGCACTCGAGTCCCTGGGGTGCCGCAGTCCACCAGCTCAGGAGACTCTGTGGCCACTTCTTAGACTCAAGCTCTCTCCCTTTCCTTTTGCTTGCTCTGACTGCTATGGGGCTGGAGCAAGAGGGCTGCCCTTGGCCTATTAGTCCACGGGGTTCAGTCCAATCCAGGGAAATCTGTGGGCAAGTCCTGGGCTTCCTACAATGCTGCCTTCACACGTCAGGGCTTCTGTCCCACATTCATGAATCCTGGACACAGGGGTCTCTGAGCACAGGAGGCTAGGCTAGAGCTAGCCATGCCTCTTTGCCCCCATCTCTTTCCTTACCTGCTCAGTTCCTGTCCTGCTATGCACAAATGTGCCTGTGCAGCCGCGAGCCACGGACCAGCCAGCCTGCCTCTGGGACTCGGTGCGCCCTGTGAGCCAGGGACCTGCCAGCCTGCCTCTGGGACTCCGTGTGCCCTGGGAGCCAGGGACCAGCCCAGCCTGCCTCTGGGACTCCGTGTGCCCTGGGAGCCAGGGACCAGCCAGCCTGCCTCTGGGACTCCGTGTGCCCTGGGAGCCAGGGACCAGCCAGCCTGCCTCTGGGACTCTGTGTGCCCTGGGAGCCAGGGACCAGCCAGCCTGCCTCTGGGACTCCGTGTGCCCTGGGAGCCAGGGACCAGCCAGCCTGCCTCTGGGACTCTGTGTGCCCTGGGAGCCAGGGACCAGCCAGCCTGCCTCTGGGACTCCGTGTGCCCTGGGAGCCAGAGACCAGCCCAGCCTGCCTCTGGGGCTCCATGTGCCCTGGGAGCCAGGGACCAGCCAGCCTGCCTCTGGGACTCTGTGCAGCCTGGGAGCCAGGGGCCAGCCATCCTGCCTCTGGGATAGGCCCCCTTTGGTCCGAGCCCATCAGGGCCGGCCTGCAGCGCTCACCTGCTGGATGTCAGAGCTGATGCTGTAGCCTCCAACAAAGGCGTCCCCTGAGGTGATGGTCTCCTCCCCTGTGAGCATTTTGAATGTGGTAGTCTTCCCAGCTCCATTGAAACCCAGAAGGCCAAAGCACTCCCCCTTCTGAACGGCAAGGGAGATCCTGTCCACAGCGAGGAGCGGCGCCCGCTGGTCATATACCTGTGGGGTGCCAGAGTCGGGGGGGGGGGCACAAAATGAAGAGGCCTGCAGTCAGGCCCAGCACCTTGCCTCAGCCCCTGCCAAGCTCCTAGGCCCCCGCCAGGACTAGCTGCGTGTCCAGGTGGAGGCTGATACCCATGTCTTACCTTAGAAATCTCCTTGATGATCAGGGGCGTGTGGGATTCCAGGCTGGGGGCCAGGACTCGGCTCCTCTCATCTGCCACATCTTGGTCTTCAGGAAGCACTGAAGTCCGGCTATGCAATTCTGCCTAATTGTTCCACACAGAGACCTTGTGTGTGAACCCCATCCCCTGGGAGGAAGCGCAGGGACCAAGACTGACATGGGATTGCCGATGGGACTAAGGTGTTCAAGGTCCTAGGAGTAGGGGCATGAGCTGCCAGTCTAAGCTGAGATAGAAGTCTTTTATTGTCCTGGGCCCAAGCAGGAGCGTGGGGAGCCTGGGGTCAGTGTCCCTGAGCTGTCCAGGAGCCACTCACCAGTGTCCACCTCCTCTGAAAGGCACAGATAAAGGTCCTCAGTCTCCATAGCAGGTTGGTCTCGATGAGGAAGAGCAGGCTGAGGTAGGCACACCCCGAGGCAGCCATGGAGGTCACAAACCTGCCCACCCCCGGCGTGTTCCACGCGTAGAAGTTTTCCTGGTACTGGATGTCTGCGTAGAGCAAGGAGCAGTCTGGGCCCTTGGCCAAGCACTCCCTCCCCTCCTACACGCCAATCCTGCCCTCACTCCCTGGGCCCTCCATGGGGACGGTGCCCTCTTCTTTTCAAGGGTGTGCCCTGGGTTTGTCAATGCCACACAGGAGGCTCAGGTACTTCCCAGCTGTGCGGGCCGTTTTGCTGCGTGCAGTGCCCTTCGTGTGCCTTTGACAAGGACTGCCACTCAGGCTTGCCACCTTGAGTTACACGCCGTGCTGGGTGCCAAGATGCCAACCCCACCTGTTGTCCCCAACTCCAGGCACCAGAGCCTTAGGGGGGCAATGGGCACATGACAAGCAACCACAAGCCCTTGCCTGCAGTAATGCTCAGCAGGAGCGGAGAAGGGCGTGCAGGCTCTGCAGAGGTGGCTACTGAGCTGCCAGCTGATGTATAAAAGAGAGGCTCCAAGCAGAAAGGCCTCACAAAGACAGGTCCGAGGGCTAATAAGCCCCAACTTGTGGACACGGATCTTCAGAAATGGGGTCTCTGAAGGTCTATTTAGTTATAGGCCTTATAGAAGGCCTATCCAACGACAAGAAAGGCAGGAGACCCAGACACAGGAGAAGAAGCTGTGTAGACAGAGGCAGCGATAGATAGACTGGTAAAGCTACAACACAAGGAAAACCACTGGAGCCAAGAGAAGCAGAGAGAGGCAGCATGGGGAGGCGCGTGCCTGCCCTCTCCTGGGCTGTGAACGTCCAGCAGGAAGCTTCAGGGGCGGGGTTGTGTTTATTGGATAAGTTGCAGGCTGCGGTCACCAGTTTTACAGGCAGAAGGACGTCAGATAGGTGGAAAGAACTGAAGCCCAGAGGCGGGCCCAGATGTGCATACAGGCAGCCATGAGGGATTGGTGTGGGGCAGGGGAGCAATGCAGGAAAGTCTCCAAGCACTCAGAACATGGAGCACTGCGACGGTTTGAGAGGCTTCCAAGGTGGAGGTGTTGGAATGTGATCCCTAGTGTGAGGAATTAAGAGGGCAGAAGCTGAATGCCATGGTGTGCAAAGGTTGGTGATTAGGACTAGGTACAGGGAGATTAGGACTAGGTACAGTTCTGGGAGAGACCCCCCAGAACTGAATCTGAACGGTTTTGGAGAGGGAGAGAAGTAAGAGGACAGACACACAGCTTATGATCCCATCTCAGGCCTGTGAGGCCTCTGACGGCCTTGGGTCTCTGGCAGGAAGATGCCGTCAGCAGACAGGACGGGCCCTTACACTCGGAGGGCTTCAGCCACGTGATGCTTGTTTCATAACTTCTCTAGCACTGTGCTATTGGTAACAGAAAACGGACAACATTCACCCCTTGGCACCCCAGGCAAGTCTGGGGGTGCTCTGGCTGCCTGGGGTGAGGGCCGAGAGGAAGGGGGGCTGGACACTCACTGTACTTCTTGCAGTAGTGGGAGGCAACTTCTGAGGAGGTGCAGTACTGGCGGGTTTCATAGTTCTCATAGAAGCTGCTGACTGCCATCCCCAAACAGTGGTTGGGTAGCACCAGGAACACATGATCCAGGGTTCTGGAAAGTTCTTCCAACTTTACCGCTGTAGTGAGGAGGAGGTATAGACCAGTTAGTGCTGGAGGATATACCTTCCACTTGCCTGAGGACAGAGGGGGCGCAGCCGTGGGCATGGGCAGGTCCCGGGTATTCCCACAGATCAGGCCCCTCCCTGGTCACCGCCGCAGACCCTCCCACGGCTGCAGCTGTCAGGGAGGCCCCTCCCTGGTCACCACCGCAGACCCTCCCCGGCTGCAGCTGGCTCTGTGGGCAGCAGTGGGGTGGAGGCAGTCTCCCAGCTCCCACCTGGGATGCGCATGATAGTGACCACGATGAAGGTGACGATGCCCGACAGGATGTTGAATATGGTCAGCCTGGTGTAGGCTGTGGATGCGCTCGAGAAGAAGAAACTCATGAGGTACATGAAGGGGATGATGGCCCAGCCATACAGGAGCAGCAGCAGCAGGAGATCGGCCATGTGGCCGTCCCGTGTGAAGGCACGCACGTCAAAAGCTCGAAACACCACCTGCAGTATCACACACAGGGACAGCTCAGCCCACAGGCAGTGGGCAGCTTCCCAGGGGGAGGGGAGGCTGGGGGGAGCATTCAATGGGCTTTAGGCCCTGGCCAGTGAGCCGTCTCAGGCTCCTTAGCTCCATAGCCCACTGCATCTCTCAGCCCTTGGACTGGCAGTTTCCATGTTTCCCCGGGGTTTCGGAGGAGCTGGAGCCATGATGGCTGGCCCAGGGCCGGCTTCCCCAACAGGAAGAGGTGGGAGCCATGTAGAGCTGCCAGATGGACTCTCCTGCTGGTTCTGGGTCTGCGCAAGGGCCCCCAAATGAGGCCCCTGTGGTCTGCAGGGCAGGGCTTGGCACCGCCCAGCACTTACCAGCAGCAGCAAGGCGGGGAGGAGGAAGGAGAGGAGGTCCCACAGCAGAGCAGAGAGCCAGAAAGTCGCCACATGGGCGCCGCTCACAAACTGGACGTGCTTGGCCTGGACGGCCCTCTCGCTGACTGCTAGGACAGAAAACGTGCTGGCCAGAAATGCCATGGCGAAGAGCAAGTTGAGGGCGATGTCAAATCCTTTCCGGCCCCTGGGGAGGGCAGAGCACAGTGTGTCTAGGCAGCAGGGAAGTTGGGGCCTTGGTCTTCACCGTCCAATGAGCAGTGCAGTGTCCAAATCCTTGAGAGGATGGGGGAGCCACAGAGCCACAGGGTGGCGGGGGGGGGGGGAGAGGGAGGGGGCAGCGCATATCCTTGAGGACAGCACCTCCTTTGGACTTCCTGTCTCAAACCAACAAGGGTGGTAGTCTCTCTTCAGGCTCTTTGTATGAGCCCCCGAGCCACACCCATTCCTGCACACTAGGGCCTGTAACACCAGTCTCTCTGCCTGTCACCCATGCGGGTACCTGGGGAGTCCCTGCCCAGCTTCCTGTATCAGCCCTAGACACCACTGTCTCATCCCTGGATCACTTAAGTAGCTAAATCTTACTTAATATTCCCTATCCGGTTGCCAGCAACACATTCTAGAAATAGACCTTGATGGCGTTGCTCTGGTGCTTAAAAACTTCCTGGTCAACTCAACACACCATGCCGGGACATGGGATACTGTTTGGCAAAATGAGAGGGAAGGGGAAGACAAGAAGTAGAGAAGGAAGGAGGAGGAGGAGGAGGAATAGAAGAAGGAAGAGAAGGAAGATCAGTGAAGGAGAAAGAAGAGGAGAAAGAAAAGGGGAAAACGAAAAGAAAAGGAAGGAAGGAACAATGCCAGAACTTGGGTGAATTTAAAAATACCATGCTAGATGAAAGGCGCCAGGCACAAAAGGTCACACATAGTGCATGATTCCATTTCTATGTAATGTCTAGGATGCTACAGAGACAAAGCAAATCCACAGCTGCCCAAGGCTGGCTGTTGAGAGATGGGGACTTATAGCTAACTAGTGGATACAGGTAGTGCCCATTAATCACAAGTTTAGGTGCCACCCCTGGCTATGCCAGCAAGTATTCAAGTGTATGTTGCGAGCAGGTAAACTGTTTGTGGGTGAATGAACTATTAGATCGGCCTCCTCCTGCCTGGTCCACCGTCACCCTAATAAGCTTGAGTTCCTTAAACGGACCCTTGGGACTCCTAGTCAGAGGACCCCACAGGGGGTGCACTTGCTGTTTCTTAGCTCCCAGCACAGCCTGGCCCCAGACCCTGGGCTGCTGGGGCCTCTGCTGGGAAGAGAAAGCAGAGCTGCCAGCAGGTCCTTGGATGCTCCCTGGTGAGGACTGCAGTGCTCAGCGCTGGGGGTCCTGGGCTGATGTTTTTTGTACTTTGGAGGATGTGGGGCTCAGGGCACACCGAGAGCTGGCAGCACCCATGGGACAGACATTCTGCTTGCTCTGGGTGGGTGGGGAGGTGTATACATACTCGCTGAATTGGTCCTTGGCAACCTGCAGGGCATTCCGGGGCTGGGGATAGTTGGAGACCTCAATGGAGGCGCGAGGGCCGCACAGCAGCTTGAACAGAAGGTTGTCCACGATGGCCAGGGCGGTGGCTGGAGAGTGGTACGCCTGGTTGTTGAATAAGGCGGTGACCACCATCTGTCCTCCCTCGTCTCTGAAGGACGTCGCCACCAGGCACCGCTCATTAAAACCACCTCCCTCCACCGAGGCTCGGAAAACCAGGAACTCTTCCAGGTCACCTGCGGAGCGAGAGCAGGAGTTGCTAGGGAACAAGCAGGGATCCTCACTACTATCGCAATGATGCTCACAGGGGCTGACCTTGGGCATGGCCAAGGTCCCTGGGCTGTGAGGTCTCCTGCCCGGCCAGCAGTGCCGCTACAATGCTGGAAGGCTCCCACTGCCAGGGCACTCAGGCTTTTCTCAGCTCTGCCAAGATCTTATCATCCCTCAGTACACTGAACCTCAGCCTGCGGATGAGGACATGGGATGGAGCGATGAAATGAGAAAACCGCCTAGCACATTCTTCTTAACCAGAACATGGCTGTTCTAAGTGCCGCCTAGCACATTCTTCTTAACCAGAACATGGCTGTTCTAAGTGCCGCCTAGCACATTCTTTTTAACCAGAACATGGCTGTTCTAAGTGCACTACGACATCGGTAGCCATTAGACAATTTTAAATTTCAAGCTTGGAAAACATGTCACAAGGCAAAGACACACTGTGACCAGCCTACTCTATAAAAAAGGCAAGGTAAAGACTGTGGAACTTTCGTGTTTTTCTTACAGAAAGCTGAAGAACGGGTGTAGTAGAGGAACACCTGGCCACGTCTAGCCCTAGTGAGGCGGCTGGTCTCTGCTGTGCCTCAGGACTGCCCCAGCACCGGGAGTTCTGCCCCGGGGGACATCTGGCAAAGGCCAAAGATGATTTTTGATGGTCATGATAAACAGGGGCAAAGTCAGGACTCTGAACTGTCCCAGGAGGCACAGGACAGCCAAGGCCTACCCGCCCAGAGGCTGGCACTACTGCAGGGAGAAGCTGGTCTCACCGGGCCCCCGACTCAGCTGCCCCTTACCCAGCACCTCGCGGGGCTCCTGGCCCTCAGCCTGTAGCATGTCTCTCAGGAGCTCCGACAGTTGCTGATCCAAGTGAGAGGTGCTAGAGACTGAGAAGGGCACCACGGTTCTGCCGTACTCGCCCAGACTCAGCCTCAGGAGCGGGTCGTCGAAGAGCTCGGTGGAGTAGCTGATGGCCAGGAGGGCCAGGGTGATGCAGGTCAGGGGGACAACGACCTGGGCTGCCAGCATCTTCCACTCTCGCCAGCTGTACGCAGCCTTCTTCAGGAACATGGCCCCCAGCTGCTGGCAGTGGAGGGGAAGCTGCGGCAGAGGAGAGGCAGGTAGCACGGGAGCTGGCACCTGGGCCCATGGCGGTACTGCCTCCATGCCACACCAGCCTGGGGGGCTTCGCTGACTATCCCTTGGATGGCTACACCAGGAGCAACCTAAAGGCCGTGGGTGGGCTCGTGAAAGCCACAGGAGGACGCGGTGGACTCGTGGGGGGAGGAGGGAGTGTGTCTCACAGCCGTGAGGCATGGCATATATAACCCAGCTGAGGGCCCCCTGCCTCCTGCTGGAGACAGCGTTGGGAGGAGACTGTCCCAGAGCTCATGCATAAGTCGACAGACAAACCTCCACACCCACTGCTCTGGACACCGGCCTGCCCTCCTTCCCCAACTTCCTCCCTTCCTGGCCCTGTAAAGGTAGAGCCTCAGGGCCTCAGGTCTTAGTTCTCCACACACGGCCATCTGATTGGCCCAGGCCTCTTTCTTGTTTATAAAGTTGGAGCAATGTTACTCCTGTTGTCTTTTGCAAGTTGCGGTAAAGCCAGGTTGGCACAGAGGTGGGCACAGGACAGGCTGTTCAAAGGGTACTGTTAGTGTTACAAGCAAATATTCCATCTTAGCTGTGAGCACATGAAGCCATTCCAATTGCTCCATTAAAATGTGTGCAGTGAGCCGAGTGCCCTGCTGGGCGTCAGCCGCCCCGCCACAAGGGGCCAGGGCTTGTCTGCTCTCCCTGCGCTGGCCTAGAGTGACCCCAGCCCACAGCACGCACCCCGGTGTTGAGCTTGACCATGGTGTGGTCCTCCTCCATGAGGCCACCGATGCCATTCGTGGGGTCCATCATCCCACACAGGTTGCTGTCTACCGCCCAGTCGCTTGCCCGCCTCTCGTGTTGGTACTGCAGGGCAGGGAGCTGGATGGCTTGGATGTCCATGCTGGTGTCCACTAGCTTGCCAACCCTGCCCCGAAGCACAGAAGTACTGTCATAATCCAGCTCCCAGGTTGGGAGGAGGGACACAGGAAGAGGGCTTGGGTGGGTGGCTGGGAAGCAGTGCTACATTAGCTTGTTCACTCATTCCATTACGCTCTCAGGATGAGCAGCCTGTGCGTGGCCCATGTGCTCTCAGGCCGGACCCTGGCAAGTTCACACATGTCTCACATATGGGCTGTGGTTTTCTAAGTGTACAGGCATGCAAACTTCGGGCCAATGGTGCCCCTGCCCTGTCCCCACTCTAGAGCCCCCTCTACCCTCTGCTCTGGAGAGCAGAATGAGGCTAACTGCCATACTTTTTACCCTTACCAAAATTACCCCCAGTGCTACATCTGGGACCAACAGGAAACTCATGTCTACTGACCGGAGGAAAACCTCTTCCATAGTGGTAACTGAAGCCCCAAAGCTGGCAATGCCCAATTCCTTCTGCTTCTTCTCCAGTTTGGCAAAAAGACCTTCAAATCTGGGGGAAATAAAAAAGACCCAGAGTGATGAGGTGCTTCTCAGACACTTTCTAGGTAATTCATTCCTAAATAATCACTGGGTAGAACAAGTAGGGACAGAGTATAGAAAACTTCTTGCAAGGTCGTTATTTTATTTTCCTTAATTTGTTTTCTGTGCTTGGGGATCAAATTCAGGACTTGACCCATATTAGGCAAGCATCTTACCACTGAACTACTCCCAGTGCACAATGCCTCTAACAAAACAAAACACTCCAAAACTTGGGTTCATATGATCTGGTGTTATTTTTGTTGTTGTTGTTGCTTTGTTTTGCCAGTCCTGGGGCTTGAACTCTGGGCCTGGGAGCTGTCCCTGAGCCTCTTTGTTATCAAGGCCAGCACTCTACCACTGAGCCACAGCACCACTTCTGTTTTTTGAGTAGTTTATTGGAGATAAGAGTCTCAATGACTTTACTGCCTGAGCTAGCTTTGAAGCATGATGCTTTGATCTCAACCTCCTGAGTAGCTAGGATCCCAGGCATGAGCACCCAGCTTTGCTTTTTGTCTTGTTTGTAGAACTGGGTTTGAACTCAGGATTTCATGCTTGCTAGGCAGTCACTCTTGTTTTTAGGATACACACACACACACACACACACACACACACACACACACACACACACACACACACACACACACACACACACAATTAGGTTTGTAGCAACACCAAGGGGAAGAAAGATTTCCTTTATTTTTAACTATGTGCACTTAGGCTTGGACACATAAAATCACAGAACGGAAAGGAACTGGTAAAAATTCATTTTGTCACAGGGCAGGGAAATACTTTCTGGGAAGAAAAGTAATAGAAGAAATTACAGTAGGAAAGATATCTCACTTTTAAATGTGAGATCCATATGGAAGAAAAATCTTACAAAAATCAAACACAACAAAATAGGAGAGAACTGCAACAAAAATGGTTAATATGAATATATAAAAGTGGTGCATAGGGGCTGGGAAGGTGGCTCAGTGGTAGAGTACTTGCCTTGCATGCCTGAGGCCCTGGGTTCGATTCCTCAGCACCACATAAGCAAAAAGAAAAAAGCCGGAAGTGGCCCTGTGGCTCAAGTGGTAGAGTGCTAGCCTTGAGCTGAAGAGCTGAGGGACAGCGCCCAGGCCCAGAGTTCAGGCCCCACGACCGGACCCCCCCCCCAAAAAAAAGTGGTGCATAAATGAGCAAAAAACATAAAGATAATGGGATTGAGTGACCCTAAAGGTGTGTGGACTCCTCCTGCCCCCTGCTGCAAGAAGCAGAGAAAGGCCACCATTCAATAGAATTCAGTAGAATGTATACATTACACAGAGCAGCTACACTGCTGTATCCTGCAGACAAGGAGGGGAAGCTAAACATCCATTCAGAAGAAAACTGAGTACTAACTGCCTCACCGTTGGGAATTATCCTGAGATGGTGTCTGTTGTGCACATCCACAATTTGTCTGTGAAAGCTAGTTATCAGTTCCACAAGTAATTCTGAACGCAGCAGCTGCCGCTGCTTTAGGAGGGAACTGCACACTAGGTATGGATGGCAGGCAGGCATAGATCCCCCTCCCAGCCCCATCTGGACGACATGGTACCCTGCACCAGCCAAGCATTGTTCCTAGGGGCTGCGTGGTGCTCGGTGGCTGAGCCGGTGGAGGTACGGGGTAACTGAGCAAGGAGGCCTCCTAACCAACTCATACCTAGCCTTCCCACACCTGCACCTGTGTGTCCTGCGGGGCACATACCTGTGTGTGCTCTCCTTAGGAAGAATAAAGGACAGCTCAGCCCCAGCATGGCTCTCCAGTGTGGCGTTGGGGACATGGCGGTGCACCAGCTGGGAGATGGCTTCAGGATTACAGTGTGGTTCTTTCACTAGGGTCATATGGTAGCCAGCACCTGGAACACAAGGGCCAAGAGTGAGATCCTCTGGAGTTCCCTCAATGGAAAAGGGGCTGGAGAGCCAGCACAGGGACATCTCAGCGCTCCTTCATGCTGTTCTAGAGTCCCCCATGTTTTACTGGGTAAACTGTGGGGGAAGCCTATCAGGAAAGCCTGCTTGAAGCCAGGGGGGCAGCCACCAGCGAGGGACCAACAAGACCGCCTTGACCTTTGATCCCCATCTCCATCTCCCAAGTAGCTGGAATTATAGGCTTGAGCTACTGTGTTGGGTTTATACCATGCTTTTGCTTGTACAACTGGTGCTCCACCACTTGAGACATGCCTCTAACCATATGCAGCACTTCCGTTGGGAGTAAAAATGCTGGTGAGCACAAATGGTTTTGACAAGAGCCAGCAGCTCTTGAAGGCAGAACAGGAGCCCGGCCACCCACAATGCTCTGTCCCACCACCCTCCCTCATTCCCACATGGGGTGAGTAGACGGGAAGTCGAGAGGAGGCCACTTCCCACCTCTGTCAGGGCCCTTCACAAAGGCTAACGGTGGGCAGTGCCCCTCAGCACAGCAGGCAGCGGTGCTGGCCCTGTCACAAGACGGAGGTCCATCTGCCCACCTGCTGCCCGCCACTCACCATATTTCTGCTTGAGGAACAGAGACGACCCACAGCACTGCAGCTCCCCATCTGCCATGATGGCGATGCGGTCCCCCAGCAGGTCAGCCTCGTCCATGAAGTGCGTGGTCAGCAGGATGGTGCGGTCACTCTTCTGCTGCTGAAGAAGGTCCCAGATGGCCCTCCTGGAGATGGCGTCCATGCCCGAGGTGGGCTCGTCCAGAATCAACAACTGGATGGCAGAGGCAAAGTTGTGACAATGGCAGAGCCGCTTTCCAGACCGGGGCTGGCTGTGCTGGGGACCTGCTAAGCTACCTTGAGTTCTAGTGCCCAGATACGTGTTCAGTGTGTGTGGGGAACCTGGCCTGGCCTCATCAGGAGGTGGGGTGCAGCCGCCCCGTACCTTGGAACCCGCTATGAGGGCAATGCCGATGGAGAGCTTGCGCTTCATTCCTCCACTCAGGTACTTGCACCTCAAGCTCCGCTTGTCCTCCATACTGAGGGCGTATAGCATGTGCTTCACTTCTTCAGGACACTTTTGGGGTGACAGGCCTTTCAGCTGCAATGGTGGAGGATGGAGTGGGAAGATGAGGCTGCTGCTCATGGGATCCCAGCTGCCCAGAGTTCCCTAGAACTCTGAGACGTCTTCCCCCGGTGATGCTGGCGCTGCACACCACCTCCTTTACCGAAATCCTAGCTTTTATGCCGCGGCTCTTCAGGCCAATCGTGTCTTTTGGTGAACTCAGAAACCCAAATGCATCAGCAGTGGATTACCGCTCCCCCTCCCCGTCCCTCCACCCCCCGCCTACCTGCGCATAGAAGTAGAGATGTTCTGCTACTGTCAGGTTGTCAAACAGGACATCATGCTGGGGGCACAGGCCCAAGCTCTTCCGGATCAGAGCCATGTCTTGGGAGATTTCATATCCACTGATGTACACACGCCCACTGGTAGGAGGATAGAGACCTGGGGCCGAGCAAAAGACTCCCAAATTCAGTGTGAGAATCCAGCTTGTCTGCATGAGGTGTCATGACCTCCTCCTTAGTCACTGCTTCCCTCTGCTTGACCAAGCATCTTGCCCAGAGAGTGCCGGGAACCCCCACTCCCCACTGCAGTAAGCTCTGTCTAGCTAGGCAGGGGAGACAGAGGAGGGAGAGGGACAGAAGAGGGGTGGCCATCCAAGCTAGGCAGGAACAGGAAATGTGCCCTCACACATCTGTCTGCACACGGGTGTGCAGAGCAGGAAATGTGCCCTCACACATCTGTCTGCACACGGGTGTGCAGAACAGGAAATGTGCCCTCACACATCTGTGTGCACAAGCATGCAGAGGTGCTTTCCACAAACCGGCATGTCAGATCTGGGCCTCTGCTACCACGGGTGACTCAGCACTGGGGGAAGGTAAGGAACAGCCTTGGAGTTGAGTGTGGGGCAGGACGGGTGAGCCCACTCCTCGGTGTTCAAGGATTAGCCTTGCTCGCCTTTGCTGATCCCACTGGGCTCAGGCATTCATGAGCAGGGCTGAGAGGGGGGCCGGCATGTGTTCCCCTGGGTCCTGGGCGTCACTCCTCACAGCTGGGACTTAGAGGCCTGGGGTTTAGTGGAGCAGTGCTAGGGTGGGCTTGCCGGCCAGAGGCTCACCTGTGAGAACAGAAAGGGTGGTAGTCTTCCCTGCACCATTGTGGCCCAGCAGGACAGTGATCTGGCCCTCGTACAGGTTCAAGTTCAGGTCTCTGACAGCTGCCTTGTCCTTATTTCCCACTCGGAACACCTGCGGGCCAGGCAGAGGGCCACTGTGAACTTTCCACAGCCACAAGGGACCTTCCTGTCCCTCTGCAGTACAGCCCCAAGTGCCTCAGGTTACCAAGCCAGGTGCCAATCGGCATACAGAGGACTGAAGTCTGGGGCAGATGGTGGACCCTCCTGCCCTGCTCCTAACATGGCCCACGGCCCTCTGGATGTCTGCATCATGAAGAGGCCAAGGTATCTGGTAGAATGGAGTAAGCATATGCTGAAAAGCTGGCAAGAGGCCCAGCCCAGGAGCCACTGTGGCTGATGCCATTGAATCTGGAGCCATCACCTGCGCTTGATCAGACACAGAATGGTGGTCTATGCCCTGGAGGACAGGTCAGGAGCAGATGAGGGGCCCTGGACCTTCTTCATCAGGTGCCCAGGACAGAGGAAGGGAGTAAGGCCCAGAGACAGCACCTGCCATGGAGTAGCTTCCCCTAAAGACCTCGGCCCTGTCTCTACAGGGAAGTGGCACCTTGGACAGATGCTTGATCTTGAGCCCGGCTACCAGGTCTTCTGGCTCTGCTTCAAAGTACTCCGTTCTGAGAGCTTTCTCAGGGTCACTGTCCTCTTCCTCTTTTCCAACCACTGTTCTTGGGCTCCCGCACCAGTAGGAGGGCTGGCATAGGGTAGAGACAGGTGCTTGTGTCAGTTTACTTTGCGATCAATAATGTAGACAACAACAACACACTAAATACACACTACAACATGGCTTCCTCTGACCCTTTCAAGGCACATGACTAAAGAAAGGACAATGCTTACAAAGCTCCTCTGCTTACACATCATCCCTGGGATAGCTCTAAGCCTTGCTTTCCTATCTGGCAAATGGGTACAACAGAAACTCACAGCTTAGGGCTGGGAAGGTGGCTCAGTGGTAGAGCGCTTGCCTTGCATGCCAGAGGCCCTGGGTTCGATTCCTCAGCACCACATAAGCAAAAAGAAAAAAGCCGCAAGTGGTGCTGTGGCTCAAGTGGTAGAGCACTAGCCTTGAGCTGAAGAACTGAGGGACAGCGCCCAGGCCCAGAGTTCAGGCCCCACAACCGGACCCCCCCCCCCCAAAAAAAAGAAACTCACAGCTTGTTGTGAATGTCAACATGGATGCTATAGAGAGGAGAGGGAGTCTGTCAACCATAAAGCTTAATAAAGAGAGGTTACTAAACACTCCAGTCCAGAGTAAAGGAGCTGTGTTTCCATGCTACTCAGCTCTGTTCCTTGGCTTTTATCACTCAAAGCTGGCACTCTACCATTTGAACCACACCTTCACGTGTGGCATTTTGCTGTTTAAGTGGAGATAAGAATCTTACAGACTTTCCTGCTCAGGCTGGCTTCTTACTGTGAACCTGAGATCTCAGCCTCCCAAGTACCTAGGATAACAGGTGTGAGCCACCAGCACGCGGCTTCATCATTATTACTTTACTGTGTTTGGTGAAAACCATGTGTTGCTTTATTAAGCAAATGTAGCAGTGTCACATCGGGGCCTGTGTGGACAGCCGCCACCTGGCAGCACAGGCACAGGACAGGTCTATGGAGGCACAGGACAAGTCTGCAGAGGCACAGAAAGAGCAGGACAGGTCTGCAGAGGCACAGGTGGAGGACAGGTCTGCAGAGGCACAGGTGGAGGGAGGACAGGTCTGCAGAGGCACAGGTGGAGGACAGGTCTGCAGAGGCACAGGTGGAGGACAGGTCTGCAGAGGCACAGGTGGAGGACAGGTCTGCAGAGGCACAGGTGGAGGGAGGACAGGTCTGCAGAGGCACAGGTGGAGGACAGGTCTGCAGAGGCAGAGGCAGAGCAGGACAGGTCCACAGAGGCAGAGGCAGTAGGAAGTGCTGCATACTCTAGCAATATGACCATTTTTACAAATCCTGAACTGTCCTGTAGGCCCAAACCCAGTAAGATTTCCCAGGAGCAAGAAGCAGCAGGGGGGCTGGGGGAGTGGCAGCAGAGTCTGCACGTGCTGTCTGGTAGAAGAGGGACTAGGAGCTTCCTCTCTGTACCCTTCTCATTTCAGATCCTGGGAGTGGGTCTTCATCTTTCTCAGAACTAATGCAAAGGCTCTCAGAACCCTGGAGCAGAGAACAGGTCAGTTCTGTGGCACGTTTGTGCAGGTGCTGTGTGCTAGGGTCCCTGGGTGAGCGCTTACCATGAGGAAGAAGTACCAGGGCTGCGGCACACCGAACTGGCCAGGGAAGACAGCCTCCACATACCAGGTCACCAGGCCGTAGAGCACGGAGTCCAGCAGTAGCATCCCCAGCACTTGCCCGAAGCAGAAGTCATCATCCACGTTGACAGGACTCAGGAGGTCTCGCCACTGGATGCCTGTGCCTGAGGAACATTCCAGGAAAATAGCCCAAGCTGGGCAGGCTGGGAGGGCCCAAGTGGTACACGCGCATGCAGTCACTCTGTGCTGTCATTGGGAAGCAGTGTGAGTGTTCCCCTCCCAACTTTATAAGCCATCTGATAACTTCCTTCAAGTTGTTTTGACAATGGCAAGCTGGCAAGTTACAAAATCAGTAAGTCCCAGAATTATTTCAATGGGCTTGCATTTCATTACCAATGAACACACATATAGACATGTATGTCTAGAGATGCACATAAAGACAATATACATGTGTGAACAGCTACCAATATGCATATGCACACACACATGTCCAATGTGAACTAATGTGAATGTAACAAGCCCTTCTTAAAACTGAGACACCTGCTGGGCGCCAGTGGCTCATGCCTGTAATCCTAGCTACTCAGGAGGCTGAGGTCTGAGGATCACGGTTCAAAGCCAGCCTGGGCAGAAAAGTCTGTGAGACTCTCATCTCCACTAAACCACTAGAAAACCAGAAGTGGCACTGTGGCTCCAGCGGTAGAACGCTCGCCTTGAGCTGAAGAGTGTAGGGATAGCACCCAGGCCCAGAGTTCAAGCCCCACAACTGACAAAACAAAAACAAAAAACGAGACACCTGAGACAGACGGGAAGCCTGTTTAATGGCACTTGGTTTGCTGGCAGCACACTGCAGAGCAGACATGCCTGGACCTGGAGGTCTGCCCATCCCTTGCTGGCTGAGGGACCCTGGATGGAAAGGCCTGCTCTCCAACTGTGGCTTTGTTTTGTTGGGAGATTTTTTTTTTTCCAATGTGAATACCATGTAAACATTTATGTTTAGAAATTTTGAGATTTTCTTTAGAGTATTAATAAAATTGTCAATAAACCTATTTATTGTTAAACTAAAAAAGCTGTATTCCATTAACAGGATACTAAATATGAAAATAAATACTAAAAAGCTACAGTCTGGAAAAACTGCCAACTGAAGAAAAAAAGTTGTAATTAAAGGCAAGGCTACTTTGTGGCCTGTGGCTGCTCATCCACCTTCTTCCACGAACCCATGCATGTGGAAGCTATGCCCAAAGGAGTTACAGGGCCATAGTTTGAACGCCTCCCAGAGTCCACGGTGGGAAACCAAGGCCCAGGGCAGCAGCACTGGGAGCCTGCAGACATGTGTCTGCACCGTCTGCACGTCTACTACGGGAGGGGCAGTGCTCAGGGTACCACTCTGAATGCACTGGGCCCTACCAGACACCAGACCTGCTGGTGTCTTAATTTGCACTTCCCAGCTTGCAGAACCCTGAGAAATAAGTGTTGGTTCCTCATGGATGACCTAGTCTTTGTATTATGGGATAGCAGTACAAATGGAGCAAGATACACAGCTGGGAGAAATGGGCAGATCTGGTTTCAGAAAGGGAACAATTGGGCAGGGAGGGGCTGAGATGCAGGCCAGCTCCTCAGAAGAGGGACTGCATGCCATGTCATTCCTTCCAGGAGAACCAGAACAACATGCAAAAGCCCCAGGACAGTGGCTGCTGAGTGTACACCACAGGAACTGGACACATGGCTGCTCATAGCCTCATCTCTCCTGCAAGGGGAGAGAGAGGTGGGCTGGGTCCCAATCCACAGCCATTTTTCCCTCCAAAGATGTACTGAGAGGGGCTAGAGCCATTCAGACATGAACCAGGGCCTTGTCCCACAAGGAGAGAGGTCTGTCCTAGAGATTTCCCAGCAGAAAAGGGGTTAATTTGGCTCCATTGAAAATGGGATAAACCTTGCAAAATGGGAGATCACAGGCCAATCAGTGTAAACAAGTGTTTATTTGACCCCCATGACCTTTTAAAAGTCAGGAAAAAATTTCTTGGGCTATCACTGGCGTCCTGGGCTATCACTGGTGTCCTGGGCCTCCCTGCCCTCATCTTCAATCACTGCAGGAGGAGTTGACTCAATTCTTTTCTTTTTTTTTTTGGGTCAGTCATAGGTCTTGAACTTAGGGCCTGGGAGCTGTCCCTAAGCTTCTTATGCTCAAGGGGAGCCCTCTACCACTTGAGCCACAACTCCAGTTTTTGGTAGATAAGGAGTTTCATGGAGTTTCCTGCCTGGGCTAGTTTCAAACCATGATCCTCAGATCCCAGCCTCCTGAGTAGCTAGGATGACAGGTGTGAGCCAGTTCTTCATCAGGAGTTGGTGGCAACAGAGGTCAACACCTGGTCACTTTGCGGTCTCTGGTACAATCATTCTTGGTGTCTCAGGAAGCAGGAAGAGCTCAGAGGCCAGTGAGTTAAGGCCCTCAGACAGAAGCAGGTGTTACGGCAATGACTCTAGGCATCTTCACCTTTGGTGGTATTTGGCCCACGTCCCTCAGGGCTCCAGTCACCTCATGGCCTGTCCCCATATTGCTTAGAGCCAAGTTGGAACTTTATACAATGCCTGTGCATGTCTGCCTATGAAGCCTACACTTGGAGGCTCCCCAATTAGTTACCTGGCACTGCCAGAGGCGCTTCTCACAAGACGCTCCTCAGTTGAAGGACAACACTTACCTTTGGCTTCAAATTTTCCTATGAGCTGGGCTCCCATCGCCATGGCAACATTGGACAGAAGACACGACAGGAGCTTCTGGCTCAACGTCATCCAGTTGTAGTGTGGAGCCACGAAGAAGTAAGGGATATAGGTGAAGAAGTAGAGGAAGCCTCCCACGGCCGCCGCGATGTTGGCTGTGGGGAGAGGGGGCGCCTGGGATGTGCTGCGCATTTGCCAGCAGATACGTGCCTCATGGCAGTGGTCAGGGAAGAGGGTGGGCCCCACCTGGGCCCAGTGCTGGGGGGACTCTGGGCTCAGCCCACAGCCTCTTTACTTCTCATTGTACGTGTTCCCTGGGGATAGCACCCAGCCTGGGATTCCTGGCTCCCTCCTGCAGACTCTCCCTTACAGCCTTTTCCTTGACATCTCACCCCAAGTCTCCTCATCTGCTTTGCCTGATGGCTCTCATTTTTTCATTCATCCACCCATTAAATACTCACTGAACACTTACTCTGTCCAGGAACTAGAGATGGTACCACAGAGCAACCCTGAACCCTTCTCAGAGCCTGGAGGCCAGCATTCCCCTAGGGTCGTCCTTTTTCAAGTAGGAAGTGCTGCACACAGGGTGCCCCATGGGACAAGAGCTGGGCGCAGCAGCAAGGCTTAGAATGGGAACCAGAAGGCTTCATGGAAAAGTGACATGTGGGAACCACCCAGCAGAGGCAAGCACGCAGCTTGGCGCATGGTGGGGCAGGGGAGGAAGAACAGTGTGCTGTCAGCTCATGATGGCAGTACACAGATCTCTTGGCATTAAGATCCCTTCACGGGCCAGGTACCTGGTGGATCACACCTATACTCCCAGCTACGGAGGAGGTGGAGGCAGGATTGCTGTTGGAGGCTAGCTCGGACAAAAACTGAGCAAGGTCCCATCTCAACCAATAAACAGGCGTGGTGATACATGTCTGTGGTCCCAACTACGCAGGACACAGAGGCAGGAGAATTATGCTCAGAGACCATCCCCAGGTAAAAAACTCAAGACCCCATCTGAAAAGTAACTAAAGCAAAAAAAGGGAGGCTGGCTCAGGAGGTAAAGCACTTGTCTACAAGCAAAGGAGTGCAGTCTACAGCACTTGTCTACAGCAAAGGAGTGTAGTCCCGAGTTATGGCCCAAACAACTCCCCACTTAACCAAAAAAATCCAGTAATAACCACTGACAAGCTTACACACATTTTGTTATGAAAAATAGCTGCATTTCCACAATGCAGTGAGAAGAACAGCCTGGCTTCATGTGTTTGTAGTCTCTGGAATGTGTAACCTCACAGATAGCCCTTGCATTCTCGCTCTGCACCGTGTTGCCTGGCTGAAGAGGAAGAAGCAAACATGGCTTCAAGTTGTACAGCTGGGTGCTGTGTTAGTCCTTGCAGACACTGGTAGCTATTCCTGATACCATACCATATGTGCGGGCAAACCAGACAATGGACATTTCACTCTGTCCTCTGAGAAGCTGTTGGTTTATCTTGTACTTTGAATGGATTTGTCCTCTTATTTGATTTTGTAACATAAAGCATTCATTGTTTGGAAAATATTGCTTATTTTATCTTCCACTGACACATTTTATTACACAGTATCAAAAAGATCACATTAGTTAATATTATACCAGTCTCATGAGAAACTCTTTTTTTTTTTTTTCGGTCCGGTCGTGGGCCTGGGCGCTGTCCCTCAGCTCTTCAGCTCAAGGCTAGCACTCTACCACTTGAGCCACAGCACCACTTCTGGCTTTTTTCTTTTTTCTTATGTGGTGCTGAGGAATCGAACCCAGGGCCTCAGGCATGCAAGGCAAGCGCTCTACCACTGAGCCACCTTCCCAGCCCCTCATGAGAAACTCTTAAAGGTTGGAAGCTGTCACATTCATGGTGACAGACTTGAGGTAGTAAAATCCTCAGTTGTTGTTGTTTTTTTTGCTTGAAAGCTTTAATTTATTAGGGGGTATCAGATATTATCAGTGATTTAACATTAGAAACAAAAACCAGGCCCAGATTTTCTTTTGAGAATGCCTATCAAATCTACAAGTGCAAACAACTATAGCCTAACAGTCCTTCATAAATAAAGCAGCTAGTTTAGCTGACAATTCAAACAGCTGTTCATGTGCTGTTCCTGAAGAGAACTGCATCCAGTATACAGCGAGGTACCTTACATGTGTATCCCATTTCATCTGCTGAATATTGGAAGCAGTGTACTCCGGAGCTGAATGTGTGGCTCAGTAGTGGAATGGTGACCTATGATGTATGATGCACTTGGTTCACACCCCAGCACAACAGGTTTTTTTAAAAAGTATATTCAGAAGTGAAGATTTAATCAAAGTAGTATTTTTACTGTTTCATTAAGGAAGTTCTTTCTCCTTCCTTTTCTCTCTCCCTTTCTCCCTCCATCCCAGCCTCGTCTCTATGTCTGTCTTTCTCTCTTTTAGAAGCCTAGAAAGTTAATAAACACTCTGTGGGGTACACACTGATCCTAGATATGTTGATTAACTTAACTTTTTGAAAGACTTCAAAGGTAATCATTTACGCTCAACACTAAGATGAATCACTAAGAAGAATGGAGACATAGTTGATATTTTCCAAACCATCAGAGGTAAAAGAACCCAAGGAACTGTCAGTCTGACATAAGATAGAATATGAGAAAACATCAGTCCAGGGAAATGACAGTAAGTAGAACACACAGAATCCAGAAACAATCCCAAAGGTAACAGTAATCGCCGGTGAGTGTATATGAGCTTTTCCTCTGGCTACTCTTGGCGTTCCACACAGCAGCCACACTTGCCCGCTGCAGCCCCCATGCGCTAGCCATCCTGACTCCTCCCTAGCCCTCCGCATGTGCCTTCTCTTCTCCTTCCAGCTCCTTTCTGGGAGAATTTGTGACGCTTTGTCACAGGCCTGTGCCAGTCCCCTTCTAAGCCTGTCCCTCACTGCTATAACCTACTATGTGCAGTCCCAGCCTCCCAGGTCCTCTCTTTTGGCAACTCAACCTCTGGGGCATCTACACAGATGCCCTTTGACCCCTTCATCTTTTTTTTTCTTTTTTTGGGTGGTCCAGTCGTGGGGCCTGAACTCTGGGCCTGGGCGCTGTCCCTCAGCTCTTCAGCTCAAGGCTAGCGCTCTACCACTTGAGCCACAGCGCCACTTCCGGATTTTTCTTTTTGCTTATGTGGTGCTGAGGAATCAAACCCAGACCCTCAGGCATGCAAGGCAAGCGCTCTACCACTGAGCCACCTTCCCAGCCCCTGACCCCTTCATCTTAAATGAACTGTCCCACTTTCCTAAGTTATGATCACCCCACAGTCCTTCAGCCTGAGAGGAGCCTTACCTTTATTGAAGAAGGTGCTGACCATGAAGCTGAAGGAGATGGAGGAGATGGCAAAGCACAGTAGGAAGACCAGCACCAGAGAAGGGTCACTGCTTGAGAGCACTGCTATGTCCTTTTTCACCTGCAGGAGGGACAGCCCCGAGCCAGACGGGGGGTCAGGCCAGAGAAGCCAGGGCTGGACCAGGAGTAGCCTAAGTGTTTAGGTCACATGGCACTACTCAAGTGGGGAGCTGGCCCTTGTCTCAGCCAGCAGAAAGCCCTGTAGTCCCCTGGGGAGCCTGGCCTGAGGTCCGGCGTCTGAGGTGAGACATGCTCTGCTGGGTACGGTGGGCTCTGTGCCCTCCTCCCCTCAGAGCCCCACAGAGGTCACACTCACCTTGATGCACAGGAGAAGGGTCATGAAGGAGACTGCGATGAGGAGGAAGAAGAAGAACATGAGGAGCCATGCGGTCCAGTGCAGCCAGCTGCTGAGCCCCATCATGTGCATGTACTCCTGCCGGGGTGGGGGAGGCGTCACACCTGTCTGCAAACCGCGGGCCTTTCCCCAGAGCCACCTGTGTGCTAGTGTGTGTGGCTGCGCACGCCCGCGTGTGTGCATGTGCGTGCGTGTGAGTGTGTGTGTGTGTGTGTGTGTGTATAGGTTTTGTGCCTACCTAGAGACCAAGAGGAGAGCCAGGTCCCTGTGCTGTGAACCGGACACAGGACTCACATAGCATATGTTGGGGAAGAAAAAAGGCCCTAGTTTAACCATCCGGGGCTTAGAATTTGTTGTTGTTGTTGTTGGTCCTTGGGCCTGAACTCTGGGCCTGGGCGCTGTCCCTCAGCTCTTCAGCTCAAGGCGAGCCCTCAACCACTTGAGCCAGAGTGCCACTTCTAGTTTTCTGAGTGGTTTACTGGAGATAAGAGTCTCAAGGACTTTCCTGCCAGGGAGGGCTTTGAACCTTGATCCTCAGATCTCAGCTTCCTAAGTAGCTAGGATTGCAGGTGTGAGCCACCAGCTCCGGTTGGTCTAAGTATTTTTCTCCTGCCTCATATGCTCTCCCACCTGGGCCTGTCCCTGGACCAACATCCGGATGAATTGCTCCAAATCCCTATGTTGTGCCCCGCCCTCACTGCCCACACCTCTACACGGAGTAGCCTAGCTCTTCCTCAGAGTAAAGCAAAGGCTTTGTCCTCCCACTGGCTTCACTAGGCCCCCTCATGCCAGTGCACCCCTTCTTCATATGTGCTGTAATAGTCAGAGGCTAATACGGGTGCTGACTGATGTCAATTAAGCTGGTTGATTCTCTCCAAAGTCCTTTAGAGTGCTCCCATGTGCTATGGGGCAGTTCCAAATTGTGGGGAACAGTTTCCAGTCTCTTATGGTACCCGAGGCACCCCCAAAACTATAGGTGTGGCAGCTACGACTAGAGCCCAGAATCAGCCTGCCTGGCCGCTCCCCAGGCTAGCAGAAAGACCCTGCAGGCGACTTCATCAGGCTCCTGAGCTGAGACATGACCCTGCTCAGTTTGTGCCTGTGAGCTTGCATTAGAAGCGCTTGCATTAGGCAGCCACTGCCTCACCCCACACTGTTCTGAAAGGAGGGGTCCAGAACGTTGGTGGGAAAGGTGCCTCATGTTGGGGAGCAGGAATGGTTAGGTGGGCAGCAGTTCTGATTACACCTTCCTTCCCCATGTGCATGTCAAGCTGTCAGAGACGCTCTGAGGAAGCTGAGTTCCTCCACTGACCAACACACTAAGATGTATTATAGCCAGTGGCTCCACATGGCTATTTCAACCTAAGAAAAATCAAGTGAAGTTAATAATTCACTCTCTACTGGGGATGAAGTTGCATGACAGAGAACTTGCCTAACAGTCATGAAGCCTGGTTGACACACACACACACACACACACACACACACACACACACTTAACACCTTCTTTCAAGAGTTCCACAGTGACTGCAATAGGCAGCAGTTACAATACTTGTTCAATGTCACAGATACACATACAGCTCCACTGAGGAGACCAGGACTGACTGAGTCTTGCAGGCACAGAGTCAGGATTTTCCAAGTTATTGTTATTACACACAATTCCAAATCCTTAGAAAAATTGGCTGGGTATGGCAGTGAATACCTGTGACCCCAACTATTTGGGAGACAGAGTTAGGAGGATTGACATGAGAGGCTAGCCCCATGCAAAAAGTATGAGATTCGAGTTGTAGAGTGCCTGTCTGGCAAGTGCAAGGTCCTGAGTTTAAAACCCAAGTCCTCAAGAAATAAAAAGGAAAAAAAAAGAAAGGAAGAGAAGAAGAAAAAAAGTATGAGATCTTATCTGAAAAGTAGGCTAAAGATGTAAAAAGAGCTCTGGGCACCTGCCTAGCAAGCACAAGGTTCTGTCAAATTGCAACCACCAAACCTTTGGAATAATAAAAAGACAAAGTACAAGGACCTACCACTTAGATTTGATGATCACATGATGCTGGGTCTATCTGCTTCACTGTTTGTCTGTAGTTGGGTGTCACACATGTATTTTTTCCCTAGCCAACTGCTAACTATCTCAACACTGTACCATTTTATTGTTTCTTTAAGGAACCCAAGCCAGTCTTTGTGTGGTTATTAGTTCTTGTCTGAAGCCGTTTAAAACATCCAACAATCACCGAGTTAGCTCCAGTGAGAATATCCTGTGTCATTTCACACTAATATGGACGTTTTTAGAAGAGGAACTGCAAACAAATTCTGTGGGCAGTGTGAGTGGGGTAGTGGCATTCTTCATTGGGCTGCTCCTCATCCAGTCAGGTTAAAGTTCACAGCGACACTCTGTGCACATCCAACTTTCTCTTATTAGGCCTAACTGTCTACAACTATGGTTGTCTTTCATCTGTGTTCAATACTGATTCCTGTTCAACATTTTTTTTTTTTTTTTGCCAGTCCTGAGGCTTGAATCAGGGCCTAGGTGCTGTCCTTGAGTTCCTTTTGCTCAAGACTAGAGCTCTACCACTTGAGCCACAGCCTCACTTCCAGCTTTTTCTATGATTAACTGGAGATAAGAGTCTCATAGACTTTCCTGCCGAGGCTGGCTTTGAACCACGATCCTCCATCTCAGCCTCCTGAGTAACTAGGATTACAGATGTAAGGCACCAGAGCCTGGCCTGATCAACTCTTAAACATTTTTAAGATTACCTCCTGTTCAACAGGAGACATTTTCTCTTACTGCGGATGTACTTCCAAGAGCTGCAGTATCTAGTGTCTCTTGGCAAAGGGGAGGTACAGTGGTGGACACCCTGCACCTCAACTCTTCTGGCTCCCACATGAAGGGATCCTGGCCAAATGGTAGGTCATCTCTTGAGACAAAGCCAGTTCTTTCATGCAAGCCCCAGGGCACACAGGCATGGTGGCACCACTCCCACAACCAGCAGGCCGGAATGTCACAACGCCCTCCCCCACAGGGTTACCTTTAGTTTTCTCTCTTTCTCCTGCACCACGGACCGGATGATGGTGAGGGAAGTGTAGGTGAAGCTCAGCATGAGTAGCAGGGGAAGCTGGTACTGGATGGCGATAAGGAAGGGGTCTGAGATGAATGGTGGGAAAGGGAACCTCTTTGCCTTCACCGTGAGTTTCTGGAAGAGCTGCTGTGTGGAGGCATTGGCATGGTAGTGCATGATGGCTTTGTCCACAGCATGCTGCACCACCAGGAAGCCTTCACGAATGTACCCTAAGTACAGAAATGACAGCGGTGTCACAGGTACTGCTTGCCAGAGAGCCACACATCCTGATCAGCCTTGCAGGGGCTGCAGAGGCAGGGGCACAGCAGGCAACTCGGTCAGTTCACCTGCCAATCCCAGCACAGATCTGTGAGCCCATGCAAGAGAGAAAACACACTGCTGACTGACAGCAAACAAGAACAGCGATGTTTCTGTCCCTTTCACTTCCTAATGAACCCCATTTTACAGGAGCACATCAAGAATATCAAGAGATGAGTAAATTAACTCCAATGACACATTGCTCTACACGATATATCCTAAACATATGTCTTTTTAACAGATAAGCATGTGTCGCCGGGGATACAGGCTGAAGAGAGCACTGCTCTTTCCAAAGCTTATGGTAGACTTTCAGAAACCAGTTTCCCTGGATGCTTTCCTCCTTCTTCTAAAAACAAGATAAAGGACTGTGAAGGAGGCTTAGTGGGAGAGTGCTTGGCTAGCATGCATGAGGCCCTGGGTTCGATTCCTCAGTACCACATACACAGAAAAAGCTGGAAGTGGTGCTGTGGCTCAAGTGGTAAAGTGCTAGTCTTGAGCAAAAGAAGCTCAGGGACAGTGCCCAGGTCCTGAGTTCAATCAAGCCCCAGGACTGGCAAAATAAATAAATAAATATAAAGAAATGAATGAATACATACATAAAAACAAGAAGAATATTCCTAAGAAGCATTGGTGCCTGGACACGCCAGGCAGCTTTGCTCTCATAGCTGGCGCCACATGGCAGTCAGAGCTAGTAACGTGCCCAAAGGGCTGCTCACCAGGTTCCCCACCATCAGGGGATGTGGGTTCCCTTGGTCCTGGGTTTGGGAAAAGTGGAAAAAGGGAATTGGTGTGCCAGCCATCTGTTTCTTTCAGGAAAAAGTTGCCTGTTTGGGTCCATATGTAATTTCTTCGTGCACAACTGAAGCGTAGGTGGTATTTCACCTGTGGAAACAAAGAGAAGAGCAACTGCTCTGAGGGCTTTGGACAGAGGAGTGGATGCTACAGTCCCACAGGGCACAGTCCCAGGTTCTTCATCACCAAGACTGGTGCCTCCAGGAACTCACCACACCCTCACCACACCTGCATGCAGGGATACCTTTTGGGTATTAATAACAACTTATCTCTTGAGAGCTGGCAATAGGAACACTGTACCACATCTGAGAAGGAGGCAGGATTTCTAGACGGTCACCAATACCAGGCAAGACAAGGCAAGACCGTTTCCCAATCTTAATTCCATCAGGAAAGCAAACAATTTTCTTCTTTCTCTCTCTCTCTCTCTTCTTTTTGACAGTCCTGGGGTTTGAACTCAGGGCCTGGGTACTGTCCCTGAGCTTCTTTTGCTCAAGGCTAGCACTCTACCACTTGAGCCACAGTGCCACTTCTGGCTTTTTCTTTATGTGTGGTGCTGAGGAATGGAACCCAGGGCTTTCTGCATGCTAGGCGAGCACTCTACCACTGAGCCACCTTCCCAGCTCTACCACCTCCTCCTCCTCCTCTTTCTTTTTTTTTTTTTTTTGGCCAGACAATATTTAAGTCCTAAATTTCTGCTACTTGCCTATCTACCCTATCTGACTCTTAACTAAAAAGAAGCCTAGACATTAGTAACATTTTTTTTTTCTAAAATGGGAGAACAAAAGAAGTCTGAAGCAGCACTCTGTGGGTGCTTCAGAATCAGTCGGTTAAAACATCATCAGGCTGGTCTGGAAGGTGGCTCAGTGGTAGAGCACTTGCCTTGCATGCTTGAGGCCCTGGGTTCGATTCCTCAGCACCACATAAGCAGAAAGAAAAAAGCTGGAAGTGGCGCTGTGGCTCAAGTGGTAGAGTGCTAGCCTTGAGCTGAAGAACTGAGGGACAGCGCCCAGGCCTAGAGTTCAGGCCCCACGACTAGACTCCCCCCCCCAAAAAACCAAAAAACATCACCAGGCACTCCCAGTGAGGACCAAGTGGTGACACAGACTCAGAAGACAGGTCATGCCCACTCTTAGGCAGGCAGGGGTTAAAGAAAGCAGCCATGTTTTTTTGTTTTTTTTTTTTTGGGTCCAGTCATTGTGCCTGAACTCTGGGCCTGGGCGCTGTCCCTCAGTTCTTCTGCTCAAGGCTAGTGCTCTACTAGTAGAACCACAGCACCACTTCCAGCTTTTTTCTCTTTGCTTGTGTGGTGCTGAGGAATCAAACCCAGGGCCTCATGCATGCAAGGCAAGCGCTCTACCACTGAGCCACCTTCCCAGCCCCAAGCAACCATGTTTGAAGGTCTAATTAGTATGAAAAGGACGCTGCAGGTAGGCAGGATGCTGGGGGGCAGCCTCACCGCCAGTGGCAGCGGGTCCTTGCTGTGGTTGAAGACATGCTCAAACACCACTGCGGCCAGCACGTTGGAGGAGTGGTTGTCATACCGAATGTAGTCCTCGAAGTCCTTCTCAGAGGGAAAGCCTCGTACTGTGGACAGACAACAGAGCTGTGAGTTGCCCAGTGGTCCTTGTCCCTTGAAAAGCCTAGAAGTGTCGGGGCCCTTCAGCTAAAGACTGAGCCCACCAGGTGCTGGCCTTTCCCATTGGTAATCCTAGCTACTTAGATGGCTGAGATCTGGAAAGAGTGCAGTCAAAAGCCAGCCTGGCCAGAAAAGTCTGAGAGACTCCATCTCCAAAATAAGCAGCAAAACCCAGGCTGAAAGCTGGGCACTAGATCACGCCTTTAATTCTAGCCACGAGAAGGTGGAGATATGAGACCAGTTTGAAAAAAGCCTGGGCAAAAAAGTCCACAAGACTCTATTACCAATTAATCACCAAAAAAGCTGGACTGGAGGTGTGGCTCAAATAGCAGAATGTCAGTTGAATGAGCAAGCTGAGCAAGTGCAAGATCCTGAGTTCAAAACCCAGAACCCAGAAAAAAAAAAAAAAAAAAAACAGATGACAAACTGAAAATAATCTCCAGGGCTCTGTGAAGCTTCTCCTGAGACTGGAGTGGCTTTTGTCTTAGCAGACAGACCGGCTGTGTAGGCAGCCCCAGGCAGTGGGCTCTCCCGCTGCAGGTTTAGAGCAGGGCTGCAGCAAAGCTCAGCAAAAATGAGCCTCAAAAAAAATGGGTAACAACCTCAGGCTGGGATCTGCAGCCAGGGACATCTTCTTTTTTCTCATAAACGTCATGGCCTGTTTTAAAAACTGGAGTGTAGCCCAGGCATACTGGCTCATACCTATAGTCTCATCTACTTGGAAAGCAGAGTTGGGAGGATTGCGATTTGAGAAAAGCCCCAAGCAAAAAAGTTAGCAAGATCTCATCTCAACTACCAAGCTGGATGTGATGGTTCACATCTGTGGTCTCTGCGATGCAGGAAGAACAGAGCAAAAATGGGCCCGAGGGGTAGAGTGCCAGCAAGCATAAGGCTTTGAGTTCATACCCCAGTGCCACCAAAAATAAAAATTGGGAAGGATGTTAACTTATAGTTTCTAAATTATTCTCTGCCTCCCATTTTACAGAGAGAACTTTAGTATAATAATTTGCTGAGACAAAGGAATATCTTATAATTGCTGCTACCCAGAGCTTCACCTGCTCTAAGAGGCATGTCCCAACAGGAAGAGGTAAAAGGTAAAAGACAAAAGGTGAATGGGGTAAAAGATAAAACAGGAAGATAAATTTACTGAAGGCAACGAAAAGATACACATTTCCTGGGCGTCTCTCTTGATAGGCTCTTTAGAGCTGCCCCTTGAAACAACAGAAAAGGTCCTTGGTCCAGGCACTTGAGCCTGGCTGTGCTTTTATAATCAAAGGCTTTCCTTGGCGGGGTCCTCCTAACTTCCTCTGTTGGCACAGGTGTGGCTGCAGAACCTGGTATGGCCAATGCGGCCACACACGAGCCCTTCCATGAGACATGGGGTCGCTGGACGAAACAACCTACAAGAACTACTGAGAGTGGATGCAAAGCTGCAGCCTTTTCCTTTTTCTTTCTTTCTTTTTTTCTGTCAGTTGTAGGACCTGAACCCTGGGCTTGGGTGTTGTCCCTCAGCTCTTCAGCTCAAGGCGAGTGCTCTACTGCTTGAGCCACAGTGCAATTCCAGTTTTCTAGTGGTTTATTGGAGGTAAGAGTCTCATGGACTTTTCTGCCAGGGCTGGCTTTGAACCGTGATCTTCAGATCTCAGCTTCCTAAGTAGCTAGGATTACAGGCATGAGCCACCAGCACCTGGCTCAGCTTTTTCTTTTTGCTCTCTCTCTCTCTTTTTTTTTTTCAGTACAGATGATTGACTTAGGGCCATGGAGTAGCAAGAAGTCTACTACTTAAGCCATACCCACCCCCATCCTTTTGGCGCTGGGATTGAATTCAGGGCCTCACAGTAGCTAGGCATGCTTCCAGCCTTGCTATTTGATGGCTATTGTTCTACTTCCTGCCAGGGCACAGAGATGCTTGTCCTGCGATCCACCTGGTTTTGTTTTCCCCTTGCTGCTGGGTGACAGCTGAGTGCCACCACATCCAGCTCCCTTGCCATGGAGATGGACTCTTGTGGACTTTCCTGCCTGGACAGGAAGCAGGCATGCACGTTGTGCTGGGTTATGGGTTCAGAAGGGCTCTCTCCAACATCCCTGCCTTTTAACTGTGATCTTCTGGCCTTTTACTGGGACCTTCCTTCCTTCCTTCGTCAGTCATGGGGCCTGAACTCTGGGTCTTGGCGCTGTCCCTCAGCTCTTCAGATCAAGGTTAGCACTCTACCATTTGGACCACAGCGCTACTTCTGGCTTTTTCTGGTTATGTGGTGCTGAGGAATCGAACCCAGGGCCTCACGCATGCAAGGCAAGCACTCTACCCCTGAGCCACCTTCCTAGCCTTACTGTGATCTTATCATTCTTATCCTGACCTTTAACTGTGATCCTCTCATTCTTATCCCCCCTAGTAGCTAGGACTACAGCTTGGGCTGTAACTTTTAACTGGGTCTTTTCTGTAAGGTAGAGCCCGAATCACAAATCCTCAGCCCAAGGTGATAGAACCACAAGGAACGAACGATCAGAACCCTGGCCCAGGCTCATGGGATCTCACCTCTTATGTTGACCTGCAGTGCCCTCTTCACTGTCTCAGTGACTGTTCTGGCAGCTTCGCTGTGGGAAGGGACATAGGCAAGTTCCCAGGTGCCCACTGATGGGGCTAAAGTGAAGAAAAAAGGCAGCTGCTGGATGGACTGGCTGGGGTAGACAGTAGCGTTGGGCACATTTTCTGACTGAATCTTCAAGCGAAGCCAAATCAGGATCCCAGAAAACAACAGGGGCAGGAGGAGCTCCAGGATTGTCACCAGAACCTTCCGCTTCTAGAAGACAAATAACCACCCCATTGATGGAGTGCTCTTCCCTTGAGGGTGTCCCAGCACCACAAGCACCCCTCCTTGGGCTGGACCCACCTTCAGAGTATAGTTCTTCCAGAGCAGGAGGGCCAGCTGCCGCAGCACCGACATCCTCCCTCCGGTGGGGTGCCAGCACGAGCCGTGGACCAGAGGTGAGTGATGGAAACCTAGACCACTGGTATCCGGGGAAGAGCCATGAGCTGTCTTCCTCAACAGCCCTTCTTTAACCCCAAACACCTCCACAGAGAATGGCACAAGGCTCTGTCCCACCCTGATTCCCAAAACACGCAGTTCTGTAAGATGTCCAAAGATCATATCCTCTTTGGAGGGATTTATGTCTTTGTCTTGGTAGCAACTTGAGCCATGCACCCAGTCCTTTTTTTCTAATTTGGTCATTTTTCGGGTAGAATCTTGTGCTTTTGACCAGGCTCTCCTGTTCCTCTAGCATAGCTAGGATCACAGCTATATACTACACTGAGCTTCTTCTTTTCTTTTTCTTTTAGGTCCCAGAACAGGACTCGAATTCAGCACCTGATACTTTTGCTCACTGGCTAGTTCTCTACCAACTAAGCCAAGCCTCCAACCCCAGTTTGTTCTTTTTTTGCTCAAGCTGGACTCAAATTGATTCTCCCAAGTCTACCTTCTGAGTAGATGGGATTATAAGCATAGCCAACAGGCCTGGGAACCAGCAACATGCTTTTTTTTTAATTAAATGAGCACTGTGACTGCTGTGGTGGTGTTTATCATTTGATCAGTGTTATTCAGATAATCTCTGTAGTTCATGCACATTTGCCACTTATTAACAAAATATTCAGGTTAATGGACTCCTTCTTTCTGACTGGCTTTATTTTCAACAAACACAGAACTGTCAAAAGATAACTGAGAAGAAGAGGTGACATTGTCTAAAAAGGAATGTACTCTTGGCAAGGTGCTGTGCCAAGGGTTCATATGTGTAATCCTAGCTACTCAGGAGCCTGAGATCTGAGGATCACGGTTTGAAGCCAGCCAGGGCAGGAAAGGCCGTGAAACTTTTTGTTGTTGTTGTTGTTGGTTGTGGGGCTGAACCCAAGACTGAGTGCTGTCCCTGAGCTTTGCTTTTCCTTTTCTTTCTTTCTTTCTTTTTCTTTCCTTTCTTCTTTCTTTCTCTCTCTCATTTTTTTTGCCAGTGCTGGGGCTTGAACTCAGGGCCTAGGAACTGTCTCTGAGCCTCTCTGTGCTCAAGGCTAACACTCTACAACTTGAGCCACAGAGCCACTTTCGGCCTTTTCTGTTTATGTGGTACTGAGGAATCCAACTCAGGGATTCATGCATGCTTGGCAAGCTCTACCACTAAGTCACATTCCCAGTCTTCCCTGAGCTCTTTCACTCAAGGGTAGAGCACTTTACCACTTTGAGCCACAAAGCCACTTCTTGTTTTCTGATGGTTACTTGGAGATAAGAATCTCTTGGGTTTTCCTGCCAGAGCTGGCTTTGAACTGTGATCCTCAGATATCAGCCTCCAGAGTAGCTAGGATTATAGGCCTAGAGTGGAGAGGCTCTTATCTCCAATTGATCTCTAGAGAATGGGAAGTGGGGCTGTGACTCAAAGTGGTTGAGTGATAGCTTTGAGCAAAAAGAGCTCAGGGACAGATACCAGTTAAAGCCCCACAGCTAACAACAACAACAACAACAAAAAGAAATGTACTTTTTACTGGACTTATATAACTGTATCCCCTCTTATATTATCTTTACAACAATAAAAAAATTTTAAAGAAAAAAGATAACTGGAGAGAGAGAAAGAGAGAGAGAGGGGGAGGGAGAGAAGGGGAGGGAAACGGGGGGGGGGGGGGGGAGAAACAAGTGGCCCAGCATGGTGATATACTGAACACTTGTAATTCCAGCACTTGGAAGGCTGAGAAAGGAAGATCACAAGTTCAAGGACAGCCAGGCTTATATAGCAGAGTCTATCTAAAAAAAAAAAAAAAAAAGCAGGAGTGGGGAAAAGAAAAAGAAGAAATATCTACTTAGTGTCTTAGCTGAGGATGATTTCTAAGATTTGAAGAGGACATTGGTAAAGGGAGGTAAGGAGTCCTGGAACTGGGTGTGCATTGGCTTTGCTGACCTGGGAGCAGGATGGGGTAGATAGATTAGTGTATGTGGAATGATCAACTATTTTCTCCTGCCTTGAATCTAAGGATTGATTTGTATAAGTATGGGAATCAGAATTGCCATTACACAAGACTAGCCATCCCAGGCTTAGTGGTACATGCCTGTAATCTTAGCACTCCAGGTTTGAGGCCAGTCTACACTAGAAACTCAGAATGTGATACAAAATATAAATAAATACTGGGCTGGGCTCATGGTTGTAAGCCTAGCTACTCAGGAGGCTGAGATCTGAGGATTGTGGTTCAAAGCCAGTCTGGGTAGCAAAGTATGTGAGACTCTTATCTCCAATAAACTACTAGAAAACTGGAAGTGGAGCTGTGGCTCAAAGTAGTAGAGTGCTAGCCTTGAGCAAAAGAGCTCAGGGACAGTGCCCAGGCCCTGAGTTCAAGCCCCACGACTGACAAAAAAAAAAAAAAAAGTAAAAAATAAACAAATAAGCTAAAACCAAACAAGAAGACCAGTCATTTTCATCTTTATCAATAGTCCAAAGAAAATATCTCCAAGTAATTCTCTATTATATATTTACATCTGACAAACATAACTGGAGAAAAAAACATGTCGAGAGATTATCAAACGCAAATGATAGCAAAAACAAGAGCTTGTATTTATAAAGATATTTGACAATTTCAAAAAATTCATTTTGCTAAATTTCAAATATAAGAAATAGAGACACCGAGCCCAAAGTTCATTCACTGCTAACCTGTTGGGGAAGTAGGTAGATGAATAAGCCCAGGGAAAGCTGGAGACTCAGGACTGTTCCGAAAGCCGTAGGCCTGGAGGTGCAGGTGAAGGAGAGAAGGTGAAGGAGCTGGAGGAGTCCCTGTCCTCATCCAGTGCTGAACTCCAAGCACGCAGAAAGGAGCACTCTCCAGCTCAGCGTCCTCCAAGTAAGGCAGGCAGTGAGTCACTGGGGGAGAGTTTAAGTAGTTAATCAAGGCTCATACTAACCAAACACCTTCCCTCCCTCAGTGGGGCTGGGGAAGAAAGTGAGTGACTCATTCATTAGTGAGCACAGCTACTGCTGTCAATGTGAGCCTGGAGACTGCGGAGCATTGGGTGGAGAGGCTTTTTTTGTCGGTTTTTTTTGTCGGTCGTGGGGCTTGAACTCTGGGCGTGGGCGCTGTCCCTCGGCTCTTCAGCTCAAGGCGAGTGCTCTACCACTTGAGCCACAGCACCACTTTTCAGTTTTCTTATTGGAGATAAGAGTCTCACAGACTTCTTCCAGGGCTGGCTTTGAACCGTGATCCTCAGATCTCAGCCTCCTGAGTAGCTAGGATATCAGGCGTTAGCCACTGGCACTCGGCTAAAAGCCTCTTTTTATTTAGGAATCTAAACTGAAGACTCTATGAGGAGTTCTATTTTGTATATTAAATACCACATGATAAAATATGAGTAGCATGTGAAGAAAGCTAAGGTATGTGAGATGTTCTTAAACAATTTAATAAATTATCTCAATTCTTTAAAAATTAATAAAGGTTGGAAATGTAGCTCGGGGACAGAGTATATGTGAGGTCCTGGTCCCAACATTAAATAAATAAAATCAATGTGGAAGAATGCTTTTTAAATCAGCTGCAGACAATGAATAAAACAGCATGACTTAAGGCCTGTGGTTTACCTGTCCAGTAGAGCTGGACAGATAGACAGACTGGCTAGGATAAACTTCCCTCCAAAGACAGAAATATACAAAGTTCACAGTTAAAGAAGCTTTCTGCGGGGGCTGGGAAGGTGGCTCAGTGGTAGAGCACTTGCCTTGCATGCATGAGGCCCTGGGTTCGATTCCTCAGCACCACATAAGCAGAAAAAAAAAGCAGGAAGTGGCACTGTGGCTCAGGTGGTAGAGCGCTAGCCTTGAGCTGAAGAGCTGAGGGACAGCGCCCAGGCCCAGAGTTCAAGATCCACAACCGACAAAAAAAAAAAAAAAAAGCTTTCTGGTCAGAGAAGTAGATGGCTTCTTTTTGGCAGTTTGTCCAGAAAAGAAAACACCTCTTCCTGTCTACTCCCCCCCAGGGCCCAGGGCAGTGAGGGAGACGCATTCCATCCTCTTGCTGGGGCTGCAGAGGCCGAGGCAGAAACTGACCTGAGTCAGGCAGAGGCAGGGTGGCGGCAGCTCCTCAGGGCTGCAGGTGAACTGGAGTCCTGGTGGTGGTGGTGGTGCTACGCAGAGGAGTCTGAGGGTGGGGCCAGCGAGCCCCTGGAGTTCAGCAGGGTGGGCCTGGGATGCAGGAGCGCTGAGTCTCATGGGATACCAGGAGGGACCCAGAGCTCATGGACATGACTCTCTGGCACCTTTTGGACAGATGGAGGGTGCTTAAGCATAATTTGGAAAATTATTTCAACACACACCTTATCAAGTTAGAAAAGAAAAGCCTGTTGCTTCAAGAGAGAGACTGGACTTAAGAGTAAGCATGCCTGGGTGGAGCCTGGTTCTCTCCAGTGCAGAAAGGAGATGCTTGTGTATTACACCCTTTCCTACTACTCAGCGCCCTGCTCCAATGGCCTCCAAATGTGGCTTGGGCTCCTGCTCTAGTCAACCTTGATAGACAAGAGCAACAGGAAGTACCAGCCCAGGAAAGGAAGCCAACAGGTCAGGCTTAACATTTTAACCTCTGTACTTCATCCTGTGTATCCTCCTGTGCACCTTTCTAAAAGTGTCTGAGATGTAACATAATTTCTTTTTAGCCCTACCACTTCCTTAGAGACTTTCTTTGCTCCTATACCGCCCCCCCCCCCCCCAGCCTGCAGGCTTTGTCCAAGCCCTGCCTTATCAGAAGACTCAGAGGACACTACCTACACTTGTGTTGGTTCCATTTGAGCTAAGGAATTTAAGGGAGGAGATCTGAAATTACAAAATCTGGAAATTTTCTGGTTACAAAAGCCAATGTACACGTCGGAAGGAAGTTAAGTTCCTTAAAACACTCTACACTGGGGTGGCACAAAGAGTCCTAAGAAGTGATTTAGGATTGGCCCAGGGGGCCTGCCAGCTACCCAAAGGCAAACAGAGAGACTCAACCACTTGTGAGGCAGACACCCCCTCCCAGCAAGAGTGCTCTGAGAACTTGCCACTGAGGAGGGCTCACTCTGCGCCTCCTGGGGACAAGCCAGGGAAGGAAGCCAGGTCCCTCTCCATCCCACTAAAAAGCCTGTTTGCTTACCGTTAAAATATTAAACATTACACAAGCCATCGAGTGTTTCAGTGTTTGTTAAGTGAGTGTGTACTGTGGGCTGCTAATTTCTGAGAACTCTTGGTGGAAGGTCTGATTCCCCTCAAAATGGTCTTTCCTGTAACTGCTGTTAGCTCAGGAGCTCTGGGTTGTGCTGCTTTATAAGCACCATGGCAGCAAATTGTAGGAATCCCAAATTCTTCCACTTCTTTCCTTGTATGTGTGTGTACATGTGTGTGTGAGGGGTGGGGGGAGGTTGTTGTTTGTCCCTTAGCTTTTTTGCTCAAGGCTGGCACAAGATTCTCCTGTCTTTTTTTTTTTTTTTCTGGTTAACTGGAGATAAACATTGACTTTCTTGCCTGGGCTGGCTTCAAACTCGACCCCCAGAACTCATCCCCTGCGTAGTGAAGATTACAGGTGCAAACCACAGGTGCCCAGACTCTTTTATTTTAAATATATGTACTAAAATCTGTCCCTTCAAGGAAAAAAAAACCTGATGATACATGAGAGTTGTGTCATTCTCAAATCTGTGCCAAGAACAATGCATGTATGAAACATGTATGTATGGAGACCAAAGGCCCATGTGTTAAAGGCAAGGTCCCTAGCTTGGCACTATTGGAAAGTAGCAGAGACTTTAATAGGGTTCAGTGAGAAATTTTAGGTGACTGGAGGCATGTTCTTATAGGAGGTGGGGAACCCCAAATCTTTCTCACTCTCTCTTTTTTCTTTTTTATTGGTCATAGGATCTGAAATCGGGGCCTGGGCATTATTCCTGAGCTTTTTGCTCAAGGTGAGCACTCTACCACTTTGAGCCACAGCGCCACTTCCGGTTTTCTGATGGTTAACTGGAGATAAGTCTTACAGACTTTCCTGCCCAGGGTGGCTTTGAACTGCAATCCTCAGATCTCAGCCTCGAGTGGCTAAGATTACAGGTGTGAGCCACCGGCACCCAGATCACTTTTTCTCTCTTTTGGGACCTAGTCATAAGAAAAACAATTCCGCTCTGCTGCACACTCATTCCCTGACATGCTGTGCTGCTTTGCTACAGGGCCCCAAAGCAAGTGCCGATGGATTGTACACAGAAACCTCGAAAACTGGGCCAAAATAAACCTTTTCTGTTTCAAAGTTGACACAGCTCAGGTGTTTGCTAACAGCAATACGAAGCTTAGGAACACAAGATGCTTTCATACTTACGTTATTATGCTTCTAAAGATGCTTCAATAGTACTATCTACACAAACACATATCAAAAAGCCTTGAAGACCTGACTTCCTATCCACCCTGACAGCCCCCAAACACATTCCAATCCAAACACATTCTGAGCACTGGCATAGCTGGAGAATGGGATGGAAAGTGAGCACTCTGACCCTGAAGTGCGGTCGAGGTGCCTTCACAGGAGTATCGAATGCACCTGTAAACGCCACCATTGGGTCCTGAAATAAAGAGGATTTAGAACCAACTGGTCACATGCTGGGACTTGGTTTCACCAAGAGTTTATAAATGGGATGTGAACTTGATCACATAACTTTCATTTAAAAAAAGCAATTTATGCACTAGGTTGTATACAATTCACATGGTAGAAAATTTTAATCATGCTTACCTCATATCTCATTCCCTTACTTTACATTTGTATGTCTACACCTAATATGTCAGGACAATTGTATGTAGCTATAGTCTAAAATCAGATAAATTATATAAAAGTATGTACTTAATTTTTTTTTCCTGCCAGTTCTGGGGCTTGAACTCAGGGCCTGGGTGCTGTCCCTGAGTTTCTTTTGCTTAAGGCTAGTACTCTACTACTTGAGCCACAGCACCACTTCTGGCTTTTTTCCGGTTGATTATGAGGCTTGAACTCTGGGCCTGGGCACTGTCCCTTAGCTCTTCAGCTCAAGGCTAGCACTCCACCACTTGAGCTACAACGCCACTTCCGGTTTTCTGGTAGTTTGCTGAAGATAGTCTTCACAGACTTTCCTGCCCAGGCTGGCTTTGAACCACAATCCTTAGATCTCAGCCTCCTGAGTAGCTAGGATTACAGGCATGAGCCACTGGCACCCAGCACATTTCTAGCTTTTTCTGTGAATGTAGTATGGAGGAATTGAACCCAGGCAATCACTCTACCACTAAGCCACCTTCCCAGCCTTAAATTGTTGTTATATACAGTGTATAGGAAAACTCTGAGGATGGCTTTACACAGTGGACCTTGTGCCTTAGGCAGGCACAAACTTCCAAGCTGCCAGGTCTGCGGCTGGGTCATTTGCTTTACAGGTGGAGGTGGAGACCCAGTTTTATGGGGTACACAGTACCACTACCTGGTTTGCCCAGATCAGGAGGCACTAGTTTCCCTAGAATATGAAGTTCCTGGTGGGGCTTGGACGGGTGTGTTTTAGACCAAATATATAGAGCAAAGGGGGCTCTAAGGGACAAGTTCCACAAAATCTGTGTGGCTGTCTGCTTTTCTCTCCCTTGATGCAGCCTGGGTCCCATTCCCCACCCATGCCACCAGACTGCCTTCCTAGGTATAGTCAATGAGGCAACAAGAATCCCCCGAGAGGTAACCATGGATCTTCTGCCATAAGCAAGGCACCAAGGAGCTCATTACACAGCTCCTGCAAAGGTGCCCAGTAGTCTGTTGACTCCAGACTTGGCACCATCTATGGGGACAAGGGCTGCTGCAGGAAATAGGTCTTTATCTCCCTACATACTATGCTGGCCTTCAGGATTCATCTGCTTGGACTATCTCTCACCACATCTGGCTCTATAGGCTCAAACCCTATCATTCAAACCCTATCAATGGCAGGATCTCTGTGAGGCAGGCTCTGATAAGCTTGGTGTGGGAGTTTTGCCATGTTTGCTATACAACAGAATTATGTGGGGCTGCTTTCAGAAAGAGAATGATGTCTGATCCCTACCCTATCCTCTAAGTTCCTGGGCTCTGGCCTAGACATGTGAACATATACCCGGGAAATGCTAAAGTGCAACCTTGGTTCAGAGTTCCTTCTGTTGAAAGTCATCGGCTTCCACCTCTGGACACTTGTGGCAATCTTTTCTGGATGTGTCATGTGCACTTATTTTGCTCTGTTACTTGGGAATAATTTCTTTGGCTCCATTCTAAAGACACCAAGAGTAGCAACCATGTCCATTGGTTCTAGGAATCATGCCTTGGGTCTTGCCTGCTAGAAGAGTGATGGGTAGACCTCTGTTCTAGAATGTTCCTCTGGACAGACTCAGGAGCAAAGGAGCCTCCTGCCATTGTAGAAGGCTGGGTTGAAGCCAAAACTGTAGACTCAGAAATCTGAGTGGGGTCTTTCCAATTAAGATTAACTCAATATAGGTTCCCACAACACTGCCTGGCCAGTGTAGTACTGGGGGAAGGCTAGTATCTTGATCAAAACAATTTCCTTCTCATGCTCCAAAACAGGCTGTTCCATCAGGATGGAAGGAGATCGCTTTAGAGATGCAGAGAGATGGAAAGAGGTCACCGTATTTGTCAGATATAGTAAGCAAAGGCTAATTTTTTTTTTCTTTTTCTAAGTGTGTGTGTGTGGGAGAGTCCCACAGCATCCATTTTAACCAATTTCCTCCCTTTCTCTTACATTTCCCATGAGGCAAGTGTTCTAAAATGGTGGTCTTTTCAAGTTTATACACGTTAACATCAAAACTTTCTGAATGAGAGGATCTGGTTGCTTAGGAGAAAAGAATGGTACTTGCTCCCTTCATCCCTGACTGAGCTTCAGCCACTCATCTGAGGGACATTACCGGAGTTCCCCGACCTGCGGGGTGTGCAAACACCCAAACTGTGAGGCAAACAGGCAGGCATAACCTTTGAGGCAAGCTCGCCGCGGGCCGCACAGGGGAGGCAGCCGGGCACTCAGGCGCCCGGCACACAGAACAGCACTTGCCCGGGGCTGATGAGGACGGGAGCTCTGCCCTGGGGCGCCGGCACCATCCATCACTTACTTAGACGCATGGCCCTGGGAAGCGGCCCTCGGGCCACTGCAGGCCCGGCACACCTGTGCGGTCCCGCACACGGGAGGTGCCCCCAAATCCTACCGCTGACCTCCCCCTATTCCGAGGTTCGCTAAAACGAGCAGGGTGGGGCAGCCCGAGCAGTGCGGCACCCCACCCCGCACAGCCGCTGGGTGCGGCCGGGCGTGCTCGCCGCAACCGGGGAGGGGGGGCGGCCGCTCCGAGACAACCGGCGGCGAGGGGCGTGCGGCGGTGGCCGCCCGTCCACCTGCGGGGCCCGCACAAAGGACCCCGCCGCGCCCCGGCGGCCCGAGCTCGTTCTCCCGCGCCCGGCGCAGCTCGCGGCGGGGCGGCCCACGCCGGGCAACACCCAGACCCGCGAGCGCCGCGCGGCCGGGCGCACCTGCGGGGCGGGCGCCGGCGGGCCCAGCGCGGGGCCCCGGCCGGGGGCGCGGCCCGCCGAGGGGAGGGGGAACAGCCGCGAACCGCGTCCCGGGGGCACTCACCGACCCTCAGCGCCCGGGCGGCGGCGGTAGGCACGGCCCTCGCGAGGGCTCCCCTCCCTCGGCCTCCCGGCTCCGCCCCAGCCTCGCAGGGAGAAGACCGCGGCCGGCGGTGATGGCGGTGGCGGCGGGGAGGCCGCCTAGCGTGGAAGGGCGCCCGCGACCCACCACCCGCGACCGCTGACTGACACGTCGGGCGGCTCCGGCTCCGGCTCCGGCTCCGGCAGGGGGCGCGCCTGCCCGCGCGTGCGCAGTGAGCCGCCCCTGCAGGTGCCGGATCAACCCCGGAGGTCTCAGTTGATCAAGCGTTTAAGATCTCGGGCCTGCGCAGTAGGCACATGTCCAGCAAAGGTGTGTGTGAGAGAGACAGAGGAGGGGGCAGGTTGACGCACGGCATTGCGCATGCGCCCCCATTGCCCTCAGGCCTCCGCTTGCGGCACCTGCACAGGGTCCCACCCACGTGGCCCACGTTCGCCGCCACACCCTCCCTCCCCCTCCCCCCGCGCAGCATCTCGCGCGTGCGTAGTGGGCAGAACCTGCGGTCCGCGGCGCCCCTCGTTCACGCCTGCGCAGTGTGCAGCGCCGACGTCGGAGCCCCACGTGCGAGGCGGAGCGCTCGACGCCGAAGTCGGCCGAGCGCGGGAGCGGCGGCGCTGACTGGAATGTCTGTGGACGCGGGCCTCGCGGTGGTCGCGCGGGGGGCGGGAGCGGGAGTGTTCTCTGCCCACGGCCATCCTTCCCAGTTCCCTGTCTTCTGTCCCTCCTCGGCCCCGGTTGCAGTCAGGTTCCAGTCAGGCCGGGTGCGGGGTCTCCCGAGGCGGGGGCGGGCTGGGGTCGGCGCGCGGACGGCCCAGGCCGGGTGGGGTCGGGCACGGGGCCTACAGTTGCCCGGGGCGGGGCTCGGAGCACCGGCGACCCGGGGCCGCGCCGGGGGTGAGTGCGGCTCGGCGAGGCCGCGGAGGCCCCGCCGCGCCCGGACGCGCTGGGCGGGGCGGGAACGGGACGCCGGGCTTCAGCCTCCCGCCCCGGCCCTGTGGGCCGAAGGGGCGGCGCCCGGCCCCGCGACACCGACGCCGCGCCTCTTTCTTTCTGAGCAGGGGTTGTGGTTTGGTTAGCCCGGCCGAAAGGGCCTCGACCTGGCGCGTGCACCCTGAGCCCCGGAACGCCCTGCTTTAGTGTCTGAATTAAGGTTAGGGGTGCTCACTGTTGGAGAATATATATATACACACACATATATATACACACACATATAATGTGTACATATATATAAGTATGTGTATATATATATTTCTGAACTAGAAAGATGGTTTGTGGAAATAAAACCATTTGTGTCCTTATAGTGTAGTATCTAACACGACTGAATATTATACTTGAGAAGCAAGATTAAAGAGAGAGGGAATGTTCTCATCAAAATTTTGTTTTGTTTTGGTGGTACTGGAGTTTGAACTCAGGGCTCCGCAAATTTTTTACCACCTGAGCCACACAGTCTCAGCATTTTTGAATCGTCAGGCATCTTTATTTACTTATTCTTACTCCAACTATATGCCTACTACATATATGCGTACCTCTTAATTAATCAGTTAATAATGTCATTGTTTACCGAGTGCCTGCCGTGTGCTACCTCTGTTCTTGTGTCTAGGAATTTAACAGTTAGGTGGACAAAATTTCCCTGGCTTCACTGATCACACATCTAGTAGGAAAATCAAATGAAACAACATGTTCCGTTGTTTAAAACTACTAAGGCTGAAGTGTTGTGGCTAATACCTATAATCCCAGCTACTAAGGAGGTGGAGATCAGGATGATCATAGTTCAGGGCCAGCCCAAGCAAAAAGAAAGATTCCATCTCAGTAAATTGGATTTGGTAGCATGCATCTGTAGTGACAGCTCCATGGGAGGCTACAGGTAGACAACAGATGTTTATATATGTCAGTACTGGGGATTGAATCCAGGACCTTGCAATTACTAGGCAAGCTTTTAGCCATTGAGCTACATCCCAATATAACTTTTCTTTCTTTCTTTCTTAAGAACTTTTTCTGTCTTTTTTGGTTCTAGGGAATTGAACCTAGGACATTGTACTTGCTAGACAAGTGCTTTGCCACTGAGCTACATCCCAGCCCAGAAGGGCTTAGGTACAAGGTTCATAGTTCAAGGCTAGTTCCAGGCAATAATGAGTCTCTATCTGAAAAATAAAGCAAAAAAAAAAAAAAAGACTAGGTTACTGGCACAAAGCTGAAAGAAATAGGGGACTCATCCATCTTAACACAGGAGGGCATTGTATACTCACATCTGGTAAAGGAAACACAGATGTTGCAGCAGAAGTATGTTTAGGAACAGCATCTGGGCCTATAACCCAGGAGCAGGAAAAGGAGAGGAAATGAAGTAGAATGAGAGCATTAACAATAAAAACTATATCTCACAAGACTTTGTAGGTCATTGAAAAAGCAAGATGTTTCCTTGGAGGAAAATGGAAGCCATTAGAGAATTTAGGGCAGAGGATAGAAGTGACCTGAGTTGAAGCAGGTCATACCTGTCAATGTGTGGAAATTGGATTGCAAGGAGGCAAGGGTCAGTGAAAGGGCAGCACTGTGAAGGCTGCTTGAGAAATTCATACAAAGATGCTAAGAGTGAAAGTGACATTTCAGTAGTACGGCCATTACAATTTGCTGATGAATCGGAAAAGAAAATGAGAAAAAGAGAATGAATAATATGTGAATAATCCTTTATAATTCAAAGAAAGGAAAAGACAAGAATTGAGGTGGGAGAGACAGTAGAACAACTTGCTTTAGGAGGAACAAAAATAACCCAGTTAGGCCAAGTCAGGTTTGAGGTAAAGTCTGTGGAATTAGGTATTAGGAATTAAAATTCAGAGCAAATTCTAGGCTGGAGACATAAATATAAACATCATCATTATGTAGATGCATCCTCCCCAAGACTGGGTGAGATCACTTAAGGAGAGTGATGATGTGGAAAAAAGAGTCAATAGAACAGAACATTTTATTGTTTGGAGGCTGGGGAGGGGGAGAAAATCACCCCAAAAGATTGACAAGGGATACTGGAAAGTTAGGACAAAGTAGTCTGGCATGATATTCTAAAAACTTACAAGAAGAAAGTCATTCAAGGTTGAAAAAGCTCAGAACTTTTTTTTTTTTTGGGTCCATTCGTGGGCCTGAACTCTGGGCCTGGGCACTGTCCCTCAGCTCTTCAGCTCAAGGCTAGCGCTCTACCGCTTGAGCCACAATGCCACTTCTGGCTCTTTTCTGCTTATGTGATGCTGAGGAATAGAACCCAGGGCCTCATGCATGCAAGGCAAGCGCTCTACCACTGAGCCGCCTTCCCAGGCCCAAAGCTCAGAACTTTTTTTTTTCCTGGGTCCGGTAGTGGGGCCTGAACGCTGGCCTGGGTGCTGTCCCTCAGCTCTTCAGCTCAAGGCTAGCACCCTGCCACTTGAGCCACAGCGCCACTTCCGTGTTTTTCTTTTTTGCTTATGTGGTGCTGAGGAATCGAACCCAGGGTCTCATGCATGCAAGGCAAGCGCTCTACCACTGAGCCACCTTCCCAGCCCAAAGCTCAGAACTTTTATGTGTAATATTTCCTCCTTTGCTTCCTGACTAGGGGTGAGCTTCTTCAGCTGGAAAAATGACAGTGTCCAGGAAGTTAAAGCTTCTTCTCTGGAAAAATTTTATATTAAAGGTGCGTATAGCATAATACATATGAAAATAGCATAATGAAACCTGTTTAAAAAAAAAAACAAAAAACAACAGTTTAGCCAGGTGCCGGTGGCTCACGCCTTGTAATCCCAGCTACTCAGGAGGCTGAGATGGAGGATCCTGTACAAAGCCAGCCTGGGCAAGAAAGTTACCTCTAGTTAACCAACAGAAAACTGAAAGTGGCACTGTGGCTCAAGAGGTAGAGCCCTCTCCTTGAGCTGAAGAGCTTAGGGACAGCACCCAGGCTCAGAATTCAAGCCCCATGACCCCCCCCCCCAAAAAAAAAATCCCTTTACAAATAATGTTCTTAATTTTCTGTTCATTTGTTGTGAAGCTTGAACTCTGGGCCTGTGTGCTGCCCCTGGGCTCTTCAGCTCAAGGCAGATGCTTTACCACTTGAGCCACAGCACTGGTTCCTGCTTTGTGGTGGTTTATTGAAGATAAGAGTCTCATGGTGGGGCTGGGAAGGTGGCTCAGTGGTAGAGCACTTGCCTTGCATGCATGAGATCCTGGGTTCGATTCCTCAGCACCACATAAACAAAAAGAAAAAAGCCGGAAGTGGCGCTGTGGCTCAAGTGGTAGAGTGCTAGTCTTGAGCTGAAGAGCTGAGGGACAGCGCCCAGGTCCAGAGTTCAGGCCCCACGACCAGACCCCTCCCCCCCCAAAAAAAGTCTCATGGACTTTCCTGGCATGGCTGGCTTTGAACCATGATCCTCAGATTCTCAGCCTCCTCAGTAGCTAGGATTATAGTCATGAGCTACCACTGGCTGTAAAGGGATGTTTTTCTGAAAATCATATTTCCATAGTACTTCTGTTGAGGCTTATTATTAAAGATGACATTATTGTCCCTGATTTTTAGTCATACTGTCATAGAAAAGGTGAGGTGGAAATGTTGCTAGCTAGTTCTTATTTGTTGTTCAAAACCAGGACCCAAATTTAGTTTCTGATGTTTTCACTCATTGGCTGGCGCTCTACCACTTGAGCCATGCCTCCAACCCCTTCTAGCTAGTTCTATCCTTTTTTACGTGTTGTCTAGGGAAGCTGGAAGAAATCAAAGGAATAAAGTAACAAAAGGATTCTTAATGAAAGAACATTTGCCACATAACGGTTAACTGGTGTTCTGTTTTAGGCTAACGTGTAGCTTTTGTTTTTTATTTTAGAAGCGGAAGACTTTCATAACAGTCCTTGAAATCTTGATGCCATTACTCTTTTCTGCACTTGTGTTGTATCTACGTTTCAGCAGTATACCAAAAACAAAACCTCCTACTAGCTACCACCCAATTGATGTCAGTTCACTGCCAGAATTCTTCTATAACTATCCATTGAAAACTAAATTTCAACTAGTTTATATTCCTTCCAGAAGTGAAACTTTGAAAGCTCTCACTGAAATAGTGGAACAAACCTTTGATGTTGAGTTCGAAGGTTAGACATAAGATGGGGTAAGAGTGTGTGTGTGTGTGTGTGTGTGTGTGTGTGTGTGTGTGTATGTGTGTGTGTGTGTGTGTGTGTGTGTGTGTGTGTGTGTGTGTGTGTGTGGAGGGGGTTATGATGCATAGTTAGAAGCTATTTCCTGAGAGTTCTTTTTTTAATTTTAATTTTAATTTTTTTGTGAACATACTGTACAGAGGGGTTACAATTAATTACATGGGCAAGATAATGAGTACATTTCTTATCAAGCATTGCAGCCTCCTCCTTTGTTTAACCTTCACATCTCTTCCCAGCCTCCCCCCTCCTGAGAGTTCTTTAAAAAATGATTCCAAACCTGGGGTCTTTAAACCCTATGTGCCAATGTAGTTAAGGGGAAGCTGATCAAAACATCCTTACTTGTTCAAAGACCACAGGTTTCAAGGTTAAGTTGTTAAAAGTTAAGTGTTTGTTTTTAACTTTAACTCACTATCTTGACTGTTATCTCACATTAACCAGAAGGTCTGATTGCCAATTCTTACAAGTCTGACTAAGCAACTGAGGAAAGCATTCAGATTCTGACAGTCCTCTCTGCTTCTACTCTGGTCCCATTGTAATCCAGTCTCAAGGTGGAGGCATAGAGGTCCTCAAAGGTCAGTAGATTTGACCCATCTCCTGCTTAAGCCCATCAGTAACTTTCCAGACTCAGCCAAGCTTTTTTCCCCCAGCTTCCTCAGGCATTCCTCTTCCCTATACTCTCTTAACACACACAAACACACACACACACACACACACACACTCTCTCTCTCTCTCTGTCTCTCTCTCTCTCCTCACTAGGAACCCACCATTCCTGTGTGCCATTCCCACTGATTCTTTAGATTTCAGCAGAAACAACCCCTAGGAAGGCAGCTAAATAGGTTTTAAGTTTCTTGCCTTTTCTTTTTGTCCTTCATTGAACCTGCTTGATATTTTCTTAGCATTTCCATGAATGTTTAATCCCATTCTCCCTTGTTCTCTGCATATTATCTGCCTTTCCCATCAGACCACCTCTACAAGGCAGAGGACCCTGTCTGTTTTGGTTAGCACCATGCCTCTTACAGTGTCTGGCACATAGTAAGTGGCCCAGTAAGTGTGTTTCTTGAATAAATTAATATGGTTAGGTAGATAAAATATTTCCCAAGTGTTGAATCTACAAAAGAAATTTATTCAGTTACTTTGTTACTGTTAGGTTTTTTAAAAAAGAGGTAGCTGAGTAAGAACTGCGCTGCGCACGTGGTATTCAGGTAAGGGGTAGGTTTATTCAGTAGACCTGCTGGGACCAGGCAAGGTTGGCACTCCACGTGACTGGGAAAGGCCTGGGAAAGAGAGAGAGCTGGGAAAGAGAGAGAAAAGAGCTAGAAAAGAGCTGAGAGAGAGCTAGAAAAGAGAAGGGAGCTGGGAAAGAGCTAGAAAAGAGCAAAAAGAGCAGAGAGAGAGCGCGTCTGGGCCTGAGCTAGGCCTTATCTAGGGTATGGATGGAGAAAGGTGTGGCCACATCAAATTCAGATATGACCTCAGTGGATGCAGATGTGACCTCTTCTAGGTGTCCCAGTTGCCTAGGTAATGCAGGTACTGGGTGGAGACTTTGCTGCTATGAGGGTGAAGTCTGCTAGCCATCCAGAAACGGACCTTACAGTTACATATGCTAGTATAAACATATTCCTATAACACAGGTCTCAAATGAAAAGAAAGATTGCTTTTCTTCCAGCTCTTGTGCTGCTCAGTATGAACAAGTAACCCTTAAAGGTCCTCCCTTGTAAAATGTGTGAGAACCACCGTTGTGAACATATTGTTAAGAAAACTTTCCAAGCTGGGCACTGGTGGTTCACACCTATAATCCTAGCTTCTCAGGAGGCTAAGATCTGAGGATTGTGGTTCAAAGCCAACCCTGGCAGGAAAAACCATGAAACTCTTATCTCCAATAAACAACTAGAAAACCAGAAGTGGTGCTGTGGCTCAAGCAGTAGAGTGCTCGCCTTGAGCAGAAGAGCCCAGGCCCAGAGTTCAAGCCCCACGACTGACAAACAACAACTTTCCTAGCACAAATGCTTTCTGAACAATGTTAATCACAGATAGCCAAATTAGAACTAGATTTTAGACAGTGGAATAGTTCGGTTTGTCTTTTAGACCCTGAAAGTATTCACAGATAGCATGTCATTTAGCAGATTGAGGTGTGTGTGTGTGTGTGTGTGTGTGTGTGTGTGTGTGTGTGTGTGTGTATGAAACTTCTAGAAATGAAAAAGGAAACATATAAAACTCAGATTATAAACAAGCCTGGAAGGGATAAAGTGGGATTTAAACTTCCTACAATAGCAAAGATCCCTCTGCAACAAGAAGTCATAAGATTTGACGTAGGTCTCAAGTTATAATGATCAGGACTTAAATTCCTTCCTTCTTCAGCATTAATTCCTTGATGTCTTACATGCCAGCAGTTCCTAGGATCATGTTGCTAAAGTTCTGAAGTGAATAACAATAGTTATGTCTTTTTCTTATTTTCTTTTTCTCCTTTTTTGTATGTTTGCAGAATGAATGAGCAAGTGAATGGAAAAGTAAGCTGCCATATCAAATTGTAGGTAGAGCCAGGCACCAAGTGGCTCATGCCTATGATCCTAGCTACTCAGAAGGTTGAGATCTGAGGATTGTGGTTTAAAGTCAACCCTGGCAGGAAAGTCTATAAGACTCTTATTTCCAGTAAACAAAAAGCCAGAAGTGGAGCTGTGGCTCAAGTGGTAGAGCACCACCCTTAAGCATAAAAGCTCAGGAATAGCACCCAGGCCCAGAATTCAAGCCCCAGGACTGGCAACACACACACACACACACACACACACACACACACACACACACACACACACACACACACACACACACACACACTTGTAGGTAAAGAGGAAGGGAGTGGGCTGGCAGCATTTGCCTTCAAACCCATCTACTCACTGATTGGATTTTTCCTCTTTGTAGTTCTAGGATTTTCTTCAGAGTCCTTGTTTGAAAGTTATATACTTAAGGATCCCAAAGCTTTCTACACATTGGTGGGAATTGTTTTTGGCCATAATTTCAGTGACAGCAATGAACCTTTGCCACTTTCGGTAAGAAAATCATTCTGTAACAATCTTACTTGCGCCCTGACCTTGAGTATGGGTTGATCAGGCTGATCTGCCTCTTTCCTTTCCTCTGTAGTAACTTTGCCATCTTATTGTACAACCTAATCTTTAGAGTACCAGTTTTCAGATTTTTTTGTTTTTTAGATGGATACTATTATTAACTTGCATTAGTTATACAGGAGAGGTTTTTATTGTTATATTTCCACACATGTTTATAATATATTCCAACCAATCTTACCCTCTCTGTTGCTCTCCATTCCCATTTCCCCTTCCCATAATGATTTCAACAGGTTCATTGTTCTGTTTTCATAAAGTTGCAAACAATCTATTTCTTTTTGTTTTGTTTTGTTGGTCATGGGGCCAGAGTGCTGTGCTTTGGGCTTTTTTGCTCAAGGCTAGTGCTCTACCACTTTGAGCCACAGCTCCACTTCCAGTTTTCTGGTGGTTGCTTAGAGAGGAGTTTTTTTTTTTTTTTTAAGATTTTTTTTGTTGTTGTTGTTGGTCATGGGGCTTGAACTCTGGGCCTGGGTCCTATCCCTCAGCTCTTCAGCTCAAGGCAAGCGCTCTACCACTTGAGCCACAGTGCCACTTTCGGCTTTTTCTGCTTATGTGGTACTGAGGATTCGAACCCAGGGCCTCATGCATGCAAAGCAAGTGCTCTACCACTGAGCCACCTTCCCAGCCCCGGGATAAGAGTTTTGCAGACTTTCCTGCCCAGGCTAGCTTCAAACCATGATCCTCAGATCTAAGTCTCCTGAGTAGCTAAGATTACAGTCATAAGCCATCAGCACCCTGCCAAAAAATCTCTTTCAACTATATTCATCCTCTTTCATTTCAGCTTTGAGATTATTAAAAGATATTTGTTCTCAGTAGACCTCTAACCCGGGTATAGGATAATATGTATTTACCTGCTGGATTATAGAAGCCAACTCCAACACCAGGCCATGTAATCTGTCTCTGTAACTCCTCAGCTGTCTAACCTTGGGAAAGTTACTAGAGTTTCTGGGCCTCAGAGTCATTACTAGTGTAATGGGGTTAAAATTGGTGCCTAATTTACAGAGTGGTTATGAGAATTAAATAACTTTATGCCTGTAAAGTGCTAAGAACAAATGGAACCTGAAATAGGAATATTCCATAAGGATTAGTTATTTGTTATTATTAATCGCACAGACATCAGATATGGTGGGTTTGTTGTGTGTTTAAGAAAAAGGCAGTGTGTTAAACATGGGAATATTGGGTTTGTCTTTTGTGCTGTAGAGTGAAGCAATTGTTAAAACTAGCATGGAGTTAATAACTATATTTTATAATCAATTATTAGTTCTAAGCGTATGACAGACATCATCTCACATATTCCTATAGGCAACCTATGAGACAGGGACTATTAATATTGTCATTTCACTGATGAAGAAACTGAAGCAAAACGATTAAGTAACTTGCTGAGGGTAACATAGCTTTTCAGTAGGAAATTAGGGTTTAGATCTAAGTAGCCTGGCTCCAGAGCGAGCACTCCATACTATATTACATCTACTCTGATTGATCTTAGGGATAAGTTGCAGAGTGACAGTGTGGTCCCCAGAGGGACACCTGACAGCGTGGGCTTTTCCTCCAGTCTTAGTTACTGTCAAACACGCTTTTACTCTGTCCTGAGTCATTGCTGGATCTCTGGATCTCATGGCTGAATTTATTTTCTCTTTATTCTTCAAGGTTGAATACAGCTTGCGCTTTAGTTACATTCAGAGGAACCTTTTATCTTTGAAGCATGTGTATTTTCAAGCTGACTTAGAAGGCTGGTGCACATCCTTTCTTTATCCTCCTAACCCAAGCCAAGAACCCCGGGAAATTGTATATGCTGATGGAGGAACTCCTGGTAAGGAATTCCCAAAGCCTGTGCCATTACCATGACCACATTATTTTTGTCCTGTTGCACATATATGATGACATTTTTATTTTTATTGTTACCTCAACACTTGCTAAACTGGGCATTTCCAAAGTAGCTGAAGGAGTTCATTTAGAAATTGTGGCATTTAATATAAGGCTTACATTGTTAAATGTAGAATTGTTCAAAAGAAGGATGGAAGCATTTCACAGAAACAAGGTGTGGGAGTCTTCCTTGTGTTTCTGTATAAACTCTTCTGTTTCGAAACAAACAAGGGGCTGGGAAGGTGGCTCAGTGGTAGAGCGCTTGCCTTGCATGCCTGAGGCCCTGGGTTCGATTCCTCAGCACCACATAAGCAAAAAGAAAAAAGCCGGAAGTGGCGCTGTGGCTCAAGTGGTAGAGCGCTAGCCTTGAGCTGAAGAGCTGAGGGACAGCGCCCAGGCCCAAAGTTCAGGCCCCACGACCGGACCAAAAAAAAAAACAAACATATTGCTGGACACTGGTGGCTCATACCTTGTAATCCTACCTACTCAGGAGACTAAGATTTGAGGATCATGGTTCAAAATAAGCCCAGGCAGAAAAGTCCCCGTGAGACATTTATTTCCAACTCAAAAACCAAAAGTAGTGCTGTGGCTCAAGTAGTAGAGAGCTAGCCTTGAACACAAAGAGGCTCAAGGACAGTGCCTAGGCCCTGAGTTTAAGCCCTATGACCGACCAAAAAAAAAAAAAAAAAAACGAAACAAAACATATTATTGTTCTCTACAGATGGCCATTTAAGTGGCTTTTTTTTGGGGGGGGGGGGGGGAGGGGTTGGTTGTGGGGCTTGAACTCTGGGCCTGGGTGCTGTCTCTCAGCTCTTCAGCTCAAAACAAGCACTCTACCTGAGCCACAGTGCCACTTTCGGTTTTTTCCTGGTGGTTAAATGGAGGTTAAGAGTCTCGTGGACTTTCCTGCCTGTGCTGGCTTTCAACCACGATCCTCAGATCTGAGCCTCCTGAGTAGCTATGATTACAGGCATTAGCCACTGGTGCCTGGCTTTAAATGGCTTTCTTTAAGTGGTTAAAGCTCCTATAAAACAGTTAGTTGTTCCTTTATCTTTTCTCTTTTCATGTTAATAACGTGAGTATTACTGGGATGGTATAACTCAATGGGAGAGTATTTACCTAGCAATGCACAAAACCATGGGTTTGACTCTTACTGATGCCATGATAGCTTCCAAGGGTTGTACCAGTCAAGCATCCCTGATGGTGCCAGCATGTCTTGCTCTGTGCTGTACCAGCCTTCCCTCCAGTGATAGGCTTAGAGGCCCAAGAGCCAATCTGTCACAAAAGACTCACACTCTCTAATTCACTGAATTTTTTTCCTCCTTTTAATGTTTTATATTTTATTATCTTTTTATAGTTTTACAAAGGGGTTTCAATTTAACATGTTAATTTATGAGTTTAATACTCCAATTCACTTTTTTTCTTTTTTTCCGGTCGTGGGCTTGAACTCTGGGCCTGGGTGCTGTCTCTCGGCTCTTTAGCTCAAGGCGAGCGCTCTACCGCTTGAGCCACAGTGCCACTTCTGGTTTTCTAGTGGTTTATTGGATATAAGAGTCTTTGGGACTTTCCTGCCCAGGCTGGCTTTGAACTGTGATCCTCAGATCTCAGCCTCCCAAGTAGCTAGGATTACAGGCATGAGCCACTGGCACCCAGCTCCAATTCACTTTTGATTTTTTTTTGTCTCCCTCTGTGAGAGTATTAGAGTTGGCTATCCTCTAAGAAACTAATTGCTCATAGAAAAATAAGTTGAGGGCTGGGAAGGTAGCTCAGTGGTAGAGCGCTTGCCTTGCATGCCTGAGGCCCTGGGTTCGATTCCCAAGCACCACATACGCAAAAAGAAAAAAGCCAGAAGTGGCGCTGTGACTCAAGTGGTAGAGCACTAGCCTTGAGCTGAAGAGCTGAGGGACAGCGCCCAGGCCCAGAGTTCAGGCCCCACAACCAGACCCAAAAAAAAAAAAAAAAGAAAAATAAGTTGATAATCTGTTTCTCACTGAAGAATGATCACACAGTTAGTGTGAAGCTTTGGGCCTGCATGCCTACCAAGTAGGAAACCAAATTCAAGTATTTACAGTTTCATGTAATTGGTAGCACAATTCAGAGACTATAATCCTGGACTGTGTATCAGTAACAACTTAAAAAAACACACACAGGGAGGCCATGTCTGTTAGCAAAATGGACAAGAATGGAAAAGAAATAGGCTGGACTGGATTGCCAACAGGGAATCCAGCAAGGGGCACAGACCTTCCCCCGAGTTTAGAGGTTGTACAAGGGGCTGGATTTGGGGTCTAGGTTAATATGGGTCTTAACAAGGAAACAAAAGAGTACAAATCAGGCTGTAATTGCTGGAGGGCTAAGGCTGGGTACTTTCAGTTAGGTCCAGAATGGAACGTCCCTCCTGGGATGACAGAGACTTTCAGCCAGGCCTAGGTGGGAATAACCTGCCGGTGGACAGGCATGTGGTCAAGCCTGTTCCTGCTCACCTGGTATCTTGCTTGACCTAGGGGAATAAGGTGGAGTCAATCCTGAATATTCCATCTGTAGATGCATAAAAAGATTGGGTCAAAAGGGGAGAGGCAAGTCCTTCAATGTCTTTTATGTATTTTGAGTTTAATCATCCTGTAATCCTGTACATGTCAGATGATCAAAACTTTAATTCCTCAAGTTGGAAGATTTTTTTTTTTTTTGGTCGGTCATGGGGTTTGAACTCTGGGCCTGGGTGCTGTCACTCAGCTCTTCAGCTCAAGGCTAGTGGCTCTACACTTGAGCCACAGCACCATTCTGGTTTTCTGAGTGGTTTATTGGAGGTAAGAGTCTCACAGACATTCCTGCCTAGGCTGGCTTTGAACCATGATCCTCAGATCTTAGCCTCCTGAGTAGCTAGGGTGACAGGCGTGAGACACTGGCACCTAGCTGGAAGGTTCTTGTATAGGACATCTCTCATTTTTCTGCCCAGGTCTCCAGAACTCCATTTTGGAAATGCCATTGCCTCAATTCCAGGGACCCCCGGTGACCCCTTCACTTCTCTCTGAGCTGCTGTAGCATGAGGGTTCTAGGGATGTTTCCCTGCTGCTGTTTTACTGAATGGCTAGCCATGATCCATCTGAATCCTCTCAGTCGTTTCCTTGTCTTCAGTTTTTCTTAATTTCTTAGGTTTGACATTCTGTTTCCTTGTAGGCTACCATAAAGAAGGCTTCTTGGCCATTCAGCATGCTGTGGATAAAGCCATCATGTGGCACCATGCTCACAATGCAACGGTCAACTTGTTTGAGAGTCTCAGTGTACTATTGCAGAGGTTCCCATATGGACCTCATGTCCAGGACAAGTTCTTCATGGTGCTTCAGAATGAGTTCCCTCTGCTCCTCATTCTTAGCTTCATTTGCATCGAGCTCATTATCATTAATTCCATTACACTGGAAAAGGAGAGAAAACTTAAGGTAATAGTATCTAGACACCTCTTCTGAGACAGGGATATGAGGTGGTTACTAATGAAAAACAGCATAAAAATGTGGCCCAAACAAGTAAGATATTGCTTAGGTGCAGAGCAACCTTTCAAGTGAGTTGGAACTCTGAAGTCGTTTCTTACTGTTTGCAGAATGCCACCCATTATTATTACCTAAATCTTTGCACGTAGACTGGAGATGTCTGGCTTAGTAGGTCCTGCTTGGCTAGCCTACTGCCTGTCACCAGAAAGGTGTTCAGCCAGTGCTTGTGCAGGGTCTAGGGAAAGATTTTCCTCAAGTGAGTCTCCTTTCATGGTAAGGTCAGGTAGGAAGACAACATAGAGTTTGATGATGCTCAGTTGCTCCTGAAATAATCAGTGTTGGCACTCTTCTACTAACCTACTCTCTCCTATTACTTCTTACTTTCTACCCTTTAAAATAAAATCTTCAGTCTTTTTTTTTGTTGTTGTTGTTTTTTGTTTGCTTCTCAGACAGGGTCTTTTTGTGTTTCCCAGGTTGGCCTAGAACTTGAAATGTTGCTCAGACTGGCCTTAAACTTGGCATCCTCCTACCTTATCTTCCAAGTGCTGGGATTATAGCCACTCACCACCATGCCTAGCTGAAATATTCTCTTGTACTTTCTTTTCTTTAATTATTGGTTCTCATAACTATGTTTCTTTTGGTAGTATAGAAGTTTGAACTCAGGCTCTTGTTCTACCTCTTAAGCCATAGCATCTAGCCCTGCTTTTGGCTGGTTATTTTGGAGGTAGAGTCTTGCAAACTTTTTTTTTTTTTGGTCAGGTGTGGGGCCTGACCTCTGGGCCTGGGCTCTGTCCCTCAGCTCTTCAGCTCAAGGCTAGCGCTCTACCACTTGAGCACAGCGCTACTTCCGGCTTTTTTCTTTTTGCTTATGTGGTGCTGAGGAATTGAACCCAGGGCCTCTGGCATGCAAGGCAAGCGCTCTACCACTGAGCCACCTTCCCAGCCCCACCTTGCAAACTTTTATGCCAGGGCTTTGAACCATAATCCTCTGGTGACCAGTATTCCTTTTAGTTCTGATTTAGACAAAGTTTGACCTTCCCTGTATGTTCACTACTTCAGCAACAAACTGGTAAAGAGAGCCAGGGCACCAACTTTTTGTATTTTGGTCATTGGATTGGTCATGTTTCTTCTCCTCTCTTTATTTTATTTTTTTATTTTTTTGCCGGTTGTGGACCTCAACTCTCAGCCTAGGCGCTCTCAGCTCTTCAGCTCAAGGCAAGCGCTCTACCGCTTGAGCTACAGCGCCACTTCTGGCTTTTTCTGTTTATGTGGTGCTGAGGAATTGAACCCAGGGCCTCATGCATGCAAGGCAAGCACTCTACCACTGAGCCACCTTCTCCTCTCTTTAAATAAGCAAAGGTTGGGGGCGGGAGAGATGGGAAGGGGTGAGAAGGGGAAACAAAGGAGGAAGCAACAATGCTTGATAAGAAATGTACTCATTACCTTGGTCTGTAATTGTAACCCCTCTGTACGGCATTTCCACAATAAAAAATGAGCAAAGGTTAAAGAACACTTTTTAAAAACTTCAACTGCCAACTGGGTGCTAGTGGCTCACACCCTTAATCCTACTACTCAGGAGACTATCTGAAGATTGCCATTCACAGACAGTCTAGGCAAAAAAGTCTATGAGACCCTTTATCTTCAATTTAACCTGCAAAAAGCTGGAAGTAGAGCTATGACTCAGTCTTGAACAGGAAAACCTAAAACTAAAGGGCACATCTGAACCTTGAGTTAAAGCCCCCAGGACTATACTGGCACCAAAAAATAAAAAAATAAATACTTCCCTGCTAATAGAATTTGTTTTATTTGTTTATTTATTTATGCCGGTCCTGAGGCTTGAACTCAGAGCCTGGGCTCTGTCCCTGAGCCTCTCTGTGCTCAAGGCTTAGCACTCTACCACTTGAGCCACAGTGTCCTTCTGGCCTTTTCTGTTTATTTGGTACTGAGGAATTGAACCCAGGGCTTCATGCATGCTAGGCAAGCACTCTACCACAAAGCCACATTCCCAGCTTGCCAGTAGAATTTAAAAGTAGGATATATAAGGAATTTATACTTTATCCTCAACACAGTAGGACCCATTGATTTATAGGAGGCATCAGTAAATGAAATTAGCAGTATACTTGCCATTTCAAAAAGAGAATAATTTTAATACAATGCCTACTGTACCATAACCGTACCAGATAGCTACAACTCACTGGTTTTTACTCCTTTTTTCCCAGCCCATTCAGTCTCTTGTCAGTTCCCACTAACTGCCTCTCCCCAATATAAGCCTGCCCAACGCTTCATCCCATGCTGATGGGTTTTTAGTAACAGACTGACAAGCTGGACCAGATAGGATAAACTCTAGACTGTAATAGATGGTTCTTTTGCTTTTTTTTTTTTTAGGACTATATGTGTATGATGGGATTGGACAGCTGGCTACACTGGGTTGCTTGGTTCATCATGTTCTTTATTTCTGTCCTCATTGCTGTTTCTGTTATGACCGTTCTCTTCTGCACAGAGGTACATATCTCTTGTTCTTTGGGATGTGCTTACCTATGAAAGGTGAGAAAGAAATCTGGTATGTTGTGGGTGATACAATTTTTATTGTTTTTTATTTTATTTTTTTTGCTGGTCATGGGGCTTCAACTCAGGGCCTGGGTGCTGTCCCTGAGTTGCTTTGGCTCAAGGCTAGCACTCTACCACTAGAGCCATAGCCCCACTTCCGGCTTTTTCTGTTTATGTGGTACTGAGGAATAGAACCCAGGGCTTCATGCATGCTAAGCAAGCGTTCTACCACTGAGCCACATTCCTAGCCCGTTGATACAATTTTTTTTTTTTTTTTTACAATTTTTTGTTTTTGTCGGTTATGGGGGCTGAACTCTGGGCCTGGGCACTGTCTCTTAGCTCTTCAATTCAAGGCTAGAGCTCTACCACTTGAGCCACAGCGTCACTTCCAGCTTTTTTCTGCTTATGTGGTGCTGAGGAATGAAACCCAGGGCCTCATGCATGCTAGGCAAGCACTCTACCACTGAGCCACCTTCCCAGCCCTTACAATTTTTTAATGTCTACTCAATCTTGTTTGTTGGTTTTCTGTTAGATAAGACATAATTCCTGCTTTTTTGAAAGTAGTTATACAAAGGAGTTTCACTTCAAGTCAAATTATGATTACAATGCTTCTTGATCGGTGTCACTCACCCCTTTCTATTTGTTTTCCCCATCCTTTCTAGTCCTATCCATACCCTCAAGTTAGGCAGTTCCATTTTTACCTCTGTATTGAATATAATGACTGTTCGTACATCCTTCCTCTATTTATCAACCTCATTTCTCTCTCTCTTTTTTTTTGGTTGGTCATGAGGCTTGAACTCTGGGCCTGGGCGTTGTCCCTGGGCTCTTCAGCTCAAGGCAAGCGTTCTACCTCTTGAGCCACAGCACCACTTCCAGTTTTCTAGTGGTTTATTGGAGATGAGAGTCTCATGGACTTTCCTGTCCGGGCTGGCTTTGAACCACGATCCTCAGATCTCAGCCTCCTGGGTGACTAGGATTACAGGCGTGAGCCACCTGCACTGGCAACCTCCTTTCTCTTATCCTCCTATTCCTTGCCCCCCCCCCAAAAAAAAACATGTTTCAATTTTCTTGTATTTTTTTTTAACTAGTCCTAGGACTTGACCTCAGGATGTGGGTGCTGTCTCTGAGCTCTTCATCTCAAGGCTAGCACTCTACCACTTAAGCCATAGCTCTACTTCTAGCTTTTTGGTGGTTAATTGAAGACAAGAGTCTCACAGACCTTTCTGCCTGGTCTACTTTTGAACCATTATTTTCAGATCTCAGCCTTCTGAGATTTACAGGCATATAAATCTAGAATTACAGGCATGAGCCACCAACAAATGACTTTTCATTTGTTAAAATACAGTTATTAGCTAGGTAATGTTGGCTCACATCTGTAATCCTATCTGGGAGAGTGAGATCTGAGGATTGCATTTTGAAGCCAGCTGAGGCAGAAAAGTTCCTATGAGATGCTTACTTCCTATTAACCACTTAGAAACAGGAAGTGGAGCTGTGGCTCAAGGTGGTAGAGTGCTAGCCTTGAGCAAAAAGAGCTTAGGGTCAGCGCCCAGGCTCTGAGTTCAAACCCTACAATGACAAAAAAAAAAAAGATACAGTTACCGATGACAGTTTGGAAAGCCTCATGTTGATACTTGCTTGTGTTTGCTGAAAGATATAAGAGGTGACTCAAGTTGTAGAGTGCTTACTTAGTTTGCTGAGACCTTAAGTTCAAACCCCAATATTACAGGGGAATAAAGGAAGATACAAGACACTATAGCTGGGCGCCGGTGGCTCACGCCTGTAATCCTAGCTACTCAGGAGGCTGAGATCTAAGAATTGCAGTTCAAAACCAGCCTGGGCAGGAAAGTCTGTGAGACTCTTATCTCCAATAAAAACCACTAGAAAACTGGAAGTGGCGCTGTGGCTCAAGTGGTAGAGCTCTTGCCTTGAGTTGAAGAGCTGAAGGACAGCGCCCAGGCCCAGAGTTCAAGCCCAACGACTGACCAAAAAAAAAAAAAAAGAAATACCAAATTTATATATCAGTGATAATGACAGTTGTTAAAAGAAGGAAAACATTCACATTGTATAAAACATTAGATTCAGCTGGGTGCTGGTAGCTCCTGCTTGTAATCCTAGCTACTCAGGAGGCTGAGATGAGGATCACGGTTCAAAGTCAGCCTGGGCAGGAAAATCCACGAGACTCTTATCTCCATTAGACCTCTAGAAAACCAGAAGTGGCACTGTAGCTCACATGGTAGTGTGCTCGCCTTGAGCTGAAAAGCCGAGGGACAGCACCCAAGCCCAAAGTTCGAGCCCCAGGACAAACAAAACAAACAAACAAAAAAAATTAGATTCACACTCATGCTTTTTACAAAAAAAGACTCATGCACTAACAGTAATTTGTAAATGACAGTAGATTCTGAATTACATGTCTGCATTAAAATATGCCTACACATACTTTTTAGCTTAAGATAATCTTGAATATTAAAAAATATTTTTCTACAATGTTGATTGATGCTTTATGCTTTTTCCACATTCTCTCCATGTAAAGACTGTATATCTGTGATTGTTTTGTAGATGAACAACATGGCTGTGTTCAAGAACAGCGACCCTAGTTTGATATTTGTTTTTCTAACATGTTTTGCCATTGCCACAATTTTCTTCGCATTCATGATAAGCACGTTCTTTGAAAAAGGTAAGTACTAATATAAGTTTCTCTCAGTGGGTGCTTGTGACTTCTTTTTCTGGAAGCATTGCCATTCCCATTGCCTATACCATTAAGTAGTATTCTTCCAGAACAAAGTTTTCAGTTTTATGGTTACATCCCCATTATAGGCTTGTTTGAACACTTCATTTAACTGTACTATAATTTCAAGTGGAAGTAAATGATAAGTTTCAATTCAGTGAAAATGGAAAGATAAGATATCCAAAGCAGAGTGGTGCCTGTGGCTCAAGTGGTAGAACATGCAGATAACTTTCTAGATTATATGTGTGTGTGTGTGTGTGTGTGTGTGTGTGTGTGTGTGTTTGTGTGTGTGTGTGTGTGTGTGTGTGTGTGTGTGTGTGTGTGTGTGTGTGTGTAGTAAAGATACTGTACAGAGGGGTTGTAGTTACATGAGTAAGGTAATGAGTACATATCCAGTCCAGCATTTTTACCCCCTCCTTTGTTTTTCCCCTTCCATCTCTTCCCTTTCCACCTCCCCAACTCCTCCCTCTGCCCCCCAAGTTGTAAAGTTCATTTTCAACATAGTGTCTTGTACATCTCATTGTTAATGGGAACTTCCTAGATCTTGATTATGAAGTTGGGGCACAAGAAAAGGATGGCTTCTAAGACACCGTAATAAGAAAGGATTTCTAGTGGAGTTGGGAATGTGGCTTAGTAGTATAATGCTTGCCTAGCATGTATAACCCCTGGGTTTGATTCCTCAGTACCACATACACAGAAAAAGCCATAAGTGGTACTATGGTAGAATGCTAGCCTTGAGCAAAAGAAGCTCAGGGACAGTGCCCAGGCCCTGAGTTCAAGCCCCAGGACTGGCAAAAAGAAAAAGGAGTTCTGGTGCCTCAGATTCCTGTTCAAACACTTCTTCTCATAACACTCTGGGTGTCCACTCTGCTCAACCAGCGACAAAAGCCTGTGGTACACACACAAACCATCACACAATGAGTATAGACCCAGGGAAGGGGACATGAGAGGACTCCACTGTAGGTCAGTGACGGCCCTCTGAGAGGACTCCATGGCACTCCTCTTTGTGTCCCCTTCCAGACTTGCAAACTTCTCTTCTTCACATTCAGCCCTTAGATTTTCTTTTCTTTCTCTTCTCTCTTTCTTTTTTTTTTTTTTGGTCGGTCATGTGGCCTGAACTCAGCTCTTCAGCTCAAAGCTAGCGCTCTACCACTGAGCCACAGCACCATTTCCAACCTTTTCTGCTTATGTGGTGCTAAGGAATCGAACCCAGGGCCTCGTGCATGTAAGGCAAGCACTCTGCCACTGAGCCACCTTCCCAGCCCCAGTCCTTAGATTTTCAACTTTTTTTTTTTTGTCGGTTGTGGGGCCTGAACTCTGGGTCTGGGCGCTGTCCCTCAGCTCTTCAGCTCAAGGCTAGCGTTCTACCACTGGAGCCACAGCGCCACTTCCGGCTGTTTATGTGGTACTGAGGAATCGAACCCAGGACCTCATGCTTGCAAGGCATGCACTCTACTGCTGAGCTACCTTCCCAGCCCCAGATTTTCAACTCTTATTCTCTTAACTTTCTGAAGTCAAACATATGCATTTCACTTGTGTTCAGCTGCAAAACTTTGGCTGGATAGATCTCCTGTCCTAATCTGGAGCCATTGTGCATACAGTGTGGTAAACCTTTAATCCATTACTATGATTTACTAGCTCCATGACACTGAGGAGACTTAGTTAATATGACTATGTTTCTATTTCCTTCTCTGAAAAACAGGGAGGTTGTGCAGACTGAATAAAATGATACATTGAAAGCTCTTGCTGTAGTGCCAAGCTGGGCTTAAAGATGCAATGCAAGTCACCACTCATTTTTGAAAAGAGTTTTTGTTGTAGGAGACACTAGTACAGTTTTAGAGAGCAAGTTTTACACAAATATGAATATATGTAAGGGTCCTTTCATTTATTAAGTGCTGCAAATATTCCGCGTCTTTTAATAGTGATGAGTTCCAGTATAAGAGGTTTCTTAAAGAATTGCTTCCCTTTTGAAATGCTGAGACAAGTGCAGAGACACCTTCTTCACCAGAGCTGAGAGAAGGAGCACGTGCCACAGCGCTTCGCACATTGCTAATGAAACTGTTTTTCCTTCTGAACTTACAGCCCACGTTGGAACTGCTATAGGAGGAATCATCTTCTTCTTTACCTACCTCCCCTACCTGTACCTCACTTTTAGCTACCATCAGAGGAGCTATGGCCAGAAGATCAGCTTTTGTCTCTTCTCAAATGTTGCCATGGCAATGGGAATCCGATTCATCTCTATGTTTGAGGCAGAAGGTGAGATTTGTCTTTCTCAAACTGTCTTCAGGTGACCTGGATGCTTTGCTCCAGGTAAGGGTGACCTACTTTTCAATAAACTTAACACACTGATACATTTCATTTACAGTATACTTACAGCTATAGTAGGTTCTGTGTGGGATGCTAAAGTAATACACAATATGGTTCATAGAATAAAATTTATAATTGGGGAGAAAAATGAGAGCATATTAAAGAATTAGTAAATTAGAGCCAAGCATGGTGGTATGTGCTTGTAGAAGGCCAGAGCAGGAAGAACTCTAATGCTAGAGTTGAAGTCTAGCTTGGGCAACACAGTGAGACTCTCACAAAAAATTACTAGGAAAATAAATGCGTATGTTATTAGATAGGCATAAATTATGTAGATGGTATGTTTGCAATATTAAATGACTCATGTTAAATTCCAGGTTTCTAGTTGGTGGCACTGTGTGTAGAAGTTCTAGAAACTAGCAGATTAGACCTAGAAGTAGGTAACGGGGTTCTCCCCCCGCCTCCCGTTCCTGTCTGTCTTTGCTTCCTGTCCACCAGGAGGTGAAGAAGTTCCTACTATATATAATACGTCTGTCATAATCTGCCCAAGGCATGGGGCCAACCACCCTCACAGTGAACTCTCTAAAATCATGAGCAAAAATAAACTTTTATGCCAGGCGCTGGTGACTCAAACCTGTAATCCAAGCTGCTCAGGAGGCTGAGATCTGAGGATCACAGTTTGAAGTCATCCCCAGGCAGGAAAGCCCATTAGACTCTATCTCCAATTAAGCACCAAAAACAAAAGCCAGAAATTGAGCTGTGGCTCAAGTAACAGAGCACTGGCTTTGAGCAAAAAACTCAGGGACAGTGCTGTGACTCTTGAGTTCAAGCCCCAGGATCAGCACAAAATATAAATAAATAAATCTTTCCTCTAAATTGTTATGTCAGATAGGTCTCTCCTCGCAAATGAGAACAACAGATTTATGACTAGAAGCTGAGATAGTATTTTAGAACTTCCAAATAATGTAGTACTTTGTATATATTCTTTATTCTCATTGCCTTGAGTATATCCTTTTTACAGATTTGTATGGGACTGTATTAGTTATCTTTGTGTTATTATAATGAAATATTTGAGATAGTTAATTTATAAATTTTTTTTTGGGTCCAGTCATGGGGCCTGAACTCTGGGCCTGGGCGCTGTCCCTCAGCTCTTCAGCTCAAGGCTAGCGCTCTACCCCTTGAGCCACAGCGCCACTTCTGGTTTTTTTTCTTTTTGCTTATGTGGTGCTGAGGAATCGAACCCAGGGCCTCATGCATGCAAGGCAAGCACTCTACCACTGAGCTACCTTCCCAGCCCCGAGGTAGTTAATTTATAAAGAGAAAATGTTTATTTTGGCACACAGATTTGCAAGTCCCCTTGCCTTGTTTTTGGGAGGAGGTAGGCACATTACGGGAGGTACACGGGTGGAGTAACTGCTTATAGTGTGAACCAGTGAGTAAGAAGGAAGGGATTGAGTCCCATAGTTTCCCCCATTTCCCCTCCATTTTTTTTGTGGGTCCTGGGTCTTGAACTCAGGGCCTGGATGGTGTTCCTGAGCCTCTTTTTGCTCAAGGCTAGTGCTCTACCACTTGAGCGACAGTACCACTTCGGGCTTTTTCTGAATAGTTTATTGATGGTAACAGTCTCACAGACTTTCCTGCCCGGGCTGACTTCTAACCGTGATCTTCAGATCTCAGCCTCCTGAGGAGCTAGGATTACAGGCGTGAGCCACCCAGCACCCAGCTTCCCCTCCATTTTTTTGTGCAAGTGCTATCATTTGAATTTAGGGCCTCACACTGTCCATGGCTGGCTTGCTCATTGCTATCACGTTAGGCATACCTCCAGTTGGGTATTTTGCTGGTTAATTCAAGATGGAGTCTTAACTTTCTGCCTAGGCTAGCTTTGAACTGCAGTCCTCAGGTCTCAGGTGGCCAGATGTTGGGGATACTAAAAACCAAGAGTTCTTGGCCCCAGAGACTGCGGAACTGGAGACAGTGATGAGTGGGCAGATTGACAGTGGAGGACAGGATCTCCTCTGAGCTATCCTGGGGATCCATATACAAAGGGCTGGGCATGTCACCCCAACAAGGAATAGGGGTACACGATCCTTGGGAAGGAGTCACTGCCATAAAGCTGATCGTTAAGGTAAGAATTAGCCAGAACAGATTGGGAGGAGTGGGAAGGTATACCAGTAGCATATGTACAAGTGTAGAGATGTGTATTTAAGGTTATGTCTCATTTCTTACTTTTTGGTGTTGGTAAAAGTACTACCACTTTACAGCAAGCTTTATCTCATAGGAGCAACTTTTTTAAAAATCTCTTCCCTCTTCCTGTACCTTGGGTTGATCTTACAGTGTTACAGATGCAAATAGTATAGTTTTGTTCCTGGCCTAACCCTTTACTATTTGACTGGAAGGTTCTGTGACTTCTTTGCCTTTGATACAGTCCTGTCCTTCCTCTGTGACAGGCACAGGTATACAGTGGTGGAACATAGGCAGTATCACGGGAGAGTTCAGCTTCACTCAAGTGCTGCTGATGCTACTCTTGGACTCACTCTTGTACTGTCTGATAGCCTGGTACATGGAGAACATTTTCCCAGGGAACTTTCAGACCCCCAAGTCCTGGTACTTCTTTGCTTTGGTGAGTTCTAATGCTGCTGTTTTATTAATGGATGTTGCTTTTCATGTTCCTGTGTCTCTCAGTGATTAAAAATCTTAAACCCCAGGAAATTTATCCTGTGTTTATCACAAACCTATCAGCTAATAGAATATGACTGTCAGCTAATGGAGCTAATGGAGCATGATTACCAGCCCTAGTTTCTCTGGTACTTGCTCTATAGCTGATGCAATGAGCTTGAGTGGGGTCCAGTCTCATACAGAATTCCACTTGTAGTGATACAGCCCTCTCCCATTCTTCTCCATTCAGTCGCACTACAGGAGACACCCTGAAGTATTCTAAGACCTCTGTTCCCTACAGGACACCTATAGGGATATAACTTTTCTTGATAACTCCCACAGTTTTCAGAATCAGTTCTCTTCTTGAATGACTTTTTCTTTCGAAGTTGAGTTTCTCATGATTGATTTAGTCCTTCATCAGTGCCTTTGGTAGCCTACCCTGGGCTGATAATCCCAGTGAAATCACAGGCACCTGATGGGGCCCTCTACAGACTCTGCTTCATATCCCTTCTTAGATTGTGGAGAAATGGATAGACTATTAGCTCCAGTATTTCTCCAGGCCCCAGCCACTAGCTCCAGGGATGCTGACTGCTGGGACAGTGGCTTTGGCAGTATATCAGGAACCTGGAGAAGAGGCAGCTCTCCCAGTTCCTTCCTAAGGAGCATGGGTCAGACTGAAATTCAGTTGACTGGCGTTGAGTTTGTAGCCAAGTAGATTCACTTCTCTAGGCCCCATTCAGTATTTGCTGGAACATGTAAACTGCCTTTGGGGTGGGGATACGGATGCCAATTTACCAAAACACTTATTTTCCAGAAGAGTCCACATAAATGATTGATGCTTAGGTTGACTTCCTCTGCAGCCCTCCTACTGGCTTGGGAACCATATTCCAGTGACAAGGCCACTGCTGCACATGGAAGATTCTGAGAAAACTAGGGGAAGTCAGTTCATGCAGGAAGAGCCAACTGATCTGATAAGAGGGATTGAAATCCATCATCTGTACAAGGTATCAGCTCACACACCTCCTTCCAAGAACTTAAGAACAGCCAATGTAAGCATATATTTTTATTCTTGTAAAATATATTCTTATCACAAGGTATCCTTTGTGACTGAGAACTTCAGTCACTTCTGTAATGCTACCCTCAGAGTTAGAGATGTAGCCCTAAATGCCCTATTTCTGGCCATGGAGTTAAATGTCTGCATGGAAAGTTTCATGTGTCTCTTGGAAGGAGTGTCTTCTCATCTCCAGTACCAAACACCTTTGGACTTTCACTGGAATTCAGTCATTTGGTACATTACATTATGATGATGATTATGATTATTGTGATTATTATGATTATTATTATGTGGGTGTACCAAGAGGTTACAATTCCATCAGCCAGGTTATAAGAACAAGGCTTCTTGGTCAATACCACCCCTTCCATCATTTTCCCCCAATCTCCCCCTTCCCATCCCTACCCTCAGGTTACCTAGTTCAGTTTCTTCATAATGTGGTATGTAACTTTTACCTACAATATCAAATTGAAAACCAGATTGTGCTGTTGTCTTGCTGGTGTAAAAACAGAGGCAACTGTTGTTGCACAGGTCATGGCAGAGCCTTGCTCCACATAGAGCACTATGGTGATGAAGGACTCTGGCAACAAGGTGTGAGCTAAGTGCTCTGCTTCCTGGGTGTGGGTGTTACACTGCCATTCATGCCTTGACCTTCCACAGGTGTTTCACAGAGGAAGGAATAAATACATAGCAGTCAGAGATCTGAACATGAATCTGTACAGGGGGCAGATCACCGTGTTGCTGGGACACAACGGAGCTGGAAAATCCACTACCTGCTCCATGCTCACAGGTACCTATCTGTGGTCAGCCCTCCCGAGGAAGCACTGAAGAAAGCGTTAGCAGAGCTAAATTTGGGGGTTCATTTCTCCTGATAGACCTCATTGATACTTTAACGAAACACCATTTGTTGTTTATTTTTACTGTCTATTTAACATCTGATTACTCAGTATACCCCATGCCAGGAAAAGGAAATCTTTGCCTCTCTCAGTCAATCTGCAGAACTCAGTGTCATTCACTATGAGAAGATATTAACAGTAACTAGAAGTTTCTTTCCAGATAAAACTTTCTTATGATTGCTAGGCATTGCTAATCTTTCAAAAAAATTGTCCATAAATGTCTGTAACTTTTGATTGCCCCAGGAATTAGAATAATGCCTGTGAATTATTTGAAAATGATTCTAGTTTCAGAATAATTTTATGTCTAAAGTAATTTTATGTCTAATTTTTGGCATCTAATCAACTAAAATATTATTCTGTAAATTTGAAAATTCTTTAATAAAAGAGGAATATATATATATATATATTTTTTTTTTTTTTTTGGTTGGTTGTGGGCTTGAACTCTGAGCTTGGGTGCTGTCCCTGGGCTCTTCAGCTCAAGGCGAGCGCTCTACCGCTTGAGCCACAGCACCACTTCTGGTTTTCTATTGGTTTATTGGAGATAAGAGTCTCACAGACTTTGCTGCCTGGGCTGGCTTTGAACTGCGATCCTCAGATCTCAGCCTTCTGAGTAGCTAGGATTACAGGTGTGAGCCACTGATGCCTAGCTAAGGCGCCATACATTTATTAAAGGCTTCACAAACATAAAGTTCTGAACAAATCAGTGAGATGCATTTTCAACCTTCAAGGAGCTCTAGAAGCCAGTCAGAGCACCACACTGTAGGAAAGCAATCAGACTGCTGTGACTTTGCTCACAACTGCCATGTAAATGTCTTCAACCTTCTATTAAAAACGTTTAAAGAGTTTGTGCTAGTGGTTTCCACCTGCAATCACAGGCTTAAATCTGAAGGATGATAGTTTGAAGTTTTCTAGACTCCACCTTCAAAATAATCAGCAAAAACTGGGTCTTGAAGCTAAAGTGGTAGAGTGCCAGCCAAAGAAGCAAACTAAGTGAACATGAGGCCCTGAGGTCAAACCCCAGTACCACAAAAACAAAAAAGAAAACTTGAAGGGCAACAAATAGTGACATTTTGTGGGAGGTGCTTTTGGTCAGCCTTCTGGTTGCAGAACTTTGGAAATCAACCCTCAGCCAGCAAATATTCAACGGAGGGGCTCCATGTATGTCAGGATCAATTCTGAGTCTCATAGTATGCTAGACGGGCATACTGGTGTTTCTAGCAAAGTGGTCCTCTTTTGGGAATAGGCATTGCTATTTTTTTTTTTGTCAGTCATAGGGCTTGAACTCTGAGCCTGGGCGCTTTCCCTCAGCTTTTCAGCTTAAGGCAAGCCCTCTACTACTTGAGCCACAGCACCACTTCCGGTTTCCTGGTGGTTTATTGGAGATAAGAGTCCCATGGACTTTCCTGCCTGGGCTGGCTTTGAACCATGATCCTCAGATCTCAGCTTTCTGAGTGGCTAGGATTACAGGCATGAGCCACCAGCGCCCAGCTGGCTTTGCTATTCTTGATGGTGTGGCCAGTTAGGAGTCTTTCTCCTAATGTGTTTGTAAGGTGCTTACTGCTGAAAAGAAGGTCCAACCACAACCCCCAAGAGAAGTGTCAAAGAGGCAAGTCAGATATTAGATCATTACAGTGAGGCCTTAAGTATTTTTCACCCTACAAACTCCCATATTTCCTTCCCTCTTGTTTTGTTCCCAGCATTTCTCATTCATTTGTATGTATGTGTGTGACTTCTGTGTCTCCTCAATCCTATCCTCCTCACTAAGGAATTGGTTTTGTTTACTTCTGGGTCAACAGTGTTTACACTGTAGATACCATTGAATAAATGACTTAATATAATTACAAGTACTGCCAAAATAAGGCAATAAATGCTATATCAGAGAAGCTTCACCACAGATTTCTACTAGCGTGACTTGGTATAGAAAACAGTGTTAACTCTGTCCCAGCAAAAGTGATACCAATCAGAGGCACACATGGGATTCATATGTGCTTGGCTGGGAAGGAAAACATGGCTACTTGTCCTGGATGTTAGACAGCAAAGGGCCTCCATACCATGGTTGTTTCAGAAAGGTCCTGAAGCTGGTAATGTCTTAGACTCCCTTTTCTCTGTCCAGCAAAATATGTGGCTATTTGAGTTTTCTTTGTTTTTTTCTTTTTTCTTTTATTGTGAAAATACTGTACAGAGGGGTTACAATTACATGGGCAAGATAGTGAGTACATTTCTTATCAAGGATTGTAGCCTCCTCCTTTGTTTACCCTTCCCATCCCTTCCCATCCTCCCTCCCCTCCCATCCTCCCCCCACTCCCAAGTTGTAAAGTTCGTTTTTGACTTGACAACTTGTACTTCTCTTTGTTGCAACAGGTCCACCTGTATCCTTATTTAAACGATTTGTTTTTCCCCTTCCCCTCCACAAATTATACCGACATCAAATACAGTGAAAGCAGGGGTTATACTGTGGGGGGCTATTTGGGTTTTCTATTAATTCTTCCGTTATTATAACTTTACATGAAGATTTGTTAAAGTTAGGATAGAATAACACCACCTTTTAATCTTTTGTCCCCAAAATGATCATAAATGTTTGTTTTTTTTTTGTTTTTTTTTTTTGGGTCCGGTCGTGGGGCCTGAACTCTGGGCCTGGGCGCTGTCCCTCAGCTCTTCAGCTCAAGGCTAGCGCTCTACCACTTGAGCCACAGCGTCACTTCCGGCTTTTTTCTTTTTGCTTATGTGGTGCTGAGGAATCGAACCCAGGGCCTCAAGCATGCAAGGCAAGCGCTCTTTCCACTGAGCCATCTTCCCAGCCCTCATAAATGTTTTATTAAACACAGAGTAGAAGATTTAAAAACCCAAACAGTGGGTTTTTTTTTGAGGGGCAGGGTCAGTCATGGGGCCTGAACTATGGGCCTGGGCACTGTCCCTCAGCTCTTCAGCTTAAGGCTAGTACTCTACCACTTGAGGCACAGCACCACTTCCAGCTTTTTCTGCTTATGTGGTGCTGAGGAATCAAACCCAGGGCCTCATGCATGTAAGGCAAGCACTCTACCACTAAGCCACCTTCCCAGCTCAGTAATTTGACAGTATTCATAAAAGATTTTTTTTCTATCTTTTTTTTTCCTGTCTTTTGACATACCAAATCCACTTAAAAATATATTGAGTATAAGCCGGACGCTGGTGGCTCACAGCTGTAATCCTAGCTACTCAGGAGGCTGAGATCTGAGGATCGCGGTTCAAAGACAGCCCAGGCAGGAAAGTCCGTGGGAGTCTTATCTACAATAAACCACTAGAAAACCAGAAGTGGCGCTGTGGCTCAAGTGGTAGAGCGCTGGCCTTGAGCTGAATTGCGCAGGGACAGCACCCAAGCCCAGAGTTCAAGCCCTATGACCGACCCCCCCCCAAAAAATATATATATATGCACGCGCACACACACACACACACACACACACACATATTGAGTGTAGAGAAATAGCCTCAATACGTTATTATATGGAAAAAGCAATTAAAAACTCAAATTTAGGGCTGGGAAGGTGGCTCAGTGGTAGAGTGCTTGCCTTGCATGCATGAGGCCCTGGGTTCAATTCCTCAGCACCACAAGAAAAAAGAAAAAAAAGCTGGAAGTGGCGCTGTGGCTCAAGCGGGAGAGCGCTAGCCTTGAGCTAAAGAGCTGAGGGACAGCACCCAAGCCCAGAGTTCAAGCTCCATGACCGGACCCAAAAAAAAAAAAAAAAAACCCTCAAATTTATATATGTTCACTTTTTTTTTGGTCTGGTCCTGAGACTTGACTCAGAGCCTGGGTACTGTCCCTAAGCTTTTTTGCTCAAAGCTAGCACTCTTACCACTTGAACAACAACACCACTTCTGTCTTTTTGGTGCTTAAACAGTTTCACTGATTTTCCTGTCCTGACTGGCTTTGAACTGTGATCTTCAGATCTCAGCCTCCTGAATAACTAGGATTACAGGCCTGAGCCACTGACACCTAGTTTGTTTTCTTTATTATTCTCTTTTCTCTTTTTCCAACTTTATTTTTTTGCATAAAAGACATTGCCTTTTTCTTTTTTGTTGGGTCTGGTCGTGGGGCCTGAACTGGACCTGGGCGCTGTCCCTCAGCTCTTCAGCTCAAGGCTAGCGCTCTACCAATTGAGCCACAGCACCACTTCCGGCTTTTTCTTTTTGCTTATGTGGTGCTGAGGAATCGAACCTAGGGCCTCAGGTATGCAAGGCAAGCACTCTACCACTGAGCCACCTTCACAGCCTGACACGCCTTTTTCATCCTAATGAGAATAAAGACAAAGATACTCTGCTATTAGGCAGCCTTTAGGGTTTTACAGGCATATATGTGGCAGTGAATGCATTTATTTATTCATTCATTGAACATATATTTCTTGGGAATCAAAGGAAAAATTGCAAACTTTGCCTTCGAGGATCTCAATTCAAGACTTGTATTCCCAAAATACTTTTTTCCCTCACCACATTACTAAAATGATGTAATTTGTTTTAGAGTTGCATATGTTTTAGTTACTTAACCAGATTGAAACTGCTTAAAAGCAGAAATGGTACCTCCTGTCTCTAACCATCCCCACACATCCTCATACACTAGTACACAGAACATATATTCCTTGAATGCTACTAATTGGCTGACAGTGGCAAAGAAATAGAATAAGGACTTGTTGGAGAATGAGTAAACAAAGGGGTGTAGAGTCATTAGGCCTTGGTAATGTTGAATCCTCTGACTGAAGGTGACTTTAGGATGTTTCTTCTACTTGGTTCTAGGCCTTACTGTCCCTTCAAGTGGACAAGCATATATCAATGGATATGACATTTCAACCGACATGGTTCAAATTCGGAAGAGCATGGGCTGGTGTCCCCAGAAAGATATCTTATTTGAAAACTTTACAGTAGCAGAACAGCTTTCTTTCTATGCTCAGGTAAATTGGTAGGTAACGGAGATCTGTTTCCTCTGTGTCCTTCTTTGGGATAGTAAAGCTGCAGCTCTCTGACTCATTTTGGGGAGGATCTTTTAAAGGAACACTCATATGTTCTCCACTGTCAACACTTGTGACACATTTGATGTGAGACTATTGAGAGTAGAAGAGAAGGCAGATTCTCCAACACCAACCCAGTTATCCTATAATTCAGTTCTGATACTACCTGTACTCCCTGCCCAAGTCAAAGGTTCAATCCCCCAAGACTCTCTCCCACTTCAGATGCCAATTATAAGTTTCTTTTTTTGGGGGGGGGGGTCTGGTCGTGGGGCCTGAACTCTGGGCCTGGGCGCTGTCCCTCAGCTCTTCAGCTCAAGGCTAGTGCTCTACCACTTGAGCCACAGCACCTCTTCCAGCTTTTTTCTTTTTGCTTATATGGTGCTGAGGAATCGAACCCAGGGTCTCATGCATGCAAGGCAAGTGCTCTACCACTGAGCCTCTTTCCCAGCCCCTCCAATTATAAGTTTCAAGTTGTCACTTGTACTTCTGATCAACTGACTACCAATTGAGGGTTCTTATAGCCTTCCTCTCAGGTTCAGTAATCTCTGCAATTGCTCATAAACTCAGAGCAACAAACATACTTGCATTGAGTAGTTTATTGTAAAGGAGGCAGATGAACACTCAGATGAAGAAGGTCATACAGCAGGGTATGTGGGTACTAACCAGCCATGCTCTCTCCTACTACAACACTGTCGTCCAAACCCAGACGCCCCACACCCATAGTTCAGTGATTTTATGCAAACTATATTATTTAGGCATGATGAATTATTGGTACAGTCTCCTACCTCTCCCTCTTCCCTAGAGGAGGAGGAGTGAGGCTAAAAGTTGCAAGGTTCTAGTCATGGTTTAGTGTTTCTGATGACCAGCTCCATCTTGACACTGTCCAGGAGCCTTCCACAGATCACTTCATTAGAACAAAAGGCATTTCTATCAGGAAATTCCAAGGTATTTAGGAACTTAAAAATCAGTACACAAAAGGGGTAGAGATGTAGATAGATGGAAGAGCATCTGCCTGGCCAGTATGAGACTTCAAACCCTAGTATCACACACATCCCCCTTAAAAAACAAAAAACAAATTTGTGCTGGGTGTGGTGGTATACTTAAATGTGTTTTCCATACAAGCCAAAATAATTAAATTTGATGGCCCTGACATCAGCAGTTTACTCAATAAATCTAGGTTGATGAATATTTAGTAGAAATAGTGATGGATAACTATCCTTATGAAGGGATATATTAGCCCAAACTGTTCCAGGTCTCTTTTTTTTTTTTTTTTTTTGTGAACATACTGTACAGAGGGGTTACAATTACATGGGCAAGATAATGAGTACATTTCTTATCAAGCATTACAGCCTCCTCCTTTTTTTACCCTTCACATCCCTTCCCAGCCTCCCCCTCCCCCCCCCCACCCCTCCCTCACCCCTCCCACTTCCAGGTCTCTTAAGTTTCCACTAGTCTAACAAGCTCCTATTTTATGTCACTAAGTTCAGAGCAGAAACCTAGACTTAGATCGCCACCCACTGTCAAATCACAAGTAACTACAGGTTCAAATAAGATTGCCAGGGGCTGGGGAGGTGGCTCAGTGGTAGAGTGCTTGCCTTGCATGCATGAGACCCTGGGTTCAATTCCTCAGCACCACATAAGCAGAAAAAATCGGAAGTGGTGCTGTGGTCCAAGTGGTAGAGAGCTAGCCTTGAGCTGAAGAGCTGAGGAACAGCGCCCAGGCCCAGAGTTCAGTCCCCACAACCGACCAAAATAATAATAATAATAATAATAATAATAATAATATTGCCAAACTGGTCTGGGAAAGATAGTATGTTTAAGTTACAGTTCATTTTTGTCAAGTTCTCTATATGTGAGATCATACAGTCTCTGTGGGAAATAGTTGTATTCTTTTTATCAACCTGGATGATTTCTTTTCCCTTCCTACTTCCCTACTTTCCCTTCTTATAAGGAAAAATTTTAGATTTACTGTTAATTATGATGGTGCCTGTGTGTTTTTCATATTTGCTCTTTTTTGTTGGTCCTAGGGCTTGAACTCAGGGTTTGGGCACTGAACCTGAGCTTTTTTAGCTACCGCTTGAGCCACAGCTCTAGTTCTGTTTTTTTGGTTCATTGCAGATATAGTCTCATGGACTTTCTTGTCCTGACTGGCATCAAACCACATTCCTCAGATCTCAGCCTCCTGAGTAGCTAGGATTATAGGCATCAGTCACCAATGCCCAATTCATCTGTGCTCTTTACATGCTGAAGAGGTTTCTTTCCATTCAAAAAAAAAACCAAACCGGGGCTGGGAAGGTGGCTCAGTGGTAGAGCGCTTGTCTTGCATGCCTGAGGCCCTGGGTTCGATTCCTCAGCACCACATAAGAAAAAAGCCGGAAGTGGCACTGTGGCTCAAGTGGTAGAGCGCTAGCCTTGAGCTGAAGAGCTGAGGGACAGCACCCAGGCCCAGAGTTCAGGCCTGATAACCGGACCTAAAAAAAAAAAACAAAAAAAATCAAACCACTATTTTTTAAATCACCGAAGGTTGTTGGATTTTGTTTTTTGGTTTTTTGTGTGTGTGTTTTTTGGTTTTGATTTGTTTTTGTCAGTTGTGGGGCTTGAACTCTGGGCTTGGGCGCTGTCCCTCAGCTCTTCAGCTCAGGGTGAGCTCTCTACCGCTTGAGCCACAGCACCACTTCCAGTTTTCTAGTGATTTATTGGAGATAAGAGTCTCATGGACTTTCCTGTCTGGGCTGGCTTTGAACCATGATCCTCACATCTCAGCCTCCTGAGTAGCTAGGATTACAGGCATGAACCACTGGCGCCCTGCAGATTGTTGGATTTTTTGGGGGAGGAGGGGTTCCGGTCGTGGGGCCTGAACTCTGGGCCTGGGTTCTGTCCCTCAGATCTTCAGCTCAAGGCTAGCGCTCTACCACTTCAGCCACAGCGCCACTTCTGGCTTTTTTCTTTTTGCTTATGTGGTGCTGAGGAATTGAACCCAGGGCCTCATGCATGCAAGGCAAGCGCTCTACCACTGAGCCACCTTCCCAGCCCAGGTTGTTGGATTTTGACAAATGCATTTCTGTCTTCTGAGATTATCTTGGGTTTTTTTGTTTTGTTTTATTTTGTTTTGTCGGTTGTGGGGCCTGAACTCTGGGCCTGGGTGCTGTCTCTCAGCTCTTCAGATCAAAGCTAGCGCCCTACCACTTGGACCATAGCACCACTTCTGGCTTTTTCTGCTTATGTGGTGCTGAGGAATTGAACCCAGGGCCTCATGCATTCAAGGCAGGCACTCTACCACCGCGCCATCTTCCCAGCCCCTATCATGTGGTTTTTGTCTGTTACTATGTTGTGTACTGCAGTGTAATTTGATGCAGATAATGAAGTTAGCACAGAATTCGTATTTTTGTCGGTCAGGGAGCTTGTACCCTGGGCCTGGGCGCTGTCCCTCAGCTCTTCAGATCAAGGCGAGCACTCTCACTAGTTGAGCCACAGTGCCAGTTCCAGCTTTTTCTGCTTATGTGGTACTAAGGAATCAAACCTAGGGCCTCATGTATGCAAGGCAAGCACTCTACCACTGAGCCACCTTCCCAGCCCCAAGAATTCATATCTTAAGAAAGTAATTGTGGCTGGATGCCGGTGGCTTATGGCTGTAATCCTAGCTACTCAGGAGGCTGAGATCTGAGGATCATTGTTTGAAGCCATCCCAGGAAAAGAAACTCTGTGAGACTCTTATTTCCAATAAACTCCTCAAAAAAGCCAAAGTGGTGCCTGTAGCTCAAGTGGTATAGAGCTCCCCTCGAGCAAAAAGAATCTCAGGGACAACGCCTAGGTCCAGAGTTCAAGCCCCAGGACCAAAAACAAAAAAAACAAAGAAAAATGAAAAAAAAAGGAAAGAAAGAAAGAAAGGAATTTGTCTATTCAAGAAACCTTCCAACAGTCTTCTGATAAGATGGTTGTAAACTTGGAAGCCCCACTACATAATTGGGATGACTGTCAGAATTCACAAATTCACTGGGATGAGTGACAGAACCTAGGAAAGTGTTGCACTTATGATTACTTGATTATTGAGGTACTACTGGAGTCTAGCCAAAAGAAGAAACATATGGTATAAGTGTAGGCTGGGAGAGTTTTTTTTTTTTTTTTTTATGTCAGTCATGAGGCTTGAACTCTGGGCCTGGACACTGTCCCTCAGCTCTTCAGCTCAAGGCAAGCACTCTACCCACTTGAACTACAGCACCACTTACAGTTTTCTGGTGGTTTATTGGAGATAAGAATTTCATAGACTTTGATCCTCAGATCTCAGCCTCCTGAGTAGCTAGGATTACAGGCATGAGCTATGAGCACCCGGCTTGGGCTGGGAGAGTCTTGAGCGTGGAGCTGGTCCTGAGACTGTTTCACCTGATTCATGGCAAATGGATGCTGACCAGCTTGCACATCTGAGCTCAAAGTAGTTAGTTTTTATTAGCATTTTATTACATAGATGGGAATGATTAAATCATTGGTCATGTAAATGAACTAAAAATCCAACCTTCCTCCCATCCCAAAGTACTGAGAGTCTGAGGGTGTATGACTCAAAGCTCAGGCCCTTTAATTACACAGTTGACCTTCCTGGTCTGATCAGCTCCCATCCTGAGTTACTGCCTTAGCATAATCCAAGCATGACCTGGGTAGCCACCACATGTAACAGACAGTCCTAGCATTGGACATTCCAAGGCTTTAGGAAGGTCTTTCCAGAAACCAAGGACAAGATGGGCTGGGAAGGTGGCTCAGTGGTAGAGTGCTTGCCTTGCATGCATGAGGCCCTGAGTTCAATTCCTCAGCACCACATAAGCAAAAAAAAGAGAGAAAAGCCGGAAGTGGCACTGTGGCTCAAGTGGTAGAGCGCTAGCCTTGAGCTGAAGAGCTGAGGGACAGCGCCCAGGCCCAGAGTTCAGGTCCCACGACTGGACTCCCCCTCCCAAAAAAAGAAAACCAAGGACAAGAGCCAGACAAATTATTTCTTTAAAACTCACATTTGATTTTTTGTATGTTGAACCACTGGCATTCCTAGAATAAATGCCACTTCATGATGTATTACTGTCTTAACATGCCGCCATATTTAATTTTACTGTCATACACTTACTTATGTAGTTCAACATGAAAAAGTCTATCACTTTCCTTGAAAATAGTTTCTTGTATAGTTTCCCTGGCTGCCTGGCCCTCCTAGATAAACAGCCTCATCTTCCCACTCCATCCTCCACCATTGCAGCTGAAAGGCCTGTCACCTAAGAGGTGTTCTGAAGAAGTGAAGCACATGCTATACACTCTCAGTATGGAGGACAAGCGGAGTTCTCCATGCAAGTACCTGAGTGGAGGAATGAAGCGCAAGCTCTCCATCGGCATTGCCCTCATAGCGGGTTCCAAGGTACGGGGCGGCTGCACCCCACCTCCTGATGAGGCCAGGCCAGGTTCCCCACACACACTGAACACGTATCTGGGCACTAGAACTCAAGGTAGCTTAGCAGGTCCCCAGCACAGCCAGCCCCGGTCTGGAAAGCGGCTCTGCCATTGTCACAACTTTGCCTCTGCCATCCAGTTGTTGATTCTGGACGAGCCCACCTCGGGCATGGACGCCATCTCCAGGAGGGCCATCTGGGACCTTCTTCAGCAGCAGAAGAGTGACCGCACCATCCTGCTGACCACACACTTCATGGACGAGGCTGACCTGCTGGGGGACCGCATCGCCATCATGGCAGATGGGGAGCTGCAGTGCTGTGGGTCGTCTCTGTTCCTCAAGCAGAAATATGGTGAGTGGCGGGCAGCAGGTGGCAGATGGACCTCCGTCTTGTGACAGGGCCAGCACCGCTGCCTGCTGTGCTGAGGGGCACTGCCCACCGTTAGCCTTTGTGAAGGGTCCTGACAGGGGTGGGAAGTGATCTCCTCTCGACTTCCCATCTACTCACCCCAGAGGAGGAACCTATAACAGGAATAAGGAGGAAATTAAGTAGCCTCCATCCAGGTCTCTTGCTAATCTTGCTCTCCCAGCCATGAATGGCTGTCCTCTGCTCCTCAGGTCACTACCTGGTTGCCCTTACATAGATGTCATATTCTCAGTGACAGCCTTCCTTCTTCATTGTGTTTAAAATTATACATTTCCAATATTAACTGTCCTCATTTATTTTTGCTTTATTGTCTTTTTTTTTTTTGTCCTGCGGCTTGAACTCAGAGCCTGGGTGCTGTCCTGGGTGCTCTACCATTTTCAGCCACTGTACCACTCCGGATTTTCTGGTAGTCAGTTGGAGATAGGAGTCTCATGGCCTTTTCTGCCTGGGCTGGCTTTGGACTGCAATCCTCAGATCTCAGCCTTCTGAGATTAGGATTATAGGCATGAGCCACCAGTGTCCAATTTGTCTCCTACTTGTTCAGTGAAAGCCCCATGTGAATGATTAATTAGAACAGTGCCTGCCATGTCTTATGGCTTCAAAAAATGTTAGTTGATGGGGCTGGGAAGGTAGCTCAGTGGTAGAGTGGTTGTCTTGCATGCATGAGGCCCTGGGTTCGATTCCTTAGCACCACATAAACAGAAAAAAACAGAAGTGGCACTGTGGCTCAAGTGGTAGAGCGCTAGCCTTGATCTGAAGAGCTGAGGGACAGCGCCCAGGCCTAGAGTTCAGGCCCCACCACTAATAGAAAAAAATAAAAGTTAGGGACTGGGAAGGTGGCTCAGTGGTAGAGCGCTTGCCTTGCATGCATGAGGCCCTGGGTTCGATTCCCTAGCACCACATAAGCAAAAAGCAAAAGCCAGAAGTATTGCTGAGGCTCAAGTGGTAGAGTGCTAGCCTTGAGCTGAAGAGCTGAGGGACAGTGCCCAGGCCCAGAGTTCAGGCCCCACGACCAGACCCCCCCAAAAAAAAAATAGAAAAAAAAAAGTTAGTCAAATGACTCCCTCTTCCTATATGTTAGAAAAAAGTATTACTGATTTCTGAAAAAAAAAGGTTCAAATGTTACAAGGTGTATTTCCTCAAAACTATGGGGTTTTTGTTTCGCTTTTTTTTCTTCTTGAGTTTCTGAGGATGAACTCAGAGTTTCATGTATGGTAGACAAGCACTATGCTAATGAACTACATCTCTAACCCTGTGGTATAATTTTTATATAATATCTTTGGTCCTAATATTCAAGGCATCTGCTTACTAAGTCTTCACTTCCTCAAGTTAGTTATCATTTAATGGGAGTGTTGACTTAACATCACCTCCATGTGCCAGCATTGCAAAACTTGCCACAGTCACCTTCCAATTCCAGAGCAGAGGAAGACTCCTAAATAGAATTTCAGAGCTCCCAAGGCCAGTTCATTATGGTTAAAACTTGAGCACATAGGGCTGTTCAGCTTCTTTCCCCAAGCACAGTCCCACTGTAAGCTTCAGAAAACTAAATATGGTCCAAGAAGAAAAGTATAGAGTAAAATGGTTTTATGGTCTTTTACATGGTATTTCAGGTGCAGGCTACTATATGACTTTACTGAAAACACCTTTCTGTGACACACAGAAGCTCTGTCGTCTTATCTATCATCACATACCAAATGCAGTTTTGGAGTCTGATGTTGCAGAAGAATTAATATTTATACTTCCTAAAGAGAGCACACACAGGTATGGATTGAGAGGTTAGCACAGTATATGCTGGCCACAGAAATAATGTCCTTCACATATGCCCACCGGCAAAAGACACATGACCCTAAACCTCAGCCCATTAGAGAATCAGCACAGACTTAGGATCTCATTGTCTGGAACACGTCTAAGTGCCAGTGAGACTTCTCAAGTGTGGGACTTGGATTCGACTCTTTGGGTATTGTTCTTTTTATTTGAAGATCTGAAACTAAAGAGAGAATTATCTGATCCACATATGTTCATTGGACATGATGACATGGGTAGGATCATCACAATATTTCTGAATATTTCTATTCAGAATTGAACAAATAAGAGGTACATAAAAGGTACATAACCTTGTTGTTAATATTTAGCCATTCTGAATTCTAGGAGTTATCAATTTCGGCTTTTTTTAGGGTCAGGAAATGTATATTAATTGAGACAAGACACTGTTCTGCTTCTTCTTTTCTTTTTTTTTGGTCGTGGGGTCTGAACTCTGAGCCTGGGTGCTGTCCCTCAGCTCTTCAGCTTAAGGCTAGCATTCTACCATGAGCCACAGCGCCACTTCTGGCTTTTTCTGTTTATGTGGTGCTAAGGAATCGAACCCAGGGCCTCATCCATACAAGGCAGGCATTCTACCACGGAGCCACCTTCCCAGCCCCAACTGTTCTGTTTCTTAAGAGTGATTTTGATCAGGTCTTGACTTCACTCACTGGCTATTGACTTTGCCTCATATATATTATATATACACATACATTCCTTTTTTTCATAAAAACTGATTACTTATATCTTTCCTGCCTATAGGAGATAGACCAGAGACCATTTTTAAAATTTTGTCCAATACCATGTAGATTTCCTAAAACCAGGTCATGAAATGAACTTTGCTAGACTAAAATTATATTCACAGTCTTCAAATCCACTTCCTCTCAGCTGGGAGCAAGGCTCAAGTGGAAGAGCACCTGCATGATGAGTGCTAGTGTCTGATTTCAAACCCCAGTACTACCACAAGAAACACACACACACACACACACACATGCACACACGCACGCACACACATGCACAGGCCCCCTTGGGCTAAGAGCCATGATAATGTAACACAGTGCCTGCCTGAATTTTAGAATCCTTTGTCCAGATGATTGAGGCTAAGCAGTGTGTACCTCTGAAAATGTATCAACTGGCTCTCAGCAAAGGGCTTCAGAGCTGGAGAGTGAAACCATTCTTTATTCTGAAGCAATATTTCATTGTCATTACTTTAGCTTTCATTTTGTCCCTGAGAATTCCAAGACCTTTTACTGGAAAGACTGTCACAGTGCCTCTGTATTTTCTTTAATTTTTGTTAAGCATTTGATTGTTTCATTTTTTCATTTTTGTTTTGTCATGTGCAACTATAATAAACCAGTTAACACTTGAAACATTATAACTGGACATACCCATAGGAATTTACCCACAAGTTCATTAAATACTCTTTCAATCTTTTGTTACAGCAACTGAAACTGTGGCCACATATATTTCTGATGACATGAAAAATTAAAGAATTTTCTCACTGTTCTTCCAGCCTCTGTCTAGAATTCTCCTGCCTTCACACTCCTACTATCTGATCCCAGAGCCATATTGCACATTCTAGTTCTTTTTATTTTGTTACAGTGCTTCTGGGATCAAATTTTGTTTCAGTTGTATATTACCAAATAACAAATTACCTCAGAGGCTGGGAAGGTGGCCCAGTGGTAGAGTGCTTGCCTTGCGTGTATGAGGCCCTGGGTTTGATTCCTCAGCACCACATAAGCAAAAAGCCGGAAGTGGCGCTGTGGCTCAAGTGGTAGAGTGCTAGCCTTGAGCTGAAGAGCTGAAGGACAGCGCCCAGGCCCAGAGTTCAGGCCCCACAACCGGACCCAAAAAAAACAAGAACAAACAAAAAAAAACAAATTACCTCAACCTTTGCTGGCTTAAAATGACAACCATTTTATTGCCTCTCATAGTTGTCTAGCCTGACTGGACTCAGCCAGACAGTTTTTATAATGACTGAGACTAAAGTTGTCCAGGGCCTAGAATGAACTAGATGGAAGGATCCTTCTCCCAGGGGATGACGGTACTGCCTGTCTGTCACTTGGGTGCTCCCGGGCTGCTGACAGTGGCGCTCAGAACTCCTGCACATGGCGCCTCTCAAGGCTGAATGTACTTCTTACAGCAAGGTAGGAAAAGTCCAAGGAGGGGGATCTTAAGAGTGCCTCTTCAAAAGGGGAGAAAACTAAAAACAGCCCCTCTGCTTAAGGCCTGGGCTCAGAAATACCAAAACATCACTCCCATCACATTCTCTTGCTCAGAGGAGTTAAAGGGAGAGGAAAATAAGCACTACGTCTTGATGAAGAGTGAGGACTGGCATGCACAGTGTGGGGAGGAGACTTGGAATTTTTAGGTCACAAGAAGAGACGGTGAGTCCATATGCCATAAAGAGTTACGCTCTTTATGTGTATATGCCTCATCACAGAGCTTGAAAATACCTAGACAAATGTCGACAAAAATAAATGAAGTCAATTTTCGACTTTTGATCTCTAGAACATGTAAAAGGGCTAAGAACACTCTCCTGGCATTTAGAAAGCACTTCAAAATACAACTACTTAAAGATAATTTTAAAAAGAAAAATAAAAGAGAGATAAAGCACTTCAAAAATAGTATCATTGTTTTTCTCTATTCAAAAGGAAAAAATTGATTATTAATGATTTTGCATCTACATAATGTGCTAGATGTTTTAGGCATATACCTACAGGAACCATCCAAAAGAATTTCTGTTACCCTCTTTCAAGTTCTTGTGCTCTAGTTCTAAAGGTAAAGTTGAGATTTAAACAGAAATCTTGACCACATGGCCCATGCCTTTTCCTCTGTAGAGAAGTATGGGTGGTAAAGGATTCACCTGCAGACTTTCAGAAATAGAACTGTCCTTTCCTTTTTAGGTTTGAATCTCTATTTGCTGACCTGGAACTGAACCAGTCAGAGCTGGCAATCTCCAGCTTTGCAGCCTCTGTCACCACCATGGAGGAAGTGTTCATTAGGTAGGCTTCAGCCTATCAGTGTTGGAAGGGAGGCTAAAGGTCATCTATCAAAACATGTCCCATGGGGCTGGGAAGGTGGTTCAGTGGTAGAGTGCTTGTCTTGCAAGCATGAGGCCCTGGGTTCAATTCCTTAGCACCACATAAACAGAAAAAGCCAGAAGTGGTTCTGTGGCTCAAGTGGTAGAGCGCTAGCCTTGAGCTAAAAAGCTAAGGGACAGCGCCCAGGCCCAGAGTTCGAGCCCCACAACTGGCAAAAAAATAAATAAACATAGCCCAATGATTAATCTTTTCACTAACACCCTCACCGAATGGCTGTCCAGCATGGATTGGTACTTCCAGTATTGGGGATATTAGATAAGGGAGTTTATGTTAAACATAATACTCAGCAAGCCTAATTTTAGAGAATACATTTTTAAAAAGCATTATATCATTTGAGATGTTTTTGCTTTCAAGTATCAAATAAACAATAGAAGAATTTGTTACTTCATTTAAAAAGAATTCCTAAGCCAGGTACTAGTGGCTCATGCCTTTAATTCTAGCTACTCCAAGTCTCAGCCTCCTGAGACTTGGAAGAAATCAATTTGAATCCAACCCTGGCAAATATTGTCTATGAGACTATATTTTCAGTTAACCTGCAAAGTATTAGACTGGAGGCATGGCCCAAAAGGCAGAGTGCTGCCGGGCACTGGTGGCTCATGCCTTTAATCCTAGCTACTCAGGAGGCTGAGATCTGAGGATCGCAGTTCAAAGCCAGCTTAGGCAGGAAACTCCATGAGACGCTTATCTCCAATAAATGAGTAGAAAACCCAAAGTGGCATTGTGGCTCAAGCGGTAGAGCGTGTAGAGCGCGCGCCTTGAGCTGAAGAGCTGTGGGATAGCACCCAAGCCCAGAGTTCAAGCCCCACGGCTGACCCAAAAAATAAATAAATAAAAAAGGCAGAGTGCCAGCAATGAACAAGAAAACTAAAAGAAGTCATTTGGCCCAGAGTTCAATCCTAGTGCTCTGGTGCTGGCACAAAGGTAAAACAAAGCAGGCAATTTAATATGAAATTCCTGAAGCAGAATGCAAGCTTGTTTCTATCAGACGTAGGCCTTGCTAGACTGCTGCATGTAAACTCTAGACAGGGCTCCACCAGGCAAAAGCTTGGCAAAAGCAGCAGGGGTGACTGTATGTAGTAAAGCAATACCTTTTTTTTTTTGTCATTCGTGGGGCTTGAACTCTGGGCCTGGGCACTGTCCCTGAGCTCTTCAGCTCAAGGCTAGCACCCTACCACTTGAGCTACAGCGCCACTTCCTGTTTTCTGGTGGTTTATTCAAGATAAGAGTCTCACAGCCTTTGTTGCCCAGGCTGGCTTTGAACTGTGATCCTTAGATCTCAGCCTCCTGAGTAGCTAGGATGACAGGCACAAAGCCACCAGCATCTGGCAATACTTGTCTTTTAACATGAGGATCACTGGTAATATATTCACATTTATACCTATCATTTGGTATTTTTTACCAGTCCTGCATATACACATGGCTTTTTCTCTACTGTTTTTGGATTTTTTTCTCATCCTATTTTCAGTTATGTCCACATACGTGTTGTAAATTATGCTTTTTTATTGATTATTTCAATTATCAGTGTAGATATTGAGACACATACACAAATATATATAACTATATATAAAACTATATAAATATGACATGTATATACCAAAGACTCACACAATTAAAATCTTTAGTCTATTTTTGAAAAATACAAGGACCTTTAATTTCATTGACATGCATCCCACCATCAACAGCTTGTATATATTTTTGTATACTTAAAACATGATTATTTTTGTCTGCTAAAGAAAGTTATTTAAATTCTTATGCTCATCTGCTTCTGTTTGTTTGTTTGTTGCTCTGCTTTGTGTGTGAAGAACTAGGTGCATCCTACCCTGGGAAGTGAATCCAGCTGTAGCCTTGTCAATAGTTTGGCCGCAAACTCTTGAAAAAATCTGGAGATTCAATCACCTATCCATGCCACATCCAAATCCCTCTCCCACAGAAACTATGTGAGATAATACTTGCTGTTTTAAGCTATCAACTTTTGGAATAATCTGTGTCACAGCAATAAATAGCAAATATATAATCTTTTACATGACTGAAAATGAGCCACAATTTACTGGGCATTTTGCTGTGACAAGTTGTTAGGAGTAGGTTTTTGGCCCACCAACCATGAATGGACATATATTTCCCGGCACCTGAACACTTAACTGTCAACAATAAATACATCTTTTTGCTTAGAACAGAGGTCAGCAAACTTCTATTTAAAGGACCAGATAGTAGGTATTTTTTAAGGATATTACACAGGTACTTATATAACCACATAGCATGTATCTATTTATATGATTCTATTCTGAGCTTAAGGCCAAACAAAATAGGCCTTAATGTCAGGCGCTGGTGGCTCACACCTGTAATCTTAGCTATTCAGGAGGCTGATATCTGAGGATATCTGGGCAAGAAAGCCTATGAGACTCTTACCTCCAATTAACCATCAGAAAACTAGAAGTAGAGCTGTGGCTTAAAATGGTAGAGCGCTAGCCTTGGACAAAAAAGCCCAAACCCTGACTTCAAGCCCTATGACCTATCCAAAAAAACATTGGCCTTAGCAGGGCCAAAGATCACCCATTGGCCAAAGATCACCAGCCCCTGGCCTATAATCTCAGCATTACTATGTTCCTTAACGTTCAGTTTGCTTATAAAATAGACATTAAATATGTTACTTCCTTTTCATTTTCATGTGATAGCTTTTAAAGGAAAATAACAAATATGGCAATTTTTACTGGTTCTTTGAAAAAGAATTGTGAAGATCTTGTAACCCAGGATACAAACTAGATATAGCTCCTTTTACCCTCATAGTCTTATCCTAACTTCTCAAAACTTTTCAAATGTTCATTTTATTATTTAAATCTAAACAAAATGAAATGTGTTCTAATTTTGAGACTTTGTATTTGCTTATGTTTTTGTTTTTGTTTAGGGTTTCTATGTTGGCAAGCTGTAGTTCACGTAGCCTAACTAAGAAGCAACATACTGTCCAACCTTACCCTCTCGTTAACAGAGTTCCTATTGACAGAATTAAACATCTTCATTCAAGGATCTTCTCAATAGAGTCTGGCCTGCCAATCAAACTAAACACTGGTGTAAGCAGCATATTTTAAACATATACAAGAAAGAAAGATGTGGTTTAATTCTCAGAATTATGCTATCATTCTGTCAAGAAGTGTATGTCAACTTTCGCAGAGACTCAAGAAAAAAATATTTATATTTTAGGCATAAAAGACTGGATCTGACCCAGTTGTGAGGGCACACCTGTAATCCAGTCTTCAGGCCATTGTGGCAAGAGAATAATGAGTTGCAGACTAGCCTGGGCTGCATAGCAAGACCTTTTGTCCAAAAACAATTTACACACACACACACACACACACACACACACACACACACACACACACACACACACGTCCTTATGAAATGTATCAACAATGTATAATATTCTTCTAATAGTAACAAAAGAATATGGATAAACGTTTTATAAAGTACTCTTGACTTTAGCTATCATCAAAGTATCATGTGAAATAAGACTACTATGAGTTAGAGGTTGATTTCCATGATTCTTAACCTTGAGTCACATAGTAAAAGGAAGGGTATTATGTAGGGCATCTTCAAGATAGGAAGAATCTAAGCACTGTCTGATCCAGCCACCTGTCCGTAACAACCATTAACAAGAGATTAGATGGCTCCACATGGCCAAGAATTACTTTTGGAGATGGTACCGGAATTTTCTTTTTTTTTTTTTTTTTTGGGGGGGGGGGGTCCGGTCATGGGGTCTGAACTCTGGGCCTGGGCGCTGTCCCTCAGCTCTTCAGCTCAAGGCTAGTGCTCTACCCCTTGAGCCACAGCGCCACTTCTGGCTTTTTTATTTTTGCTTATGTGGTGCTGAGGAATCGAACCCAGGGCCTCAGGCAAGGGCTCTACCACTGAGCTACCTTCCCAGCCCTCAAAAAAAAGTTTTAAGTCAGATTTTTCAAGCACTGGTGGCTCATGATTATAATTCTAGCTACTCAGGAGCCTGAGATCTAAGCCAGTTCTAGGCCAGCTGGGTAGAAAACACCTTACAAGACTCTTATCTCCAAATAATGACTCAAAAGCAGGAAATTGAGCTATGACCCAAAGTGGTAGATAGCTAGCCTTGAGCAAAAGAGCTCAGGGACAGCACCAGGCCCTCAGTTCAAGTACCACAACTGGAAAAAAAATAAGTCAGATAGTATTTGGTAGAGACTTTCAGGTATTTGTTCATATTTTAGTTAGGAACTTAGAATGTCTTTCTCATATCCCTTCAGGGGTTCTCAGACCAGGGACTGTACATATGAAAGTATTGCTTCCTCCCCACCCCACTCATGCAGACCCCAGAAAAGCCATGTGAGCACCTTCAGCACTCTGAGGATCCTACCCCAGGCTGACTCCAGTTATTAGGACCTCAGGACATAACTGCACATGGTGACATTGACTGCCATCACCACCAGGGGCGTGTTTGCATGCAGGCTTTATGTATTCATACAAGCCATCTGTAAGATACATGACTAGGATCGAGATACCTTGGTTAAAGAGTATCTGGGTATGAGATTATTTTCATCTAGACAATTCCTTTTCAAAATCTGTTGTGCCAAATGAATACTTCACTAATGGTGGCATTTTCCCCAAATTTCTCATCAACCTTAAGTTTTTAACATGGAAAAAAAAAATATCATTTACATTTGGTACCTGTATTATCTTAGGTTCTACTTTCAGATTTCTTTTTAAACCAGACACTGGTGGCTCATGTCTGTAATCCTAGCTGCTCAGGAGGCTGAGCTCTGAGGATCACAGTTCAAAGCCATCCTGGTTAGGAAAGTCTGTGAAACACTTCATCTCCAATAAACCACCAGAAAACCGGAAATGGCACTGTGGCTCAAGTGGTGGAGCGCTCACCTTGAGCTGAAGAGCTCAGGGTCGGCACCTAAACCCAGAGTTCAAGCCCTACAACTGACAGAAAAACAAAACAAAAAAAATTCTTTGTCATCTGTACTTTCTCTTTGTGCCATTTAATATCAAATCGTGAGGCATTATCAAATCGTGAGGCATTTTAACTTGAAGCAAATTTTGAACATGATTAAAAAGTTAGGGCTGAGAAGGTGGCTTTAGTGGTAGAGTGCTTGCATAGCATGCATGAAGCCCTGGGTTTGATTTCTCAGTATCACATAATTAGAAAAAGCTGGAGGTGGTGCTGTGGCTCAAGTGGTAGAGTTCTAGCCTTGAGCAAAAAGAAGCTTAGAGACAGTGCCCAGGCCCTGAGTTCAAGCCCCAGGACTGGCAAAATAAAAAAATGATAGATGAATTGTGAGAGATGCAAGTGGCTAGGAGCCAGGAGCGTCAGGACCTCCAGCTTCTGTTGCCATGTTGATGCAGTGCCTCCTCTCTTTTTTTCCCTTTTATTGTAGTTCAGTCTTCTCTGCCAACAATTTTATGCCATGCTCCTGAAGAGGGTTACATATTCTTGGCGGAATTGGATGGTGATGTTATCTATACAGATCCTGGTGCCTCTGGTGATCATTGTATTAACCCTCATGTTCTTCAGCTTCCAAACAAAGAGCCTGGAGAGTGTTCCCTTGAAGTTGACTCTAAAAACATATGGTCGGACTATTGTTCCATTCTTTGTCTCTCAGAACTTCACCCTGGATACTCAGCTTTCAAATCACTTTGCAGATATGCTTGAGGCTGAGGGGCAGATTCCTCTGCAGATCCCAGGTAAGACTCAGAACACAGGGGAATGGGCACAAAGTAGGCTCATTTCATTTTTTTTTTTTTTTTTTTTGGGTCCGGTCATGGGATCTGAACTCTGGGCCTGGGCACTGTCCTTCAGCTCTTCAGCTCAAGGCTAGCGCTCTACCACTTGAGCCACAGCTCCACTTCCATTTTTTTTTCTTTTTGCTTATGTGGTGCTGAGGAATCGAACCCAGGGCCTCAGGCATGCAAGGCATGCGCTCTACCACTGAGCCACCTTCCCAGCCCTCATTTCATATTTTACAGGGAAATTATATCCTTGTGGCCACTTGCTGTTCTCAGCAAAATGACAAGAAAGAGGGTTGCTAGGAATGAGACCAGGCGAGTTTCTCTAGGAATTAAGGTATTCCCCCAAGGCAAGTGTATTCAGAAGAATATAGATACAGATATATATCTCAAGAGAGTTTGTAGGTAAATTTGTGATAAATACGAAGAAAAAATGGAGTGGAAGCTGTATAAGAAATAAATACAGCCAGGCGCCGGTGGCTCATGCCTGTAATCCTAGCTACTCAGGAGGCTGAGATCTGAGGATCACAGTTCAAAGCCAGCCCGGGCAGGGAAAGTCTGTGAGACTCTTATCTCCAATAAACCACTAGAAAACCAGAAGTGGCGCTATGGCTCAATCGGTAGAGCACTCATCTTGAGCTGAAGAGCTGAGGGATAGCGCCCAAGCCCAGAGTTCAAGCCCCATGACCGACCAAAAAAAGAAAGAAAGAAAGAAAGAAATACATTGGTGGGGTGCTGGTGGCTCATGCCTGTAGCCCTAGCTACTCAGGAAACGGATCTGAGAAACATGATTTAAAACCAGCATGGGCGGGGCTGGGAAGGTGGCTCAGTGGTAGAGCACATGCCTTGCATGCCAGAGGCCCTGAGTTTGATTCCTCAGCACCACAAAAGAAAAAGAAAAAAGCTGGAAGTGGCGCTGTGGCTCAAGTGGTAGGGCGCTAGCCTTGAGCTGAAGAGCTGAGGGACAGCGCCCAGGCCCAGAGTTCAGGCCCCATGACCGGACCCAAAAAAAAAAAAAAAGCCAGCATGGGCAAGGAAATCTGTGAGACTCTTATCTCCAATTAAGCAGCAAAAATCTGGAAGTGAAAACAAAACCAAGCAAAAAAGCTAGACTTGGAGTTGAGGCTCAAGTGGTAGAGTGCCAGCCTTGAGCAAAAAAGCTAAAAGACAGCACTCATGTCCTGAGTTTAAGCCCTGGTACAGGCACATGCGCACGTGTGCATACACATACACACACACTTTAATCAAAATTTGGTTTTAACTTTAGTGCAGGAAGAGAGGGGGGAAATCTGTAGGGCATGTGCCTCTGAAAACAGGCCCTGGAGATGGTATGGGTAGCATGGCATGCATCTGTTTGCATGTTTCTCATCATGTTTTATATGAATATTAAATATTTAAGATTATAATTTCTACTAAGTAAAAATTCAAAGTAATGACTTACAATAAAGAGATCAAATGCAGAATATGATATAACAAAACAGTTGAATCATAAGGCCCTGTACTAGAACTTGGATTTTTGTTGTTGTTGTTGGTGGTGGTGGTGGTGGTCATGGGGCCTGAACTCAGGGCCTGGGTGTTGTCCCTGAGCTTTTTCACTCAAGGCTAACACTCTGCCACTTTGAATCATAGCAACACTTCCAGATTTCTGGAGGTCAGTTGGAGATAAGAGTCTCATGGAGGGGCTGGGAAGGTGGCTCAGTGGTAGAGTGCTTGCCTTGCATGCATGAGGCCCTGGGTTCGATTCCTCAGCACCACATAAGCAAAAAGAAAAAAAACCAGAAGTGGCGCTGTGGCTCAAGGGGTAGAGCGCTAGCCTTGAGCTGAAGAGCTGAGGGACAGCGCCCAGGCCCAGAGTTCAGGCCCCATGACTGGACCCAAAAAATAAAAAAAAAAGAGTCTCATGGACTTTCTTGCCTGGGCTGGCTTCAAACTGCAATCCTCATATTTCAGCCTCCTGAGTTACAAGAAGGTTGTAGTAGTGAGCCACCAGCACCTAGCCAATCCTTCATTCTTAATGTGTCACCTCTCATGGCTCCTATGGATATAGGTCCATCTCTGTTAGATGTATTATGTTGAAATTTCCTTTGACCAGAAGTTGGTGTAAAATGACTGCAAGGAAGTTGGTGGATGTAAAATGTTCAGATGTATCCTTTGAAGCAGAGATCGGAGGTCCTGCATAGAAAGAGAGGAGTTTTATCTGGGGTCACATAGTCTAAGTATAGATGATGGGGCTAGAATCACTTGAAGTAAAAAGAAAGAGAAAAGTAGACAGAATTGGAAGAGACTTAAAAGAGACATGCTAGATACTCATACCTGTAATCCTAGATACTCAGGAACCTGAGATCTAAGGATCCTGGTTCAAAGCTAACCCAGGCAGGAAAGTCAGGGAGACTCCCATCTCCAATTACTATAAAAAGCCACAGGTGGCACTGTGGCTCAAGTGATAGAGCACTAGCCTTGAGCAAAAGGAACCCAGGGACATTGCCCAGGTCCAGAGGTCCAGCTCCAGGACCAGCATAAAAAAGATAAAGATGGAGGGGTGTAGTCATGGAGATGGGAGGGCAGGGATGGTAAGGGAAAAACAAAGGAGGAGGCAACAATGCTTGATAAGAAATGTACTCATTACCTTGCTCATGTAATTATAGCCCCTCTGTATAGTATTTTCACAATGCAAAACTTATTTTAAAAAAAGATAAAGAGGAGCTAGGAATGTGGCTTAGTGGTAGGATTCTTGCTTAGCACACATGAAGCCCTGGGTTCTATTTCTTAGTACCACATACAAAGAAAAAGCTGGAAATGGTGCTGTAGCTTAAGAGGTAGAGTGCTAGCCTTTAGCAAAGAAAAACTTAGAGACAGTGCCCAGGGCCTGAGTTCAAGCCCCAGGACTAGCAAAAAAAAAAAAAGAAGAAGAAAGAAAAAGATAAAGACACAAGACTTGGAGATAGCCTGGAATTCAAGGTGGTATAGGGCAAGAGGAGGCCAGCTTTGGTGGTGAGTAGGGCTGGTTATGAAAAGTAGGAGGAACAGAAGGTTGGGGAGCCTATGTAGGGGCCCATGTGACTCCCTCCCACCGGCAACTGCCTGAAGTGTTCTGCTTCCCTTGCAGAACCTATAGAGGAGTTCCTGTTAAGAAAGGCAAAAGAGGAGCCCGAAAACTTCGACAGGCTTTATGTGGTGGCAGCTTCCTTTGAAGTCAAAGACAATGCCACCATAGTTACTGCACTGTTCAATAACCAAGCATACCACTCCCCTGCCGTGGCTCTGGCTCTGGTGGACAATCTGCTCTTCAGGTTGCTTTCTGGCGCTAGTGCTTCCATTACCACATCCAACTACCCTCAACCTCAGACGGAGGAGGAGCTCTCCGAAAGCCTCCTGTACCAGTAAGCACCGCATCCTTCCTCCCAGCACCATGCTCACTTATCTGAAAGGACTGTTTCTTTGTCTCATTTTAATTACGAGTGTTATTTTGGAAGAAGCTTGATGTTACATTTTCACCTAAACTCTTGTGTCTCTCCCCATGTGCTCTTTTTCAGGGGCGCTAAAGGATATTATCTTATTATCAACTTGCTTTTTGGGATAGCTTTTCTGTCTAGCTCTTTTTCCATCTTGACAGTCAGAGAGAGACGCATGAAGTCCAAACAGCTGCAGTTTGTGAGCGGTGTCTGCATAACTGCTTTCTGGTTCTCTGCTCTGCTGTGGGACCTCATCTCCTCCCTTATCCCCACTCTACTGTTACTGGTAAGCAGTAAGTGGTGCCAAGGGCATTTCCTGCAGACCAGGGATTCCTGAATGGTCCCTACACAGAACTGGAACAAGTCAGCCCTGGATGAGGAATCGCCTGTATCAATGAGCCTTTTACTAAAGGTTGCTTGGCTCTAGCACTGCTGGGAACAGAGGGGCCTGCTCTGCGATTCTCATGTGGTACCCACAGAACGGTCCCCTCAAGCCAGTGAGAGACAGTGCCTGGGACACATGCTATTGCCCACAAACAGCTCACCATAGACGTGAGGGTTGAAGTGTTTGATTGTGGTTGATATGAGTAATTCAGGGGTTTGATGATTTGGGTTTTTTGTTTTGTTTAGTTTTGTTTGTCAGTCTGGGTCTAGGTGCTGACCCTGAGCTCTTCAGCTCAAGGCTAGTGCTCTACTATATGAGCCACAATGCCACTTCTGGTTTTCTAGTGGTTAATTGGAGATAAGAGTCTCATGGACTTTCCTGTCTGGGCTGGCTTTGAACCATGATCCTCACATCTCAGCCTCCTGAATAGCTAGGATTACTGGTGTGAGCCACCAGCGCTCGGCTTTTGGTGTTTTTTTTGTTTTTGTTTTTGATACAGAATAGCTCACTTCCTGCTTTGTTCTACCGTTGTGTTTTATAAGTATCTCTGCACCCCTTATTGTAATGCATTAGGCTACTGGTCCCTAGGGCAGCTCCTGAGAACAGAGGCCATGACTTGCTCATTGCTTCCTGGGAAGATGAGGGGAAGAAGGAAAGTGCCTGTGAATATTACTTCTAAAGCTGAGACTAGGGCTGGGAATGTGGCTCAATGGTTGAGTGCTTGCCTACCATTCATGAAGCCCTGGGTTCGACTCCTCAGTACCACACACACACAAAAAGCCGGAAGTGGTACTGTGGCTCAAGTTAGAGTGCTAGCCTTGAGCAAAAGCAGCTCAGGGACAGTACCCAGGCTCTGAATTCAAGCCCAGGACTGGCAAAACTAACAAACAAAAATACCTAAAGCTGAGATGACCATACTCTTCAGTATTTAGGATAGATTTTGAATGCCCTTCCCTTTCCTAAGGTGGTGTTTTTATACTACAACGAAGAGGCTCTCACCCAGCATGGGAACGCCCCAGCTGTGGTCTTGATGCTGATGCTCTACGCCTGGGCCATCATCCCCTTCGTCTACATGATCAGCTTCTCCTTTGACAATGCTGGTAATGCTTGCGTTAAACTTGTCATAATACTGACCTTTCTGAGCATTGGCCCCACAGTGCTAGTCTTAGCCACCAGTGAACAAGGTGAGGATAAGTCCATGTCTGCGTCACATAAAAAAAAAAAAAACCAAAAACCTTTGTTTTTTTTCCCTCTAACTGCTACAGAAGTTGTGCCCACAAAGGTGTGTGTTCCCCAAAAAACGTTCATAGCAGCTATGAGCCAAACAGTCCCAAGAACACAGATCCAGGTGGATGGACAAACACTGGAACACATGCATTCAGTGGATTGTTGCTTAGAGATGGGAAGGGAATAGTCAGCAGTGTGGCTAAACACCAGAGATCCAATGTTGAGCCGAAGCAGCTGCCATGCCTGGTGTCTGTGAACAGATAAAAGGAATCTTGGAGACAGGATCAGAAAAGTGATTGTTTTGGGGGTGAGGGGAAAAGAACTAAGGTGGTACACCAGGGGACTTTCTGGAGTAAAGACATTTATTTATCTTGGCTGGAGTTCTTGTGAATTAATTGAACTATCTACATTTCACTGAAAAGCATAATCTCTCAATATAAAAGGTAATGGGAGAGCGCTAGCCTTGAGCTGAAGAGCTGAGGGACAGCGCCCAGGCCCAGAGTTCAAGCCCCACGACCGGACCCCCCCCCCCAAAAAAAAAAAAATAATGAGCTGGGAAGGTGGCTTAGTGGTAGAGTGCCCAGCATGCATGAAGCCCTGGGTTTGATTCCTCAGCACCACATAAGCAGAAAAAGCCGGAAGTGGTGCTGTGGCTCAAGTGGTAGAGTGCTAGCCTTGAGCTGAAGAGCTGAGGGACAGTGCCCAGGCCTACAGTTCAGGCCCCACAACTGACGAAAGAAAGAAAGAAGAGAGAGAGAGAATGAACGAACTCAGACTAAGCCATTATTCACACTACACATACCTAAAACTGGCATCTTCATGTTTATGCTGCTATCTCTATCTGGGTCAGGATTACATAAATGTGCTGATATGTCACCTCTACAGTATTTTTTCATCTGCACTTTGTGCTAACACTTCCTTCAGATTGACTTTAGGTTCTTTTTTTTTTTCACTTAAAAAGGAAGTAGCAATTTCAATCTGTATTTAGGGAGTTACTCTGTCTCCTAAAAAACCATTCATGATAGTTTGATCTCCAAATTTTAATTATAAACTTAGGGATGGACCATATTCTTCTTCCTATCTGCAGATGGCACTCCAACAACTCCCTAGAGGAGGTTCCAGCTCCCCTCAGACAAGCCTGCCCCACCTGTACTGCCTCTACTGCCCATGCGTCCCCACGCAGCCATTTCCCGCCTGATATCCCCAGACATGCTGTACTCTCTCCCATACTGCACAAGCAATCATAATGGGAATAAGGGAGAAGAAAAACCAGGAGTCGGGAAAACTAGGCTTCAGTCCAGGAGAGAAGCTGCTGCCTTTTTCTTCTTGAACGTAGAATTAATGTTTTCCATTCTCATTACAGGTCTGGGCTACACAGAAATCTCTCAGTCCTTGGATCATGTATTCCTAATATTTCCAGGGCACTGCCTAGGGATGGCCTTTTCCAATTTGTATTACAACTTCGAACTAAAAAAATTTTGCAGTGCCAAGAACCTAAGTGATATTGAGTGCAATGAAGTTTGTGAGTATAATGAATGGAATTTTTCTTTTTGTGGTCACGGGGCTTGAACTCAGGGCCTGAGCACTGTCCTTGAGCTTTTTCACTCAAGGCTAGCACTCCACCACTTTAAGCTGCAGTACCACTTCTAGTTTTCTAGTCGTTAATTGGAGATAAGAGTCTCATGGACTTTCCTGCCTCAGGTGGCTTTAAACTATGGTCCTCAGATTTCAGCCTCCTGAATAGGTGTGATTATAGGTGTGAGCTACTAATGCCTGTCCTTCAGCCTACTCTTAAAGTTTTACTACAGAAATGGTCAGTGATCAGTTGCAAAATGATTGAAAAAGCCAAACATGTTTTGAATTTCAAATAGCTGTCATATATCAGGAAAAAGTATTATTATTATTCAGTGCTGGTAATTGAACCCTTAGCCTCATACATATCAGCATCCCTTTAATTTTAAAAAAAATTAGGACAGCCGGGTGCTGGTGGCTCACGCCTGTAATCCTAGCTACTCAGGAGGCTGAGATCTGAGGATTGCAGTTCAAAGCCAGCTCGGGCAGGAGAGACCATGAGACTCCTATCTCCAATAAACCACCAGAAAACCAGAAGTGGCGCTGTAGCTCAAGTGGTAGAGCGCTCGCCTTGAGCTGAAGAGCTGAGAGACAGTGCCCAGGCCCAGAGTTCAAGCCCCACGACTGACCAAAAAAAAAAAAATTAGGACAAAAATTGGGCCAGGTACAGTGGATCACACCTGTAATTCCAGTTACTAGATGGGCAAGGGTCAGGAAGTCCATGGTTCCAGACCAGCCCAAGTAAAAGTTCATGAACCTCCATATCAACCAATAATGCTAGGCATAGTGGAGCATGCCAGTCATTTCAGCTTTATGTGAAGCAAATATAGGAAGATTGTGGTCCAGGCTAACACAGAGAAAGAAAAAATAAGGGATTCTATCTCAAGAATAACCAAAGCAAAAAAATGTATATATTTGTGACGTACAACCTGAGAAAAGAGTATTGTTGTTGTTGTTGTTGTTTTGTCAGTCATGGGGCCTGAACTCTGGGCCTGGGCGCTGTCCCTCAGCAATTCAGCTCAAGGCTAGCACCCTACCACTTGAGCCACAGCGCCACTTCTGGCTTTTTCTGCTTACGTGGTGCTAAAGAATTGAACCCAGGGCCTCATGCATGCAAGGCAAGCACTCTACTACTGAGCCACCTTCCCAGCCCTATTGCATTATTTTTACATAATACTTTTTTTTGGTCGGTTGTGGGGCTTGAACTCTGGGCCTGGGCACTGTCCCTGCACTCTTCAGCTCAAGGTGAGCGCTCTACCACTTGAGCCACAGTGCTACTTCCTTTTACCAAACACTTTATAAAGAAAAAAGATTTTCTCCTCTGTACAGTATGTTCACAAATTAAATTAAATTAAAAAAAAAAAAGAAAAAGAAAAAAGATTTTGTGTTTACCATTTGCTAGAAAGTAGTGTCAACATTAATGATAATGAAACTTCTTTTAATAGTTGTTATGGGAATTAACCTGCTATATACAAAGTGAGAACAGGCATTGGAAATCATCCAAGGGTAGTAACATCTATTTGTCCCCTGTTAGCAGAAGGATATGTGGCACAAAAAAACATCTATGCCTGGGAGTCCCTCGGGACGGGAAAGTACTTGACAGCCCTGGCCATCTTAGGACCTTTGCACATTATCCTGCTTTTCCTTGTTGAAACCAATGTCTTCACGAAACTGAAAGCCAAGCTTTATGACTTTTGCAGGAAGAAAGATTTGGTGAGTAGGTCAGAGTGTCAGTCTCCAGGGAGAGGTCAGGGGTCTATCTCTATGGCTTCCTTCCTGTGCTCTGTAGTTGCCTTTGATTCTCAGCATCAGAGGGGGCCTGGAGACTTGTCTGGTCCAATCTCAGGCCAGAGAGGTGATAGCCCATACTCAAGGACCCTAGAAGGGAAAAACGCATCTGGCTCAGCCCCTGTAACCCTGCTCAGCATGCTGGTCACCTGGAATGCTTTAAGAACCACCCTGTAAGCTGGTTAGACTTAAGACTTGGCTTCCTAGAACCAATTGTCTTGTGACTCTTCCCCAGTTATCTGTGAGCCAGACCGGACACAGGTCTCTTCTGTCAGCTCTTGGTGTGAATATTCTCCAGAGGCTTAAGCCCTCTGGGTAAAATACAGGAAATGATATGGTTGTATCTTGACATCCTTGGTCTCTAGAGTTGACACCATGTGACATTTGTATATTCACCCCATCATAGTTGTGTCAACATGAATTTAGTCTTGGATACTGGAGATCAGTAGGGACACCTTTGGGATTTGCAGGGAGTTTTTAGCCTTTGTGGCTCCAGTCTGTCCTTCCTGCCCTCACAGACAGCTGTATTTCTATCCTTATCTTGTGAATGTAGGCAATGGACCTCAAAGCAGAGTCTGAATACCAAGATGTAGAAGAAGAGGTGGAAGTCATCAAGAATTATTTGGAAACATTATGCAAGACAAATCCACTAGTTGTTAAAGAAGTGTCAAAGGTAAAGTCAAACATCGTTTTATTATGTATTTATTCATTTATTCAGACAGTATCTTACTGTGTAGCATAGGTTAACCTCAGACTCAGGTTTAGATTAACCTACCTCAGCTTCCTAAATGCTAGAGTTACAGAAAAAATACTAGCATAACTGGCTCGAGATGTGGCTTTAGAAGCTCATAGACCCTGTACATATGGAGTCAGCCAGCTGGTAGGCTTAGGATGCCAGCAGTAACATATGAGCTTCCAATGGAGGTGAGGAGAATAAGGTATGTCTGGGCTCAGTTACCCCCAGAGATAAGCAACTCCATCCTCCACAGTCTCTTCTGTGGTCCACGAGTGCCCTAGGAAGGAAGGAGGGCTAGAAAGTGAGGCCTGACTGGTTGGACCTCTCCTGCTCTAGATCGTGATTGTAGAGAAAGCAAGGGGTAAAGCACAACCCCAGCTTCCTGAGTCTCCCTGATAATCCCAGGAAGAACTTTGAGAGGCCCTTTAACCAGGCACTTTTTTAGCATTTCCCCAAGATTTTAGTCCTATTGTTTATAGTTACTGGTGTTTAAAGGGAATATTTTCCCTTTATCCTAGGGGAAAACCTGCGGTTTTATTAAACCCTAGGCAACATAAAAAAAATTATTGGGGGGCTGGGAAGGTGGCTCAGTGGTAGAGCACTTGCCTTGCATGCCTGAGGCCCTGGGTTCGATTTCTCATCACCACGTAAGCAAAAAGAAAAAAGCCAGAAGTGGCGCTGTGGCTCAAGTGGTAGAGCGCTAGCCTTGAGCTGAAGAGCTGAGGGACAGCGCCCAGGCCCAGAGTTCAGGCCCCATGACCGGACCAAAAAAAAAAAAATTATTGGTTGAGTTTGGATGTGTGGTTCAGTTGGTAGAGCACCAGCAAAATACTGAGTTTGAGTCCTGGTCTCACAACAAAAAGAAATAATTTGTTGCTTCTGAGACAGAAGGGGGAAGGCCTTACCTTAGGAAACTAAGTTTTTTAGATGCATGAGCAGCAGGAAGGGAGAAAGCCAGAGTGAGCCCTGCTGGGAGCAGTGTCTGAAAGGAGAAGGCAAGTCTGAGCCTGGCTACAGAGAGGTTACCTGGACCCCAAAGGCAGCTGGGACTTGCCAGAATGCGTGTGCAGCGACCATGGCTGGCAACCTCCTCACTGGGTCTCCTGTCTGTGTATCCCAGGTCTATGATGTAAAGGTTCCCCTGCTAGCTGTGAACAAAGTATCCTTTACCGTTCAAGCTAAAGAATGCTTTGGCCTTGTTGGCCTCAACGGAGCTGGAAAGACTTCCATTTTCAAAATTCTGACAGGACAGATGCCCGCCACTTCTGGGGATGCCTTTGTCAGGAGCCTCAACATCAGCTCTGAACTAGGGAAGGTGAGTGTGGCCCGAAAACAGACATGGGGATATGGTTGACAGGATTCAGGAGCAGGGAACTAGAACGGGCCTTGATCTCTCGAGCTATTTACCCAGCACTTTTTTTTTTTTTGGCCGTGGGGCTTGAACTCTGGGCCTGGGTGCTGTCCCTCAGCTTTTCAGCTCAAGGTGAAGAGCCACAGCGCCACTTCTGGTTTTCTGGTGGTTAATTGTAGATAAGAGTGTGATGGGGGGGCTGGGAAGGTGGCTCAGTGGTAGAGTGTTTGCCTTGCATGCCTGAGGCCCTGGGTTCAATTCCTCAGCACCACATAAGCAAAAAGAAAAAAGCCGGAAGTGGCGCTGTGGCTCAAGTGGTAGAGCGCTAGCCTTGAGCTGAAGAGCTGAGGGACAGCACCCAGGCCCAGAGTTCAGGCCCCACAACTGGACAAAAAAAAAAAAAAAAAGAGTGTGATGGGTGCTGGGAAGGTGGCTGAGTGGTAGAGTGCTTGCCTAGCATGCATGAAGCCCTGGGTTCAATTCCTTAGTACCACAAAAACAGAAAAAAAGCCTGAAGTGGTACTGTGGCTCAAGTGGTAGAACACTAGCTTTGAGCAAAAGAAACTCAGGGACAGTGGCCAGGTCCTGAGTTCAAGCCCAAGACTGGCCAAAAAAAAAAAAAAGGTCTCACGGACTTTCCTGCCTGGGCTGGCTTTGAACTGCAATCCCCAGATCTCAGCCTCCTGAATAGCTAGGATTACAGGCATGAGCCACTGGCACCAGCCCCAGCACTCGGTGCTGGAATCTCAATAGGCTTCCAAAATGTCTCCACCCCTTGCCACTCCCCTGCCATGTTTTCTGGGTAGTAAGAAGCACATGTGCACCTGCTGTTGAAGACACCATCCAAGGTGCCCATGGCAAGCGCAGTTCAAGGATGCTCTGCCTCCAAATGACCATCCAGTCTGTTCTGTTGGTACTGAAGACACCCTAGTAGAGATGACTCAATTCTGGTCTGTATCTTCCTTAATGTTTCTGCAGCATTCGGTAATGGCCAACCTTTTCAAAACTTCAAACTCAAGCTTTGTTCTGCTTATTCTGTAGCTTTGGTCTCTCCTTGATCTTCTTTATCAATAACACTTCTTTCTCAGACTCCTCTGGTAGACATAGTTTTGTTTTGTGTTGTCATGTCGGGTTTTGTTTTGAGACAATGTCTTGTTATGTAGCCTCAAATTCACAATCCTCCTGCCTTTGCTTCCCAAGTACTACTATCACAGCTCCTTTAGCAGATATTCATCTGGCCTGGTAGGTCTTGGTGTCACTGAGAGTTGTTCCCACTTTCCTTCCACAATCCTTATGTGGGCTGGCCATTTATGTCGCACTGGTTCTCATTACCACCAATTTGCTAATGTCTTCTAAATAGTCACAAGTCCAGTCCAGTTCCAGACCAGTGTTTCAGACTGTAGAACTCATCTTCCATAACTGTGTGAGCCAGTCCACATGACCTCTTTCCATATGCTATGTATGTCCTGTATATAAAAGATGCAGTGATGATAAAGTTTACTCTGTGTGTGACGGATGTGCTGAAAGGAGACAAAGTAGTATTTGAAACCCTAGTAATCTACCTACTAAAAGAATGCATTAAAATAAATCAGTAAGCCAGCTGCCAGTAGCTCATGCCTGTAATCCTAGCTACCCAGGAGGCTGAGATCTGGAGATCAAAGCCAGCCCTGGCAGGAAAGTCCATGAGACTCTTATCTCCGATTAACCACCAGAAGTGGAGCTATGGCTTAAAATGGTAGAGCACTAGCCTTAAGCAAAAGAGCAGCACCCAGGCTGTGGGGCTGAGTTCAAGCCCCACAACTCTCTCTTTCTATCTGACTCTCTCTCTGTCTCTCTCTGTCTCTGTCTCCTTTCTCTCTCTGAGTTCCCTAGGAGCATTGTAATGAAACTTCAGAAAACCAAACACAAAAAGAAAATCTAAGGAGCCAGAAATAAAATGTGGGTCAAGTTCATGAGAGTAGCAAGTACACTGAGATCTGGCCTCTGAACAGAAACAAGGTAGCAAGGGCCACATCCTGTATTCCCCAGCATTATTATTATGCTGGAGCTACACACGGCAGGTTTAGGTATTGGCAGTGTAGAGGCAAGAGCTGGACTGAAGTAAGACCACGGGAGACATGGGGAATCTGGCCAGAAGAGGCTGCATTCTGACATGTCTCCCTCTCTGGGCTGTGTTCTCAGGTGCGGCAGTTGATTGGTTACTGTCCTCAGTTTGATGCCCTGCCAAACTTCATGACAGGCCGAGAGACACTGGTTATGTATGCCCGGATCCGAGGCATCCCGGAAAGCCACATCAATATCTGTGTGAACCAAATTATTGATGACTTCATCATGCTGATGTATGCAGACAAGCTGATAAAGACTTACAGGTGAGAAGCAGGATTTCCCCCAGCTTCCCTGCCTGCAGTTACAAGATGAGCTCTTGTTGTTCTCATCACTGGAGTGTGGGTCCAGGCCTATCCACTCAGACATGAGTGACTACAGTTTCTGTAGAAGGCACGCATGGCCTGCAGTGGCCCAAGACATCACTCCATCTTGGTCCTGAGGAAACTGTGGAGCTGATCACGCCAGAGACAGTACCTATAGTTGAGAACAGGCAAAGGGCACCACACGTATTGTACCAACAGTGAAAGCAGTCCATCCTTTCCTCCACTTCCTGACAAGCTTTCCATTTTTTAGTAGGTTTGTATCTCCTGAAGACCTTCCAGACTTCCATTGCCAGAGATAGAATATCCAACTCCAGTTAGCCTGAACAAAGCAAGTCACTCATTGTGCAACTGCAAATCCAAATACTCTCCTTCCTTGTGTGTGTGTGTGTGTGTGTGTGTGTGTGTGTGTGTGTGTGTGTGTGTGTGTGTGTGTGTGTGTGTGTGCGTGTGTGTGGACCCTGGAGGCACCTGGTAGTACTGCACACCAAGGACTGCAAAGTAAAGAAGTGCCACTGACCTTTGGCTAAATGAACCAAAGTTTCAGATACAGATATTCTTTTCTTTTCTTTTTTTGTCGGTCATGGGGCTTGAACTCTGGGCTTGGGCGCTGTCCCTCAGCTCTTCAGCTCAAGGCGAGCACTCTACCACTTGAGCTACAGCACCACTTCCGGTTTTCTAGTGGTTTATTGGAGATAGGAGTCTCACGGTCTTTCCTGCCCGGGCCGGCTTTGAACCATGATCCTCAGATCTCAGCCTCCTGAGTAGCTAGGATTACAGGCGTGAGCCACCAGCACCCGGCTCTTCTTTCCTTTTCTATCTGTTAGCTTGAGTTTCACCAGACGCTTCCTTGTATATTTGAATATCAAATGAATTTAAATTTGCAGAGTTTACAATGGTAAAATACATAATAAATGCTTTGTGAATATAAAAATGAATAGAGTGAGGTGGTGGTGCATGCTTGTAATCCCAGCATTTGGGAACCTGAGGCAGGAGGATCAAAAGTTCAAAGCAAGAGTAGGCTACATAGTAAAACTCTGTCTCAACTTTTTTTTTTGTCAGTCATGGGGCTTGAACTCTGGGCCTGAGTGCTGTCCCTTAGCTCTTCAGCTCAAGGTGAATGCTCTACCACTTGAGCTACAATGCCACTTCTGGTTTTCTGGTGGTTTATTGGAGATAAAAGTTTCATGCTTTTCCTGCCTGGGCTGGCTTTGAACCACGATCCTCAGATCTCAGCCTCCTGAGTAGCTAGGATTACAGGCATGAGCCACCAGCATTCAGATGTCTCAACTTTTTTTTTTTTTGGGTCCGGTCGTGGGCCTGAACTCTGGGACTGGGCGCTGTCCCTCAGCTCTTCAGCTCAAGGCTAGCGCTCTACCACTTGAGCCACAGTGCCACTTCCGGCTTTTTTCTTTTTGCTTATGTGGTGCTGAGGAAGCGAACCCAGGGCCTCAGGCATGCAAGGCAAGCGCTCTACCACTGAGCCACCTTCCCAGCCCCAGATGTCTCAACTTTTTAAAACGTTACATAAGCCGGGCGCTGGTGGCTCACCCTGTAATCCTAGCTACTCAGGAGGCTGAGATCTGAGGATCGCGGTTCAAAGCCAGCCCGGGCAAGAGAGACTGAGACTCCTATCTCCAATAAACCACCAGAAAACCGGAAGTGGCGCTGTAGCTCAAGTGGTAGAGCGCTCGCCTTGAGCTGAAGAGCTGAGGGACAGCTCCCAGGCCCAGAGTTCAAGCCCCACGGCCGAAAAAATAAATAAATAAATAAAATAAAAAAATAAAACCTTACATAAAGGGTCAGGAAGGTGGCTCAGTGGTAGAGTGCTTGCCTGACATGCATGAAGCCCTGGGTTTGATTCCTCAGTACCATATAAGCAGAAAAAGCCAGAAGTGACGCTGTGATTTAAGGGGTAGAGTGCTTTGAGCAAAAGTTCAGTGCCCAGACCCTGAGTTCAAGCCCCAGGACTTGCGGGGGCAGGGGCAGGGGGAGGGGGAGAAGGAGAGGAGGATCGGAAGTTGCATAAAATGGTCCTATATCCTTGTTAGCAGATTGGGAAGTGCCCCTCCCCCCCAATATCCCTCGAAGAGATTCACTGACTCATGTTGGCATGGTTTAGCTCAGTGGCCCTGCAGGGTATAGTAGAAGGAATAGTAGGTATTTGACCAGCAGGACTCACCACTGCAGATGACCATTCTCCATGACTCATCCTCCCCCTCTCCCATCAGCGGTGGCAACAAGCGAAAGCTGAGCATTGGCATCGCCCTCATTGGAGAGCCTGCAGTCATCTTCCTGGATGAGCCGTCCACTGGCATGGACCCACTGGCCAGACGCTTGCTGTGGGACACAGTGGCCCGGGCCCGGGAATCTGGCAAGGCCATTGTCATCACCTCCCACAGGTAGATCCTTGGTCTCTGCGTCCATGGAGAGCCAGGACAGGTGGCTGGGAAGAGGTCGGGAGCAGAAGACCTGTTGGCCATGGGCACAGACTCAGCCAGGATATCCCCCAGGCCCTGCACAGGGGCTGCGCTGAGCATGGGAATCAGGAATGGGCTGGTCTAAGAATGAACATCCCTTCAGCACAGGCCCTCACACCCGGGTGGGGGTCAGCCTCCCCCAGCCCCGAGTCACACTTGTGTCCCTCCCCCCAGCATGGAGGAGTGTGAGGCGCTGTGCACCCGGCTGGCCATCATGGTGCAGGGCCAGTTCAAGTGTCTGGGCAGCCCACAGTACCTCAAGAACAAGTTTGGCAGCGGCTACTCCCTGCAGGCCAAGGTCCACAGCGAAGGGCAGCAGGAGGCTCTGGAGGAGTTCAAGGCGTTCGTGGACCTGACCTTCCCAGGTGTGTGTGGGTGCCTGGCAGTGCTCTTGGGTGGCCCTGGGCCCTGTCTGGACCTGCCAACTGCTGTCCAGAGTCCATCCCACACGCCTGGCCCTGACATGAGGACCACGGTCCTGTCCCCCAGGCTGTCTTCCCTGTTCCTCCAGCCCAGCCATCACTCACACCTGGTCTCTTTGGTGCAGGCAGCGTCCTGGAAGATGAGCACAAGGGCTTGGTCTGTTACCACTTACCTGGACACAACCTTTGCTGGTCAAAGGTGAGTGTCCCTCTTATTTCACCCACTTTCTGGGTACCTCAGTCTGTCTCTCAGGTAGAAGTTGGCTGACGTGCCTTGATGTCAGATGTGTGCTGATGTCTCCATGGCCATGTTCATGCAGATTCCTAGACCATAATCCTCAGATGTTAGCTTCCCCCTCCCTTAGGCTTTACAAAGCAGAGAGCAGCCCACAGAAGGTACCACATGACCAGGCTCACATAGCAAGCCAGGCACCCCAGGTCAGCCTCTGCCTTTCTGGCAGAGTCCAACCCTAGGATCAGACAGCTGAGTTCTATGGACTGACTTCTTGAGAAGTGCTATAGAATACTAAAGAGAAGGAACAGCCTTTGGATGTCTTGTTACAAGCACAAAGGTTGGCCCTGTCCCCACCCTATAGACATCCTAGCACCTATAGACCAGCCTGTTTACAGTAGCCTCCTTCTCCCTTCCACAGGTGTTTGGGAGTCTGGAGAAAGCCAAGAGAAAGTACAAGTTGGAAGACTACTCCATCAATCAGGTCTCCCTGGAGGATGTCTTCCTGAGTTTTACCAACCCTATACAACCCACTCAAAGAAAAGACCAAGCGCAAGCAGACTCCTCCCTCTCACTGCCTCCCCCGCCACCTGCTCAGACCTCCTCACCTTCCTCCTCACATCTTTCCATTTTCCCCACGCATCTGTTTCAGCCCCCCTTACATCCTCCCCCACTCCCTTCCTCAAACACTATCCTACTATAATAAAGATCCTAGTGCAGGTGTGCACGGCCTGCCGTGGTTGTAACAGAAAAGGGTGACCATAAACCAGGCTGGACTGCATTTGAGTGGAATCTCACAGAGTCCATGAATTCTAAATCCACATGTGTTTTCAGGTTGTGGTGTTTCTGAAGGTAGGAGGAGAGAACATATTTTTGAATTTTAGTAGCTGACGTTAGTCTTGGTGGGGGGAAGGGTGATTGTCCTCTCTACCTCTCCCTTTTGCCCTGCCTACTTCAACCATATTGTCCAAATTCACCCTATGAGAAGACAGCATATTGACACATTTACTAACCTAAATCATAGCTTTTCAGTATTTCAATATTTAGAATAAAAAGCAATGTAGTTCCTTGAGCCCCACTCTAGATCTTCTGAGTTAGAAGCTGGGTGGGGGTGGGGGGACCAGCAAGCCATGTTGTCATTAACCCCACAACAAGTGCTCAGACAGCCCCAGTGCGGCAGCCGTGTCTCAGCTAAGCTTCCCACTCCCTGAGCCCAGAACAGCACCAGCGCACTTCTTGTGGCCACACCAAATGTCTTCCTGGGCCTTTTTTTTCCCAAGTTGGCTGCTCTGTGGCGTTTTCTGTGGGAAAAACCTCCCTGGGCCTCCACCCACCCCAGGCTCCTCTACTCTGAGTGATGGAGGTCCTCAAGTTCCAGACTCTTATTTAGTTTGTTTTGGAGACAATGTTTCTCTATGTAGCCCAGGCTGGCCTGGAACTCCTTCAGCCTCCCCAGTGCAGAAATCACTATACCAGCAGGCCTGGTCCTATTTTTCCTTCTATAATATTTGGACTGGCTGCTCTTCTGGTCTTTGCTTTGTTATTCTGCCAGAAATTTCCCTGAACTCCAAAGAACTGAGGTTTTCCCGAGTTCTCTCATATCTTGAGGCCCAATGGGAAATGGACACATGTCACAACCTCTAAGAGTGACCCATGCCCCAGTTTGGCCCTGAGGACTCCACTGCTGGGGGCCCTGGAAGCATAGCTGTAGCATCATTATAGTTGTAGCCAAGAGAATACCCAATTCCTACAAAACACAGCACAGAGATAGGCATCCTCCAGTTCCAGGCCAGCCTGAGCTACGTAGTGATACCCTCTCACAAAAAGCAAAAAGGACTTTTTGCCTCAGAATAAAGAAAATGAATACGGTATAAAGAAAAAGATGGGAGCCAGGTGCTGGCGGCTCATGCCAGCCTGTGGTCTAGCTAAATCCTAGCTACTCAGGAAGCTGGGATCTGAGGATTGGTTTAAAGCTAGCCCAGGCAGATAAGTCTGTCAGACTCTTATCTCCAATAAACTACTCAGAAAAGGCCGGAAGTGGTGCTGTGTGGCTCAAGTGGTAGGACACGAGCCTTGCGCACAAAGAGGCTCAGGGACAGTGCCCAGGCCCAGAGTTCAAGCCTCAAGACTGTCCAAAAAAAAAAAAAAAAAAAAAAGGTAGAGGTTGATTTTGCTAAGTTGAAGAACACTTGCCTGGAAAGTGCAAGTCCCAGCCGGGCGCTGGTGGCTCACGCCTGTAATCCTAGCTACTCAGGAGGCTGAGATCTGAGGATCGTGGTTCAAAGCCAGCCCAGGTAGGAAAGACTGTGAGACTCCTATCTCCAATAAACCACCAGAAAACCGGAAGTGGCGCTGTAGCTCAAGTGGCGCTGTAGCTCAAGTGGTAGAGTGCTCCCCTTGAGCTGAAGAGCTGAAGGACAGTGCCCAGGCCCAGAGTTCAAACCCCACGACCGACAAAAAATAAATAATCTGAGATCCTCAGATCTCAGCCTCCTGAGTAGCTAGGATTACAGGCGTGAGCCACCAGCACCCGGCTGGGACTTGCACTTTCCAGGCAAGTGTTCTTCAACTTAGCAAAATCAACCTCTACCTTTTTTTTTTTTTTTTGGACAGTCTTGAGGCTTGAACTCTGGGCCTGGGCACTGTCCCTGAGCCTCTTTGTGCGCAAGGCTCGTGTCCTACCACTTGAGCCACACAGCACCACTTCCGGCCTTTTCTGAGTAGTTTATTGGAGATAAGAGTCTGACAGACTTATCTGCCTGGGCTAGCTTTAAACCAATCCTCAGATCCCAGCTTCCTGAGCCTTCAGCCCTGCAGAAAAGAAGGTAGAGCTGAAGGCACATGGAGGGGTTCTGGGAAACCAAGGGTGCTGTTTATCACTTGTTGAATTTATTAATCTCTTCTAGACACTACCAAAAGCAAACACTGGAAGAGTATTTCTGTTCTGGGGACAAAGTAACATGCAAGGAAGGAGGGCAGCAACAGTGAGGACAAAGTGAGGAAGGGAGAAGTCTAGGATCCCACCTCCTCGTCCTCCCTTTCTCTGTCCTGGGAACCAGGAGCCTGGAGGAGGGGGCCGGCCTGAGCTGTGCAGGGAAGAGTCGCACCTCCCATGGACCAAGTTCTTCTAGTGGGGACCCCTGGGGCTCTCCTGCTCCCTGGGTTCCTCCTGCTGCAGCCTGCCGGGACCTGGACACCCAGCACCCACCTGTGTTCCCAGCACAGGCCAGGTACCCCGGGGGTTCAGAGAACACAGAGGATGGGGGTGAGGGGACTAAGGCTGGCCACATCGCGAAGAAGGGGGAGCCCGGGCTCAGCTCCCCTGCCGTCCCCAAAGACTGTCTCTTCCTTGGGTACAGAGTCTCATGAAGAGCTGGGGCGTGGGGCGCCGGGGAAGCTGAACCCACAGCCCAGCCGACTGCGCCCTTCCCGGGGCCGGGCCGGGCCTGCAGGCGGCGAGGACAGCGAGTGTGCCGGGCGGGAGGCGTTCCGCGGGAGCCCACGGAGACAGGCCCGGGCCTTCGTGCCAACGCCCGGCGTCTCGACACAGGGCCCGGTTCCCGGAAGCCGGCGGCAGGGCGGCAGGGCCCGGCCGGAGGCGGCCCGTCAGCCGTCCTCAGACGGGAGCTCGCCCGCGCTGGCTCGGAGGACCCGAAGCCCGGCACCGGTTTCACAGACAGCCCGCCGGCGCCAGCAGCGACCGAGCGGTACCGGGACCGACCCGGGCGGCCCGAGGCCGCGCTGGCCTAGCCAATCCAAGGCCAGCATTCGAATTCGCGTCCCGGTCCAGCCAGTCGCGGCCGGAGGGTGGGGCGGGAGGCCCGGGCGCGGCGGACAGGTCGGGGGCGTGGCCTGCGGCTCAGCCAATAGAAGAGCCGGGCGCGTTTGAAAATAGGGCGGGGGCGGGGCTGCGCCTGCGCGCGGCGGAGGCAGCGGAGCCGGCGCCGGGGCGCTCGCGGGCGGGCTCCGGGGGCTGCAGAGTGAGCGCGGCGATGGGGAGTGGCGGCGGTGAGTATTTGCGGGCGCGGAGCGGGCCCCGCGGGTGGCGGGCCTGGGCCCTGTGAGCAGGAGCGTGGATTCCACAGTCCGAGCCCGGCGCGGCGCTCCCAGCCCGGAGCCCGCCCGGGTCCCCGGTTGCGAGATTTAAATGCCCTCCGGGCGCCCGCGCCCGCCCGCCGCGGTGTTCCCCGCCTGAGTCCTCGCGGCCGGCTTTTAAGTTTTCTGATGTGCCAAACTACGGAACTCCTCCGAAGTCTGGAGTCCCGTGCCCGTGGACCGAGAGGCTGGGGTCTGGCGATCCCTGCCACCGAGCCCGCCTCGCGTCCCGGCCGCTCCCCCGCGCGCGCGGAGCCGAGGACTGCCGGGGACGCGTCCCACCTACGGGGCTTTGGGGTGGGACTTCGGGTGTTAACAGTGGTTACTGAATCTTTTCAGGCATTTGTTCTGAAATGGGTGGATGCAGAAGCTTTTTTTGATAATACGGTATGATCTTTGGGATCTTGGTCCTGGGAATACATCTTTTTTTAACTTGGCAGCGCATTGAGTTTCTGACAGGAAAACCCAGGTCAAGAGGAGGGTGTGAGCCACGGCTATTACTCCCGCAGAGGGAATCACCTATATACAGAAAGGAGCAGCTATCTGGGAAGAATGGATTGGAAAGACTGGCGAGCCGGTAGACTGGGAGGCAGGATCTTGAATCGTGACCAGGGCATTTTCCTGTAAAAGAAGGGGTAAAGCTGAGTTGAAAGGATCCAGTGTGGGGAGATGGAAGAGTCATCTGAGGAGCTTGACTGGGCAGCAGCTGACATGTCCGGCCTTTAGTGATTGCAATCACTCCGTGTGAAGCTACTGTGTTGGGTTGGTTGGAATTTTGACAACCTTGTTGAGTAGCTGTCAACTCCCCATTTTACAGAGGACAACAGGGAGGTTCATGGCCTGCTCAGCTCTGACATTTGCAGAGGGAATGGTCTGGCCTCTCAAGTCCTTATGACTTCCTGCAGAATTGACTCTCAATTTGTGCTCCAAACCTATACTCTTTAAATCCATGGATCCTCATTGTATGTTCTATTTGCACGTGTGCAAATAGAAGTGAAAAAAATGCCAGGGTTGGGAATGTGGCTTAGTAGAGTGCTTGGCTAGCATGCACAAAGTCCTGGATTCAATTCCTCAGTACCACATACACGGAAAATGCCAGAACTGGTGCTGTGGCTCAAGTGGTAACATGCTAGCTTTGAGAAAAAGAAGCTCAGAGACAGTACCCAGGCCCTGAGTTCAAGCCCCAGAACTGGCAAAAAAAGAAAAGAAAAAACACCCTAGTGGTTCAAAGGGACCTGAGCATGAGATTCAAGGCAAATATTCCTCAGTGTTCGCTGCCTGTTTCCCATTCCTAGTTGCAATGTAGACTCTTGGCCAGAAAGTTTCCAGTGGTCAGGGTGCATGATACCTTAAGTTTGCTGTGAATATTTGCTAGCTATTTAACAAATGATGAGTTCTTCTGTAGTTCATATAATGCAATTCCTTTATAATCTTTGGGAGTAGTTCATTTTGTGATGCAAAGAGACAGTGATTTAAATTGCCTTCATTCATATATAACTTTTCCTTTCATCAAGACTTCTTTTTTCTCCCTTAAGTGATCCACTGTAGATGTGCCAAATGTTTCTCTTACCCTACTAAGCGAAGAATCAGAAGGAGACCCCGAAACCTAACTATCTTGAATCTCCCGGAAGATGTGCTCTTTCACATCCTGAAATGGCTTTCTGTTGAGGACATCCTTGCTGTCCGAGCTGTAAGTCATTAAATGAAAACAATTTCAGTCCTAGCTTTGTTGATTATACAGTCAAGACTTGGTGCTCTTATGTCAGAACAAAACTTTGGAGCCATGCACCAGTGGCTCACGCCTGTTATCCTAACTACTCAGGGAATCTGAGATCTGAGGATCACAGTTCAAAGCTCGCCTGGGCAAGAAAGCCTGTGAGACTCTTATCTCCAATTAACCATCAAAAAGTCAAAGTGGCTCAACTGGTAGAGTGCTAGCCTTGAACAAAAGAAGCTCAAGAACAGTCCAGCCTCTGAGTTCAAGCCCTAGGACTGGTGCGTGCGCGCGCGCACACACACACACACACACACACACACACACACACACACACACACACACACACACACACAGACATTGATGGCTCACACCTGTAATCCTAGCTACTCAGGAGGCTGAGATCTGAGGATCATTCTTCAAAGCCATCCTAGGCAGGAAAGTCCATGAGACTTATCTTTAATTAAACACCAGAAAACCAGAAGTTGCATTGCAGCTCAGAGTGTTAGATTGCTAGCCTTGAGTGAAAAGCTCAGGGACAGAGCCCTGTCCCTGAGTTGAAGCCCCATGACAAAACAGACAAACAAAAAAACCTTTGTATAAAGAAGGGACAGAAGGCTTTATATCTGTTTCTGCCCTGTCTTCAGGAGTTTCTAAGAACAGGGATTTAAGGCAATCCCTATGTAACCCACACCTGGTTTTCATTGCTCTGCAGGTACATTCCCACTTGAAGTATCTGGTAGACAACCATGCAAGCGTGTGGGCCTGTGCCAATTTCCAGGAACTGTGGCCTTCTCCAAAGAACCTGAAGCTCTTTGAAAGGTATCTTCACCCTGAGAATAGATGGCTTGATTTGCTCTTGCCTTTGAGCTTCTTGGTATTTCAGTCTGGGTCTCATGGCCTGATCCAGGGATCTATTTTCCTGTTGCTGTCTCCCAGAACCTTGCCTCATTCTTTGAGAGTAACGCAGGGCTGTGGACCTCAGCTAGTGAGGTACACCACTTCCTCACTCATCACCTCCCACGCCCGCCATGCTTCTGTGGATCCCCTTTGGCTTGTGACTTATTCCCATGTGACCCAAACATGATTCACCTGCTTTAGCCTTCTTTTCCTTCATTCAAAATCATGTAATTTCAGGGCTGGGATGTAGCTCAGTGGCAAAGCGCTTGCCTAGCAAGTACAACGTCCTGGGTTCGATCCCCAGTACCAAAAAAGAAAAGACAAAAAAAAAAAAAAAAAATCATGTAATTTCAATTTTATTGCCTTTCATTCATTGGTTGGTTCCACCCTCTTGCTAGGATTGTAACCCCAAGGGAAGTCTATTACGAGCCCTGGTGCAAGCCACTAGGCCCACCTCCAAAACTGCTAATGGTTCCAGAAGCTACCCTTAAAATCCAGTGGCTCAGCCTTGAACCTCCTTGTTTAACAAACTGAAAAAAAGCATGACTCTGAAGGGGATTTTCCTGCCAAGTTTATCTAGGTCTTTATGCACTTGAGCTGCCAGAAACCCCAGGTAGACTTATGGCCACAATTACACAATGTGGTGCTGCTGTGGCCATGCTTGGTCTCCTCCTGGATAAAACGCATATAGTTCTTGACACACTCCACTCGCCATACAGCTTGTGCATTCAAAGTATACTGCTCACTCCTCTTCATATATGCAGAGTTGTGCAAACATCACACTAACTTAAATGGTGTTCCCAGTCACTCCTCTTGTTTCCCTGTAACCCTAGAAGACAGTCTACCCCTAGTGTATTTTCTTGCCGACTCTAGACATTTTATGTAAATGGAACCATAACATTGCGATCTCTTATGACTGACAGGCTTCTTCCTTTGAACACTTTTTTAAGGTTTATACATATTGTAGGGTAAAATGGATAAAAGAAACAAGTAGTTTGTGCTAAGTTCAGTGGCAGCAGTACATGGCCTCTGTGACGTAATGTGACGTGTTATGTTCTTAATGTTCCAGGGCTGCTGAAAAGGGAAATTTTGAAGCTGCGGTGAAGCTGGGTATAGCCTACCTCTACAATGAAGGCCGTGAGTCCTCGCCCCACCCCCTTACAATTAGCTCTTTCCAGAGACATCCCCAGTACTAGCAGTTTAGTCATTCTTGCTGTATCTGCCTCTCTCAGTGCCCTGTATCCAGAGACCTTCTGTGAGGGCCGGTGATACTCCAATTTAGGTTTTGAGAGTTATCGCTTACTTTTCCAAACCCTTGAGTTTGGGGCAGCCAGGATAACTTTGAGCAGAGCCTCTGAACAAGGACTGAGAAGACGAATCAGACCCCCTGCCTTCACTTTTAAGACATCCTCTGTGGAGCTCTTGGACAGAGTCAGCATGCCTGACTCTTAGAGTGACAATGACTTAGTCAGAGCCATTGATCCCCGTGGCAAGGCTGGGTCAGAGCCAGCATTTATATACCTTTTCCCCCAGACTTCTTGAAAAATCCTCATGTATGCCAGGTGCCAGTGGCTCACGCCTGTAAGCCTAGCTACTCAGGAGGCTGAGATATGAGGATCATGGTTCAAAGCCAGCCTGGGCAGGAAAGTCCAGAAAAGTCTGTGAGACTCTTATCTCCAGTTAACCACCAGAAAACCAGAAGTGGTGCTGTGGCTCAAGTGGTAGAGAGCTAGCCTTGAGCTGAAGAGCGCAGGGACAGCACCCAAGCACAGAGTTCAAGCCCCACAACTGACCAAATTAAAAAAAAAAAAAAATCCTCATGTAGGCTTCTCTTCTGCCTGCTTCTACTTAATCTGCTCCTCATCCCAAAGATGAGCAATCCCAATCTGTGCTGTCGCAGCTTCCAAACTACTAAAGCTTAGGTATAGAAATGTTTTCCTGTTCCTAAAAGTTCTGGTATCTTGCTAAGTAACAGGCCCTGCCCTTGGCCAGCTGAGGGAGCAGTCCCCCCACTTTCCTGTCAACAGTATGCAATACTGTG